GGTTAGAAGAATGCTTTTTCTCGTCTTTACAAAACAACGAAAAATTAATTAAACCATGGTTTTACTTAACAAAGGTTTATACTATTATTATAAAGCTAAAGAGTTTGGTTGTGGTTAGTTTGAACATTTATCGAGGTCTAAAGTCTTTTACGCAAAAAAAACTGTGAAAATTATTTCCTTTCCCTTTTTTTAGGGTTTCCGTAGCGTGGGCGGCAAAAACGGTTTACTATATCCAAAAAATAAGTATGTAATAATGATTCCTCTTTAAGAGACATTTTAACAATAATATTTTTTAAATAATAATAATACTAATAATATACATTCAAGAACGATGGGACGCGTTAGACGTCGTAGGCACGTAACAGCTTAAATTTATAAAGATATAGTGGAGGTTTGTGAAACGAAATTATAATGTCAAAAATATCACACAAATGGCACATCTAGTTTGTTTATATCCACAGAAAGTTGTTTTGATAGTTTATGTTTTATGTTATTTCCGATACATATTTAATTAATTAATTGATGTAAATAAAGTCTTTTTAATTATGAAATATCAAGGATGTGCCACAGCATAAATTGTAACACGTTTATTTTTGAGGTTAGACTTTATTACTATTTTTATTGGTTTATATTAAATGCAACAGAAACACAAAAAAAAATATTAAAATTATAACACAAAAACATAAACTAGTAGCGCTAAAAAGTGTTGACACAGATTGTAATTTCATTTAACAACTAACAAAAAATGTTAAATTTACACACTAGCTGAATAATTTACATATTTCGTCGCAAATTTAAATACAATGTAGAATAAATTGTTCAAAGTAAAATTTTAAATTATATATTAAATACATTGGGCTAGTATCGTATTTTTCTACTAGCTGTTGAAGCGACACTACCCGCTAAGAATATTTATATTAGGCATCCAAATTAGTTTTTGCAAACCCCTTTATTTTTATAAACTTAGGCTGTTACCCATGACGTCGATCGGGTCCCTACCTGTCGTTCTTACAAGTTAATCTTAAAAGATAGACATATTATAGCGTCGCGGACTTCTTTTAGGATCATGTAAAGAGGAATTATTCTATCATACAATTTTTTTGGGTATCTTAAAACCGTTTGTGCAGCGTACTCCTCGGAAACCCATAATGATGAATAATTTTCCATTTTTTTTACATTTCCCGCTGTATCCTGCTTTTATTAGTCACAGCGCGATGTTTTCTAGCCTATAGCCTTCCTCGATAAATGTTCTAACCAATACAAAAATATTTTTTTCATTCGAACCCGTAGTTCCTGAGATTAGCGCGTTCAAATAAACAAACAAACAGACAAACAAACTCTTCCGCTTTATATATTCGTATAGATTTGTGTATATGTTAGGAAACTTTGTCAGGAGAGTAGAGATATATTTGTCCGCTTTACTACTTAACTATTATTGACAGACAAAAAATCAGGCCTTTGTGTCCTGTATGTAATTCAATTTAATACGCTTATTTTAGGCATCTAAACTATGTTATCTTGCGCTTGCGCAAAGCTAAAGCAACAATAAACTATACGTTATGTTTTTCTAACAAAGAAATATATGCACTTAGTATTATTTTTGTTACTTACGTGGTAATTATTTAAGGTTCCATCTAACCTCTACATGACTAATAAATTATTTGTGATTCAACATAAATGATAAAAGACGTCAAACGACTCAATCACAAAATAAAAAAGAACATTTTATATTTAACAATATTATAATAATTTCAACAAATATAATAATATATGAACGTTATCGATTTTTGTAACATTCATGTATATTTTATTTATGGCTTTGTAAATACAAAAAAGTAGAACAATACAAATAGAAAATAAACAACTCTTTATGAGTTCATTATGGTACTGGCCCAAACAGTTAATTTCTCAATAAGACGCTGTAATTAGGATCTTTCTTAAGTGCCGTGCCTTTATATTTAGTATTTAATAATATTAATGAAAATCCGTGAAGTTTAATCGCTGTGGATTTTCGAAAATCCAAAGCCAAAACTCGACAACGCATCTCGTTGAGATCCTGTGTTAAGAGCACGACTTAAGGCATTAATACAGCGTAAAATGTGATTTTTTTCTACTAAGTTTTTAGACAGTGAAATTTCCTAAACATATAAGTAATAAACATGTTTGTACGATAAGTGGTTACTGATATTAACAGGTTTGAAAAACCCAGTTTTAAGCCAAATTACGCGTGGAGGGTATAAACGCTCTGAAGTTGGTTGGGAAATTCACCTTCCATCGAGTAAATCCCATGTTTGTCTGTCCACCTCTATCATAAAACACATATAAAACTTGCCAGGTCTAATAATCGAAGGCTGATCAACTACTTGCTGGTAAATAAAACCGATCAGTAAAACGAATAAGAGGAAACGGGCGTTTCTGTTATTTTTTACAATGGTTTTGTATATATTTCTATTTACAATTACCGTGAAACGAAATTGTTTGCACTATCGACTGTTACAATTATAGAATCCCGAGAAAAGTGCCATCATGTGCTATAAAGGGAAGTTTACATCATCAGCCCCCACTATGGCGTCACTTTCTCCATTTTACGACGCTGAACGTAGTTAAGGTGTGTACTCTGTTTAGGTTTCGGATCGATCATTACATTATTTATAAACACAAGGTGTTTTATTTTGATGCACTTTGGTAAAACAGTGACTAAGGCACGTCCAACAATTATCAGATTTATTTTTCAATTGACGTCACGTACAACTTAATTGTTTGGTATAACAAACGACAGGCTAGAAGTAAATAACAAAACATTTCAGTGTCCATTTCACTGTTTGGTTTTATTTACAGGCAAGTAGTTCACTTCTGTGCTCTGCCCGACCGAAAGAACCTATTGTTTCCACGGGATTCTAACCCAGGATCTCACGCTCTTAACGTGATGTTACCAACACATTTAACGATTTTCCTAGATCGGCGGGAATAATATATATTTTTTAGATACCAGATCGTTTTTTTATTTGCTTATAAGCAACGATGTGGGATACAAATAATGCCTTGTCTAATTTTCACAAGTGGGTGGGATAACGTCGAATTTTCCGTTTCATTCATAGCTTTTTTAAGGTAATTATTATCCAAGAGAACTCATTAATTACTAAGCTATAGATTCATTTGACAATTGAAATGTTAACAAACAATATAGAATTATTGTTTATTTTTCACACATCATTATAATTCTTGCTTATTCTTGATTATTACCTTTTCTGGGAAAGAATAATTTTACCAGTGAACTTGACACTATAGATTAATTTGACAATTGACACGTTAATAGATTTTTCATATCAGTATTGTTTTTTAAATCGTTTTGGTCCTGGCTCCTGGTCACCTTTTTGTGGTTACAAAAAACAATCAAACTGTAAATTTGACACAACTATTTGAACAGGGTAATAATTAAGCTATAGATTAATTTAACAATTGAGGCATTCATCGATTTTTCATAACAGTATTGTTTTTTTTTCATTTTGATCCTGGCTTCTGCCACCTTTTTGTAGGTAAAAAAATTTAAACCGTGAATTTGTCACAACAACAATTTGAACAGATTATTAACTAAGCTATAGATTTGACAATTGACACGTTAATCGATTTTCATAACAGTATTGGTTTTTTACATCATTTTGATCCTGGCTTCAAGTCACTTTTTTTCGGATAAAAAACACAGATTTGACAGCATGGTGTCTGCCTTATGCATTGTCGTGTTTTCCCTTGCCGCGATATTTCCTTATGCGTTGAGAAATTTAGTTTTTACTTATAAGTCCTATCCAACTGTTGAAATATAATAATAAGTTTTTTATTATCCTATCTTTTAACAGTAATGTTAAACTAACTTTTAAAAGTATTATGTTTTAAAAATATCTGCTTTCGATTTAATTGTCATATTAGAATGAAATAATTATAGAATGATTAATTAACATATTAAATAATAAGTCAATATTTTTGTTTATAACTAGATGTCACCTGTGTACATCGTGACATCATTGTTATATAAAAAAATAAGAAAGCTAAGGTATTTTTCAATTAAATAAACTCTAGTTACCCACCTACGGTGTTTCATTGCAAATTATACCTAAATGAATGTATTTCAATACCTATAGTAGAAATAACAAGAGTATTCTAAAATGTTAGAATTATTTAACTTAGTTTCTATTAAATATTCGGCTTTTTGAGAAACACATTTTCTCTAAACAAAAGGAAAACGCGTCTAGCAAAAAAACATTTATTTTATCACTTATAAAAACATCATAGGTCTATTAAGTTAATTTGCTAATCGCCTTTTTGGTAAATTCGATAGACGAGTATAATCTGTTTTTAAACATATATGGTACTATAAATGCAAAAAATGATGATGGTACTATAAATGGGAAAAATGTATAGTACATTTGCTTGATAATTACTTCAGTATACCCAATACTACGTGTTTCATATCAAAAGCAACAATTTATGTAGCGAAATTTTATATTCATAAATTTTATTTGTTCTTACAATACCATGACATATCTACTTAATTATACATTTCGGACGAAGGTAAGAATGGTAAGTCTGTGTGTTATAATTTAAAACTACTATCGTTAACGGTAACTACTGTCATCTGAACATACTCCAACTGTTTCCGTGCAGGTTATATAACGGAGAGATTCGCAAAAGCTGATCCCTTATATAGAGTAGATTTATTTGAATTCTTAAGATTTATATATACTTCTTGAAAGCTTAAGATAAAGTAAAAGAGTATGGTCTCTCCGACGATCGATAGCCACATATAATCGTCTGAACATTGACGTGGGTCACGCGGTGTACTGAAGAGGTTATATGGAACCCGAGATCAAATCAATAACATTCGTTAAATGTATTTTTGTTATCGCATCGTGTTTAATCAGATTCCAATTGGACACAGCATAGGGCTATACCATTTTGATTTAATTTAGTTGCTTCCTGCAATAAGATTATAAACACTGATTGATTTAGTTTGGACTGATAACCTTGGGATATTTCTCTTTAGTCCTGCTACTCCGGGTCTCCGATCGATTTGATTCGCACAGGAAAAGTTTTCCTATCCAGTTCCGGGCTGTCGCGTTACCGATGCACCTGCAAACGCGACGAAGACTCACCTGGCATTCGTTACAGGTGTGAACAGAATAGGACTGGTCGCAGTCGTAGCGGTGAAGGATTCCGACGAAGTCGCAGTGCACGCGCGCCACCATGGCGTCGAGGGCGAGGAGGTCGCGCAGCGTGGTGTCGCAGCGTTCCCCGCCGGCGAGAACGTCGGCGCGCGCGCTGCGGTCCAGTGCGGATGCAGGAGAGCGCTCGCAGCAGGCGCGCAACCGCAGCTCGGCCAGGCGCCGCGCGCGTTCGCTCGCAGCCATCGCGCAAAGCGCGGGCACGTCGCGCCCCGCCAGCGTCTCGGCGCCGCCGCCGCTGCACGCCGCCTGCCCCGAGCCGCACTCGGCGCCCGCGCCCTCCTCCTCCAGGTCGCACGCGCTCAGCCAGGGGTTGAGGCGTGCGAGCGGACTCACGGCCAGGCCCGCGGCCGCCATCAGCAGCAGCAGCAGCAGCGGCGGCGCTCGCATGGCGGGGGCGGCGCCGCTAGCGGGGGCCGGCCCGCCGGGCGCGGCGCTGCCTCATACCGCATCGCGCATGGCGACCTACTCGCGCGGCCCGGGCCGCGGGGCCGCCGCGCGGGGTGGGCGCGCCGCCATGTCGCTCGCTCGCCGCTCGACTGCCGTTGACACCCCCCGGGCGCGCATCGATCGCCCCGCTCCCCGCTCCCGACTCCGCTGCGCGCGCCCCACGCGCGTTATGTAACCTGCGTGCGCATCCTGTGCCCCGCCTGCCGTCAACTTCACTGCGATCTGTCTGCCACCTGGCGACAGCAAGGTTAATCATTACCGCCCGCCCTAACTTTTCTTGAGTGTTATCTGATGCGGTACAACTTAACCATGGTCTGATATAGAGGGCCTTATTGGAATAGTACAAAGCACATATGAAGTTTGACGTTTGCGTACTTTAATCGTGAATTCGAGTCCCAATCGTGAAAAGATGTTTCAAGCCGATTATTTTTTACTTATTCTAGACCGTTGATAAAAGCGATCAAAATTATGGACACCGAAATGTGTCTATTTTTGGCCTGCATGAAATGAAAGGTTTCACTTAAATATAACAGAATTCTTATTCAAATGTGCAATGTAAGTTAACATTGAAATTTTATCACTGCTCTGCATTCCTGGAAAATAATGTTATTGTGAGCAGTGACCTAAATCGGGGTCACTGTCTTAAAGAAATCGAAAACCGGTTCTAAACGATATATTTATCATTCTTGATTATCATTTTACGGTTTAAATCGCGAAATGTATTACTTTACTTATATACAATTTGATTTAAACCGTCAAAAATGTTTCATTTCAATGTGTACTCCTCGCGTAAACTACAGACAATATCTTAATCACAATATTCATTAAAGCAACTTCAAAAGCATGTGTGGTCTTAATTACGATCGATTTGTATACATCATTGTTAGCTTCGCATACGTTTTATGGCATGCTATAAATAGTTTGTAAGTGAATCTCAGGTTGCATAAAAACACTTTCAATCCGTTAAAGTAAACATTGGTACTCAACTGGAAATAAACAGGAAAAAAACAAAATAAAAAATATATATTTTTACGTCTTAGCTGTTTCTTATCGACAAGATTTCACTTGTTTTTATAAAATAAAATATTTTTAATGAAAAAATATTGTTTTTAGTGCAATGTAGATTGTTCCTTGTAAGAGCATTGGGCGGATATATTTATGTGTTCGTTTTCGTGATCGATTAACGATAACACTTTACATGCGAGTCAGTAGACCGGATGTGCCCAACGGAAAGTACACATTCTAGGTATTTTTCGGGATTTGAATCCTGGACTCTCGCAACGGTAGGCAGGCAACTTATTAAACGATTAAGGCATGGTAAAAAAAAATAACTGAGTGATTAACAACTTTGATATAATTCATAATACATGTAATTGTATTTTGTATGTTAGAGCACCACAGACAGGCATGGTGTTTACTTAATGATAGGTGTAATACCCCAGCCATATAACATCTGGACAAAAGTCGCTGTCGGCCTATTTTATCTTTGGATAATTGGAAATCCATAGACTGAAACGGAAACGCTTAAACTTTGCGACGTTTTGATTTGTGGACGCTGGTTCGTGACCTAGACGGAATTTTGATATTAGGTACTACAAACAAGTATCAACTTAAAAAAAATCTTTTAGGTTAAACTGCTTTATTTTTTGTGTACTGAAAACTACAAAAAATTTAAATTTTGACATAATCATCATGTTTTACTAGTGTAGCCCTTTCATTTGATACCCATATTGAGGGGGTTAAGGAAAAATATGTAATCCGCCATTTTGTACGGATTTATAATATTTCGGATTTGATTATATTGTATTGTCATCTAAATTAAATGTGTGTACCAAATTTCAGATCAACCTGACAACGGCAAGGTGCTTAAATTTCAATTTCTAATTTTGACCCAAATAAATAAATTCCGTACTCGACCCGTATGGAATTGATTTATTTAAATAAAACCGTTTAAAATATTGCACCCGGTTGGGATCAAATCCACGATCCGTTGTTTAGCTATACATTAGAACCATGACGCCAACGAGCCCGTCGAAATACTTAAGTCTATACACATAATTCTAATCGCCCAACAATTATATTAAAACAACCAACAATAAACCATTAAGTAGGAAGGCAATATGATTAAGCAAGCCTTGTACAACGAGTTGGATTTAGTGACGCAAAGTCGGTCTGTCTCGTTCGATCTCGCGAATACAGGTGCGCCATCTCATTCTTACATCGACGAGCGAACGTGCGCGCGCGCAACTCAGCGTACAACGGAGTGCATTCACACAGCGGTCGTCAACGTCATGATATAAACAAGTTCTAAAACTACGTAGGCAAATTTTTTAAATTATATTGTGAAATTGCAAACGTACTTAGTTTTATCTGTGGTACCCCTGTGAAACGTCGGTCGGATTAAGAAATCTAGACGATATCTAAGTTGAAACGGCGAAGGTTAAGTTTCATAATAATGGACGCAACACGTAAGTACACTTTATTTTAGTTTGTCCAAAGGTGGTTTAAACAACGCATTTGAATTTATATATACATATAGATAACAATACCGTACTCGGAATACTTTAACAAAAATAACTCATTTTTTTCGATAACGGTAATACCAAGTTTTAATAGAAGTTCTTGATCCATATTTTACACTAATAAAGATAGTTTTACGTGATTACTGAAATGTAAATGACTATGTCAGTATTTCACTTTTTATTTCATAGATTAGATTTAATGAAATATGCGCACGATAAATAAAGTACTTTTAAAAATACGTGACTTAAATTCGTCCGTAGCTTACGGGAGTTTTACATTTTAGTTTAAATAAAACACTAAGCCTTGGCCACGGAGACTGCTGCTGCAAATCACTCGAAACGTAGGGCCCTAGTTAAAATAATTTATAAATAAGTTTAACGAATATATTTCGCGTTTAAAACCGTTAAATGTTTTATTTACATTATTCCTCAAATGGTTATTAACACTTACTATGTGAAATCAATAGAATTTAGAGCAATATTTATCTTTTAAGATAACTTCTTAATGTTTATTCTCAATTCTTTATCACTAAACTATGATAATAGCATTATATTTTTGCGGTCAACACAATGCCAAGTATCAACAAATCATACGACCACGGAATTTCAACTATTCCTACATAATAAATAACACGTAACGAATGTCGAGTTATTCGTTGATATAATCGTATTAAAATTATCGATACATTATGCAAGTACTCTTATAAATAATACAATGTAAATAAATTATAGTTTGAGTTTCAACCCGTTTATAATAGCTTAAGCTACAGATGTAGACTGTTTTTTGTTTAAAATTCGCTTACTGTTTATTAATGTTTTACATAATAAAAAAATATACTACCTTTATCTACGATAGTTCAAAAATAACGATTACAATTATAAAATTCATATAATCGACAAACAACGATGCATTGATCGCCTTAAATTGACCTATCGTTAAACTGACCGTAACTATGAATACTAATCGATAGCCATTAAAGATCTTATCAATAATTTCTCAGTGAAATTGGCATTAATATATAAACACGTATTTGAAATATTTGCTTCCCTTTACAATAAAGTATTATAATCAAAGATTTTTACAGCACGCTTTTACACTTTCCATTTTTAAAACCTTGTAAACGAGTCACGCACTAAATATTTTGTTCACAATCGTAATTATTATTACGGAATCGATGTTTAAGATTAAATACAGACTGGTTTTATCAAACTTTATTGACAGTTATATAGTGACACTACCAATATTATTTTCTTCAACAACAATTTCTTAAACCTATACGTAAAGATAATAAATTAAGGAACATAGAGGTAAGCTTTACCGATAATGTGTGTTAAAACTTTTAAATTCTTTGCATTGATAAATTTGTAACGTTTAATCACTGTTAAAATGTAAATATTTAGTAGATTGTCCAATGTAAAGTCGTGACGTCACTTGCCATCGCAAAGTTGTGTTTAAGCGCGCAATTTAAATGTAGGGTTTTCAATTTGATTTTAGCAAATATATATCAGAATTAAAAAATACTTATCTGGAGTACCCTAATTTCTACCAAATAATATAAAGTACATTTAAAAAATCTGTTAAATAGCTTTTCGAATAGTTAGTTATTTAAATAAAACACTTTACAGTCTCCCCGTGACCACGGCTGCTGCAAAGCATCCGAAACGTCGGGCCGAAGTTAAAAATCATTTTCAAATAAGTTTAACTAATATATCGCGTTTTAAACCGTTAAAGTGTTTTATTTAAATGTGTACTACTCGCGTAAACTATAGACAGTATTTAGTTAGTTATTTCTGAACATAATGCTTTCCTGGTCTCTGTTCCTATAACAAAAGTGTAGAAGGGATAACATCATCTTTCGGTGCTCCGATTACCTACCTAAAAAACAGACATATAAATAACACACGTTAGAATCTAAAGACAATGTATTTCCATATAAGATGTCAGACTGTGTCGACAACGAGAAGAGCGCATTTGATCCATGTAATTTTATAACATAAAATCCCGCTTCTCTTACGTGCCCAGGCATATTTCTGCGTCTGTTCTATTGATGGATTCTGAAAATTAAGACAATAACTGCTCAATGTATATAACGAACAAATTAACTACCTCCGGAAATAATAAAACACCTCTTATTTAAAATTAGTTATCATGACTTCATTTGCACAAAAAACATCTAAAAATGTGTGGGAAACAAACCTGTCAAGCACTCTCGTAGCAATTAAAAATTATTACACGGTAAATGTATATGACTGTCCATTGGTCTACTGGTAAGTAAATTTTAACGTATATCACGAGGTCCAGGTTTCGTTAACTAGGGCATATGAAACGTTTTTATTGTTTTTATTAATATAACTTTATTATTATTAAATTATGTAGGAATGGCTTACATAAAAAAAACTTATCAACTAGCTTAAATAAATGGCGCCCTTATCGCCTAACAGCGATCTCCTTCAGGCAACGAAATGTCAGGGAAAAACAAGAAAGTACTATTGGTAGGTTGCGCTAGAGAAGAATGTGAAAGAAGGCAATTAATAACTGGAATGAAACAATTTAAAAATGTGATTATTAAACGGAAAGATTGAGCTTTTCTTATATCAATTCATAATTTAAATAAAACACTTTAACGGTTTAAAACGCGATATATTATTTAAACTTATTTGAAAAATGATTTTTAACTTCGGCCCGACGTTTCGGATGCTTTGCAGCGGCCGTGGTCACGGGGAGACGGCATTTTTCAAATAAGTTTAACTAATATATCGCGTTTTAACGCGTAAAGTGTTTTATTTAAATGTGTACTACTCGCGTAAACTATAGACAGTATTCAATTCATAATGTTCTTTCGGTATGGAGGATAAGCACAGGAGCAGCGAGGTTTTATGACCCTCTCACCGTGGCCTGTGCCCCATCATGGGACATATATGTTGTAACACGATATATGTGACAATAAAACTTCTATATAATCTAAAAGAATTCAAAATCCGTCGAGATGACGTTCGTTTACAAGTCGTATGTTTATAATTCAAACAAAAACAGTAAAATTCTTAACACATTACTTTACTGCTCGTAATTATTTATTTATGTGTTGATTACTTGTAAGAATTAATGACGAAACGAGAAAATATGTATCGTATTACGCGAGTGGAAAATACAAGGAACATTTAACTAGTTTAGTTTACATTTCAAAGTAGTTAAATTTCTGATGCTTTGATTTAAAGGAATAGGAGTATAATTTATAAGCGTTTATAAAAAATATTTATCATATATAGTTTCCAAATCCAAATTTTATTCGCTATTCGATCACAATAAAACGACAATTGTCCTTCAAGTATTGCGAACTATGTAATTTTTATTCGACGCATAATTATTTACAATAAGTATTAGTCACTCCTTAAAAACATGCTTTAACGTCTCGTATACGGCGAAGTTAACCTTTGCTCCTTAGTCAGAGTGGTGACGTATTAAATTACAGTATTCAATATATCACATCGATTCAATTATGGATTTCAAAATCAATTATAAATTGAAAAAAACAAATGCGCGTAAATAGGTTGAAATAATTCGATGGTACGTTTAAAGGAACGCTGTGGGTGCAAGTCCTGCGCTTCACTTAAAACTTTTTTCAATTTATAATCGATTTTGAATTTATATAGTGCCATCATGAGCACTAACAAGTTAAAAATACTAATGTGCTCAAACGCTTTTATTTTTCAGTGGAAAACAAAATGGGTCTACCGCCGCCATACGAACAAGTACCAGCGAACCCCGCGCCGCCACCATCGTACTTTGGTGACAATCCACCACCCCCAGAATCCACGCCGCGCCCCAGAACTGTGGTTGTGACACAAGCACGCGAGACAGCTACCAATGGACCTTCGAAATTGGGACCGGGACCGACTGGTACTTCGTGTCCTACCTGTAACAAATCGATTGTTACTAGAGTGGACTATGTCCCAAATAACAGAACACATATCGTATCAGCTGCGCTTTGTGTTCTAGCAGGGTAGGTCACAAATTAATCTCAAATCATTAATTCACAAGACATAAATAAGGTAAATATCAGCTTAATTAAAAAAAGAGGACCACAGCTACTGCAAAGCATCCGAAATGTCAGGCCGTTGTAAAACATTTTTCAAATAATTTTAACTAATATATTTCGCGTTTTAAACCGTTAAAGTGTTTTATTGAAGCGTATGTATATGACTATGATTTTCTTTTTTTGCTAAAGAAACCTGTTATTCAGATAAAAACACTTTTTACGGTTTAAAACGCGAAGTGTATTAATTAATTAAGCTGTGCCACCGACTTTTTACGCGTAGAATTTGGACGTGGAATTTGTTTGGAAGAAACAAATTTTGGACGTCAAAATTTGTTTTTGTTTTTTCGATATTCATTTTTACTTTTATCTCCCACTATTTCTTCGCTCTTATTGGTCGCAACTTAATGTTTCATAGCTTGCCTTCCTCGATAAATGCTCCGACCAACACAAATATATTCATTCAATTCGAACCAGTATTTCCTGAGATTAAAGCGTCCACACAAACAAACAACTCTTCAGTTTTATAATATTAGTATAGATTTCATTTTAATTACGGCTCGAAAATACTCTACGCCTGTACCTTTGTTATTCTATCTTCAATAATTTTTATCTGTAGCTGAAAAGCATTAGATTTAACCTCAATTCGTAAGGTAGAACTCGTGGTCGTAGTATAGATTGTTAATTCAAACAATTTTCATTCCAGGTGTTGCTGTGGGTGTTTCGTGCCTTACTGCATGAGATCCTGCAAGACCGCAAATCACTATTGCCCTGCTTGCAAGGCCTTTATAGGATCTCACATTCCTTCATAATCAACTAGCGTCACTGAAATATTGTAAGAACTAAGAGCTGTTTTCTTCGTACACTATTCTGGTGTGGATCGCCGGCGCGGATAACGCTGATTTACTTGCCTTCTTACGTATTAAGAAACCAAAGACGTCGAAATTGTACTATGAGCTCTCTAGAAAATAAACAAATAGCCGTATTAATGAGTATTTTACGTTGAAACTGTATACACTACGATCACGAAATGAAAATCTCTTTCACATAACGTCATGCTAAGTACTGCAGGGGTTATTTTCTAGATATAGGTATTTACGTAACATATTCTCGAATTAAAACTGTGATAAACTAATGTACTTACAGTTTCTATTAACTTTAGGCAATTAGGGAATGGATTTTTGTAATGTATTTGTAATAAACAATGGAAACTTATTTTTTTATTTAATTAAGTCACACGATACTATTTCACGTGCATAATACAACGTATATACCACAACTAATACATACATTAAATACTGTCTGTGGTTTACGCGAGTACACATTTAAATAAAACACTTTAATGTGCCTCCCAGTGAACACGGCTGCTGCAAAGCATCCCAAACCTCGGCCCGTAGTTAAAATATTTTTAAAAATAAGTTTAACTGATACAAATCGCGTTTTAAACCGTTAAAGTGTTAAAAAAATATAATGACAATGATCAATAATACGTAAGTACTATTATTTATCAGTTAAGTATATTAAAATAAAACAACACTTTACCGCAATCTAATTTTAATTATTCTCTAGATGACAGTTTTAACATCTGGCTGATGACACTGAGCACTAATATTTATTAATTTATTCGAATTTACAACAGCTTAAAACTTTATCTAGAATCGAAACTAACAGTATGCAACAATAAACAATAAAAAATTACAAATAGACTATAGAGATACAAAAAGGCAAAAGGCTAGACGCGCGTGGTTTTGTTTAGGGGTATGTCTGTGTACAGAAGATATATAACAAATACTGTTCTTTATTAAAAAATAATGGTGTAAACGACTATTTATTTAATTAACGTATAATTACAATAGACTAGTTTACTTGTTCAATGCTAAAAAAGTTTGTTCCTTGTATACACTCCTAAAAACCGTCGGCAGTTTGGACAGAAGTGCTCCACATTTTTCCATCTCTTAAAAATATATGGCAATATGCAGCAACATAACCACCTTAAATATGAAAAATAATCATGACGATTTTATCAGGATACAAGAAATTCTAAAAATCTATACGCGTATAGGAGCGTATTTTTACGTTTAGTAATAAGCAAAAAATACATAATAACTTATTTATTTTACTTATGGATACAGCAACAGATTAGATTATATAGATAAAGATATATTAGTAGCACATAAGATCCATAATATGACAAATCTTAAATATACTTTAATTTTAATGGATAAATTAAATTGCGTACATTTCTTACCAAAATAATACGCCAAAAATGATAGCGGTAAAATGTGTCTTTGGCGAGTTTTTATAGTGGGCATTGGTCATTATTTCCTCTTGGCAGTACGGACATCGCATTCCTACAGGCTCTGAGCCCACCTGTAGGAGATCCATCTCGATATACACTTCATTTGCACTTTGATCGATTGGTTGATACGCGTTGGTTTCCACTGTAATTAATGAAACAGTAACAATAACGAAGCGGTTAAAATTATTCTACGTGTTCGAATTATTCGAGGATTTGAAAATCGAACATCACTTTAGACTGTACAGTTCTATTCTCTTATTCAGAAATTTTAAAAAATCATAACACTTGTCTTGATGTTTTTTAATGGATATTCATTTATAATTAAATCGACATTACGACTTTATACTCTTTTTAGCAATGCAGCAAAAAGTCTTAGATAAAGTGATGTAAGTGTTGTTTTAAAAATGTATTAAATAATAATATCAAAATCAACTTACTTTTCTTTGCGTTCAAAGAGTAACATTTAAAGTAGCATGATAATATTTTGAACTCCCGATAAATGTTAGTATATTGTTGTTATTTTCAATGTTAAAAATAGAAACTGATACATCGTAATAACACCCGACATCTAGTAGTTAGTATTCTCTGCAAGTGTGAAGGATAGGACAAGTGATAGCTGGTTATCATATACACACTTAACTTGATAACACCTAACACCGATCAATGTACCTATACGATTTAAAGAATATTCCTAATCAATTGAGTGTTAATACTGTACAACTATAGCGAAACTTTATTCCATTTAAATAGTGTACATTTCAAGTTAAATAGTAAAATTAAAGCCGGTTACAAAATTTAATATATGTATTTTTAAAATCTTATAAAAATAAGAAGTTTACAATGTTGTGCAATGTTGGCATTGAAAACAATTTCGTAATATTAAAATGAAATAAAATCCCAGAATAAGGTTCCTTAAGGAATTATTGGACGGTTCAAGCAGTAACTGGTGTTAGGAGTAGTAATTAATTGAGCCGGTAAATAAAATAAAACACGATTGTAAAATACAAAGTAAAGAAAATCGATTGCTTTATTTTAAATATAACACCGCTAAACATTTAGAGGCGAATTGTTGTAAGCCGATTTTTAATAAAATTTTTAAATAAATAGTGTTTAAGAACGTTTTTAGTTTTAATAACGTTAAAAATATATCTTTTAAATATTATAAAGTTAGAAGAACACTAAATATTCTATAGATTTCTACAAATAGCGAAATGTGTAATAATTAATACATCAATCTTTGATTTCCATTTTTGCCAGTCACTAAAAGATGTACTATAGATGAACTGTTAAAGGTAAGAATGTAAATTGTCACATGCTAAAACTGTCAAAACAAAATAGATAAAAAGATCGTGGATTACCAGTAAATGTTGTAAATATTTTGTTTTTATGTATTTTACTTAGTTCATTGTTTTGTGTCCTACGTTCCCTAGATGTATGTAGGCTAATCATTAATTATTTGTTGCTGAGGTTATAGCACCTGAAGGAAGAGAGATATATAGCAACTATATGAGCCATGGATGTAGACTTGCTGAGACCGGGAACAGTACCAATATCACCAGAGACGGTGCTGTGGTTTGAATTTCTTCTTGATCCAACTTTACTTCGACGACATTTAAGTAAATTTAATCCTGGTAAGTAATGCTTACAATGCTTTCAATCAAGAGTGGAAATCACCTATTTAATATTTTATAGAGCTTGGAATAGCTCCCCTGTGACCCATTTTTAAAATAATATTTTTAATATTCAATAGAACCAACAGGATGTCAGTTGATAGAGGAGTTCTTATCAGTTGATGCCAAAAATCAAAATGCTAAACTGACCAATGATAGAATTGTAGATGTTGATGGACCATCAAGTCCTTCCCCAGGAACTCCAACAATACTACAATTTACTAAAAAACAACTCGCTTTGAAGATTTTAGCACTTAGAGTTGTACCAACAATTAATTGGAACCTTGGTATGATCTTTAAATTCAATATTTTATAGACATTTTTTTTATAACAGTTTATATCTTGACTAGATAAAAGGTGTAATTGTAATATATAAATACCAAGCAGTACCATTCTCAGATGTGCTGGATTTAAAACTGGCCTGGGAATAGTAAAGGAACGGCGAAGTTTGTAAGAAAATTATTAAAATAATACCAATTATACTAGAGTTTGATATCTACTTTCAAGGTACAACTTTCATATGCTGCTTAAGATTGATTTAAGATATCCCCTTAAAACTAATCCTAACCAAGAAATCAAGTAAAGGTGTATAAGGCTTTTGCGTTTTATTTTAGATATTTTGGAAAATAACCTACCACCACACATACAACAGCAACTAATGCAGGATCTAGTTTTTATGGCAACAGATGCAACTTTTGCTGTACCCCCACTAGTCAGTATAATATTTTATGAGTGAAAATATTCTTAATTATATTTTAAATACAAAACTTAACTTAAATTTAAGTGTATTTTATAACTGATTACTTTGGTTGTAGGAAATTCCAACAGATATGTTGCAACAGTTACATGTTCAATTTGCTCTCATCTTGTACCACCGATGGGTTCTCAGGTTTCCTGTAAAATCAGCACTTTGTATGAAGTCCTCTAAATTGCCTTATGTGCACATGTAAGAAATTAAATAAAAATGATTTGTGCTTCATTTATAATTATTCATTATGTTAATGTTTCAATGTGGTTTTAGACCAGGAGCTCAAGGCGAGAACCCTTACAATCCAATGAGCCAACATTTTGAGAAGATTTTAAGAACATGCGAAACGTCTAGAATACAAAGTATTCGGTATTTGGAGAGCATACTAGCATTCTACGAGACAACTATAGGTCGACGAGAATCGAGGAGAATTAAAATACCTGTTATGGAAACATTTGTGCATCTGACAGAAGATTCTGATGATATGAATCATGACTGGAATGCTGGAGATGTTTACATAACTCAATATGAACTAGCAATGCAAATACACTTTGACCTGTGTTATAACTACTTCTTTTATGGACAGCATGATTTAGCCAAGAAACATATACTAGGGTGTAGAGAAAATTTTATTTTATTGGAAAGAGAAATAGCTACTTATGGCTATGGAGTATACAAAGATTTGCCGTGGGGTAACTTTAATTATGCGAGTATGCGGAAAGACGATATATTGGGCTACATAAGAGCTTTAAACTTGAGCTACGAACTTTTAAGTGAAGAACCATCTCTTCTACAGAAACTGCAAGAATCTATTGCAAATCATTACACAGGCATTATTGGGATCCTTCAAGCTGATAATTTATCTAGAGAAATACCATTAGTCCACAGAGAAGTAGTAGAACTTGATATACAAGGGTCTGCTTCTAGTGGAGCATTTACTGTAGCAAGAGATCTTTTAAATAGAGTGTCAGTATTGAATGCTGTAAGATATGCCCTAGAGGGTGGTATACCTTCCACTCATTCAGATTTTTTAAATAGGTTTAAAACTATAGGTATCAAATACTTTGATCTCCTCTTTTGGGCTCTAGGGCCAGTTCTATCCGCAAACTTACCTGAAAAAGACTGGGAGAATCTTAGAATATTCTTCCTCCACTTGGCTACATCTAATTGTAAGTTACCGATAGACAGAATAGATGAGTACTTAAAGAAGTATGCTGGGGAAGCCTCTGATAGTATTAGGCGTAAGTTAATATGTGACGAACATCTAGATGGTATTTTAAATGACATAAATGCAATAGATGATGAAAATATGGATATACCAAGGGAACTCCTGACCGACGATTGGGAAATGCCGAACTTTGATTTTAAAACTGTCCCAGAATTGGAAATGGGTAGGTTGAAAAAGAGGCTTGTGGAAGCCTCTACAGCAGAAGACATAAGAATGCGGTTAGTCAAATTAGCGGTGATGTCACCATCTTCACCGTTGTGGAAGTTGAGTCCTTCTTGGAAACCTCCGGGGGGGTTGGGAATGACATTTATTTCGTTACCCAGAGGTTTTATGCAGGATTTTGGGTACATTGTATCGGGGCTAGCAAGGGCTCGAGTTGAGGCTGGCTGTTCTAGAACTGCATTATCACTACTGTCAGTATTGGAGAATGAAGCTAGAAGCCAGTTAGGTGTAGGGTCCGATCCGACTTTGTATCGCCTCTGCCGTCAGTTGTCATGGGAAGTGTTGTTCTTACAAGTAAATGTGATGTTAAGTGAGTGGCCTAATCATCGTCTGAATCTGTCGGCGCTGGCTAATAAATGTAAAGCTTGCATCGCTGCAGCAACATCTGGGGACGGTGTTGTACCACGACCACAGGTACTTCTTTTTTAATAATGGTATACTAAACTTTGAATGTTGCGTACACTTAATGAAAATGAATTAGATTTTCGGGGCCTATTTTAGATTTATAAAATGAAATAATTTATATTTCATCTATGTCACTTCTTTTTCTTATTTTTTAGATGTGGGAAAAAACAGGATCTTGAAAAAAAACTCATTTATACAATTTTTATGTATTTTTCGCCGACATTCTAAAGACAACTACCAAGGACTATATTTTAGTTTTAACTGGCGACTGTATATTTTAGTAGTTTAAAATAATTTCAGGTATTGGAAGGCTGTTGGATTTGTGTCGTGAATGCTTGTGAGTGGGAAGGTGCCGGGATTGTGTCGGGGCCTGGTGAGGCAGCAGCTGCACTGTGTGCGGCCTGCTTTGATCTGCAAAGGGGCAAAGGAGCCAGAAAATTCCCTAGACCCCTATGGGACTATGGTATAAAGGATTTTTTTTATTTTTTCAATAACAAAACAAACACATTCAAATAGTTTATGAATTTATCTTTATCCTTAAAATCATGCTTGTGGTATTATTATATACTTTCTGACAAATATCTGTTTTCTATATCAACAAGGTGGAGAGAGGTGTTTCATTCTATTTAATAGCTAAAATAACTATTAAGGATTCATTATAGCATTAAAACATTTTATCATTTCTTTTTGCCTTATAAGCCCTAATTAAGCTTTTCCGACAGCAGTTTTTATCATATTATAGCAGATGAAATATGTTATTTTCAGTTTTATCAATATACAACAACGGCTCTACGGGCCCTGTAAAACGGAACGCCAGCGGTCTCCCATCGCATTCTAGGGATGCGCCAAACGCAGCCGCTGAAGCAAGGAACGCATTTAACGCGTTTCTGACAACACTTCGCGAACCTTTAGCCGTTAGCGTAATGCTGTCGCTCCTAGCAAGAATATACAACCTCCTTATAGACGATAGTAGTTTAGAACTTGTCGTTGAATACACCACTCTGTGGCCTTCAAACATGTCGAATTCGAACAATTACAATATAAAACACATTTTGGAGTCGATCACTGAACTATTAGAGAAGAGTTTGAAGTACTACCCCTACAATACGTCTTGGTGAGTAGAGTCATGAAGTTATCTTATTAATTATTGTTTGTTTGTTACTTAAAAGACTTGATCGATTTTGATAAAATGTTGTGTCTCTGTAGCTGTGTAAGCTGCGATACTCTACACGTAAGACATTTTCGTTATAAGTGGTGTATATCGCTTTTCTATGTTTCAAAAATTAGACGACAATGAAATAATTCATCACTAAGAAAAAATCGATGTAAAAATTTTGATAATGTTCTGTGATTGATTAACGCTTTGATCAAAATAGTTCCAAGCCTTTACGTAGGAAAATTACAGAACCATGTAATTATCCTGACAAACTTGTATGAATAAGATTACCCACCTCCTGTGTAGGTATAAATGTATGAATTACTTTTGTTTGTTTCTAACTATTAATGATTTTAATTTTATAGGCTACGTTTATACGGGGACGTTGAAATGGCTTGCAGTAGATGGTCAGCGGCGTTACGTAGATACTTGTGCGCTCTAGCAGCAGGCACCTGGCATTTCGCGAAACGAGCACCGGACGAAGGCAGCATAGCGCGCCGTGCAGCCCGCTGCTGCCAAGCCTTGTCCTCCCCAGCACAAGCAGCGGCGCTCTGCCAGCTACCAGAAGAGCCTGACTACGCTACAGCTTTCAAATGCTTCGCTGAAAAGGTCTGTTTAAGTAAAAGGACCCTTAGTTCAAAGTATATTAAGTGTAAAGTCGAATGTTCTGTTGCCAAAAAAGTCCTACATAATTGTAAGACAATAGGATAGGATAATAGGAAATATTATTAATTAGATCAAGGCATATTTCGGAGTTTAATTGCACGAATATATTTGCATTGTTTGTTTAAATATTTTAAAAAATTACTCGAAACTTGTAAGATGGTTTTGAGTCAAAAATATTTTTTACAAGTATTACAGTCTCCCCGTGACCACGGCTGCTGCAAAGCATCTGAAACGTCGGGCCGAAGTTAAAAATCATTTTCAAATAAGTTTAACTAATATATCGCGTTTTAAACCGTTAAAGTGTTTTATTTAAATGTGTACTACTCGCGTAAACTATAGACAGTATTTAAGTATTACAGAATGAATTTTCGCTACAAATAAAATGTGTTCAACTTAGTCTGGGGACCAATTAACAAAAAGTATACAAATCGTACAATCTATAGACTAGGAATAAAAGGTTATATTTTGGTTTGTAAAGCCTAATCATAAGGTATCTTAAGTGCTATTTTGTTCAAACCCAACTAAAACCTTATCCTGTAATTATAGAATACGGTCACACATATTTGGAAATTATTTTAGCTACGTACGAACTAACTACCCGACGTTTCGGATGCAAAGCGGAATTAAAATAAGTTTAACTAATATATTACGACTTTTAAACAGTTAAAGTGTTTTCTTTTTAAATGAATGTATTGTAAGTGATAATTTAATCTACCATAATATTTTTTTTTGCAGACCAGTAACGCAGCAGATGCCATGGACGGCTATTACGGATGCCTATGGGACGGTACGTTACTCGAAGTGGCGGTAGCTCTTCATACGCGACGCGGGGAGGGAGGGAAGCGGTCCCGCGCAGTCAAAGCCGCCGGAGCCCTCGAACTGAACGCAAACAATAGCGAGGACATACAAAGAGAAGCAGCTGCTATACGACGAGCGAGAATGCTTCGCGCACTGACGAACCAATATGTCGCCTGAATATTATAGAATATTTTTAAAACATTGTCTTTTTTCATTATTATACTAGTTTGGTATTCTATTATATTGACTTGGCTAAAATATATGGGGGTGCTAGTGCACTTCCAGTAAGCAACGAGTGACGCTCATGTTGAGAGTCAGCACGGAACTTTTGTTGAACAACGTTGACTGCAATAACATGTAAAAAATAATAAAGTTTTCAAACGTTATAACTTTGTAATTTCATCTTCAATGATTTCTTAAGCTGCAAAGCATAAGACCTTGAACCTTAATACGTAAGTGTTAAGGTTGAAATTACATTGCGCGAGTGTGCATGTATCGATAAGTTGAAAAAATTCGACAATGAGGTGTAGGATTTGTTAGTTCAATTGGTAGAGCAACAGCACGGAACGCTGGCGATGCCAGTTCAATCCTGCCCGAGTCGAAAATTTTTTTTCATTTTATTTTCGATTTTTAAATTATAACGTTGTCTGTAGTTTCGTAATTATCGAGATGTTTTGTGATACTCATATAAAAACATTATATGTATGAAAATTATGATGATAAAAGTAGATAGGATGAGTTTATTATTTTTGCTTTCTATCGGGGACATCCATAGCAGGCTGGGTGATCCGATCACACCATCAGCTGATCATTTCAGCCATATCCCCACCAAGGAGGACGAGGACAACAACCTCTCTACAAGGAGGACCTTGTTTTTGGGTTATCCTACGTCCCCGTGACCCCTTCAAACCTTCCTTCTTTCTATCTAGGCTATGTGTGAACATTTTCGACTGCCTCATGCCATTCGAAGATTTCCATCTTTTGTATGTTTCTTCTATGATACTGCTGTCAATTATTCCCGTGGTTACTTTATGGGCTATCGGAAGTCTCGGTTCCAGACCTACCATGCTTTCATCATCTCCTTCGAACTAGGAGAGCTTAATAATAAAACAAAATAGGCTAGGAGGGGTTATTAGTAAAAAAATCCAAAACCGGGAGGAAGCTATACCTTTTTCGTAGATAACTAGCTCCACCAAAAAAATATACCTGTTAAAAAACCTAAGACTTCTTTGAAAGGAAGAACGAAAGAGGTGTTATATATTTTTTTGTATTTATTGAAAGAATTCCTCAAGTATGTAGCATTTCAAATCTAAGTTTGGCTATTAATTTACTTTTGATACGTGCCGAGATACTTTTCACACTGTGGGCAATAATGATCTGCATTCTTCGCCGAATCCGAGCAAAACGGGATGCAGCAGCAACAGCTAAAAAAAGATTTTAAACACTAAGTAAGCTTTGATGGGCTCGTTGTTCGATCCCCACCAGGTACAACATATTTGTAATCAATTTATATTTTTTCTGAAACATGCTGGACTTCGTTTGAAAATCTGGATATTACATGGTGGGAATATGTAAAATTACATCCGGATCACGAACTACTGACAGATGAAAAAGATGTCAAGTTTAATCGCGTTTCGGTTGCAGTCTGTAGAATTTCGAATATCCAAAGCCAAACTAGTAGACAGTGCATCTTCTTTAGATGTTTTATGGCTAGAGTATTTCGCCTACCATCATCCCATAGTTGTCTGTGCTCGTCTGACATAAAAAAATAACCTATAAGTAGAGGAAAGTATGGCGGTATTAAGAAAATGAAGACGAGAGGTTGCTCAATGAGTAGAGCGATATAGAACGCTGTGGTCCTAGGTTCCTGCTCGTGATATACAATTATTTTTATCTAGACTAGACAGTTTGACAAATACCTACCAAAGCATCGAACAGAGAGCCCCGGCTATATGCGTTCTAGCGGTAGGTGTGTATCGAACCGCAGTTCTCACGGATTTGCAACAAAACGGACACACAACTGTGTTACTTTTCGGTCCTAGGAGAATCAGTGGCTGAAAAAAAAGCAGGAACTGCCTCACCTCAGCAGAACTTATTATATACATTAGGGTTTAGATATTGTTTTTATATTCTTATTTTAATAAAATGTTACACGGCTGGGGTGTTTTATCTTTCTTAATAAATGTACAAACCAACACAAAAATAATAAAGAGGTGGTTCCTGAGCTTAGTGCGTTCAAACCAACAAACTCTTCAACTTTATAATATTAGTATAGATTACCGTTGGAACACTCGGGTTGGTCAAAGCTTGTTGCGGTAAAGTTTTCGATGCCGTCTCGATATCAAGTACCTAAGTACAACAGAAATATAATATATTTAAAATCGTAAAAAAACTAAAGCAAATACAATCAACACTCACATTTGTTATTTCTAATGCATAACATGCAATGCACTTTACCTGGCTTGAAAGATTATTTTCTTTTTCCTTCTTCATTTTAAACATACGTGATAACTGAAAGAATGTATAAATCAATATTTTGCATCCTTCTTTTTATAATAGAGAAGGACAGACACTCGTGGTTCACTTGATGGTAGGTGTCCCCCAGCCACATTACGTCTTAACAATAAGCGCTGTCGACCCTTTTGGCTACCTTTATTCAGAAATACATAGAATAAACCAAAACGCGATTAAATCCGAAGGACCATTATTAAAAATTAAATTAGTATTAATATTTCGTATTTAAAACCATTAAAAGGTGTTTCATTTAATGTGTAACTTGCAACTGGATTTGATTTGATTATATTCCATACCTGAATTTTTAACTCCGTTATATATCATAAATTTATTTGAAAGCGACCGTATCAAACAAGCTCTAAGACACATTTGTTTTATTTTGAAATCTTATGTATACTACCTACATCTTACAATAATATATAAAGTATGATGTGTGTCTGTAAGTAACGAAATATTTCGTCGTTTTTCCCTTTGGTCAAGTAGCTTTGCACTCTACTTTTATTCAAGAATATTTGATACTATCAGAAGCCATATTATCTACCTAGCTGTTTAATAGGACTACATAAGGATGGATTAAGTAAAGAAAGAACACATTTTCTTATTTTTTTATTCAACAAGTTTCAACTAGTTAGTAGGCATTTAATAATCTCACTATTACATTATCATACATAATAGATAGTTATTAAAATACTGTTGAAGGACAGAGTACAAAATTCAATAAATTGGTACAATATACAGATAAAACAAATTAATAAAATATACTTCAAGGTCTTATATGCAAAGTGCAAATGCATAGAATTGTATCCTATGTTCTGCTAACTGTGGAATAATATTGCATACTCTACTGCGAACTAAACAATAAGAAATTTAAAATATTTAATCTCTTAAGTACAGTTCTTATTATCAACTAGTAATTGAGAGTGATGCAAAAACATCTCTACCTAAGTTTTTTCGCGAACAGAAAAGTCTCGGTAGAAATTTATCGGGTCTAAACGAAGAACGTGTGAAGAATCTACTTTGTTAATCAATCTTGATTTACTTTTTATTGAAATCCGAAGAAATAACTATAATAGTAGGGCAGTAGGTAGGAATTGGGTACGTGCCCGAGTTATATAAAACTTATCAAAAAATTGTTTTCTTACTATAAGTCAAACTATAAATTGCCTTCGTAAACGTGGCGCAAATTCATTTGAAATGTATCAGAGTGTTTTGTGTCATACAGGTATACCTAATTAAGCTAACGGCCGGCTAAATTATTTTCCCTGTCTATAACCAATGCCCTATCTCAAATTCAACCCTACCTACAGCCCTGTTACACCTGTTAATAAAATTAAACAATACATTATCAAAAAGGATTTAATAGCGAATATCTACGGGTATAGTTTAAACAACAAATTCTTCGAGAGCAAACATAGAAAGTGCCGCTATTACAGCAACAGCCGGCACTGTCACCACCCATGCAAATATTATGTTCCTGCAACACAATAGTCATTGTTAAACCATGCATATTATGTGTATTATAACGATTTTTTATGTACATCTATTTGTAATTGTATACACAAGGGAACACGCAATAAAAATATATTGAACAAATTCGATAGGATTAAAATATAATAACAGAATGTTAATTGATTAAGAATAATTATTTATTCGTTGATACAATGATTAATTGGTATTTCTCTATCAAAGACACGTGGAGCCAAGAGCGGATCCAGCTTTGGCCCCAGGAAGTCACGTAGTGATCAAGTCAAGAACTTTTATTTTAATTTTGATAATAATAAATACAACAACAATAAATCAATGTGTTCAATTAGTGGTCCACGTAAGTCCTGGAACCGGCTCACGGAGGTCACGATCCCATATTATGAAGTATTTTCTGGAGTACTTAATAATTATACCATCCATTCCATTCTACTACTGTTAGCTGCCACAATGGAAAACTTCCTATAGAAAATAGTTGGGCGCCTCGACAAAACGAAGTTCTTCGTTGGGATTGCTTGATAGTGCTTAGGTATTAAAATATTATAGAAATCGCTGATTAGTACTTATGTATAAACTAAAGTATCCAGCTTATTATCAGTCAAAGTAAAGACGAAATGTATGTATAAGTAGCAGCACGGATCTTTAGCGCTGAACGAATCCTGCGCAGAAGTAAAAATAAGGTATCGAAGGGACGGAAGGACGGAAGCGGGCGCGGGGGGAGTGAACGTCATGTGTTGATTGGCTCCCCAGTCGTTTTGCCTTTCTCAGACCAATACGATGCTCCGCTTGCTTCTCGAGTACAGTCACTTTTTCCTCTCTACACTTCGCTCAGCGCTAAACAACCGTACCGTAACCTATACCGATCTAAAAATAATCTTTTAGTTAAAATTCTGACCTGAACAAACTCCAATCAACGGTTTTCTCGGAGAAGTATCCAACGCAAACGACTGACCCCACCTTGCAATGCGTCGTTGAAACCGGGAGACCCGCTTTGCTCGCCACCAGCACCGTCAGAGCTGCCCCCAATTCGATTGTGAATCCCCTGATATGGAATTCAGAAGTGAAGGAAACTTCCTATAGCTTATAATTAACTTTCTATGATAGAGGAGGACAGACAAACATGGGTTCACTTCATGGTAGTATAACATCTTTTTAAGTGCCTAAACAGGTTCGGCTAAATATATTTAAGAGTAAGTAAGTACAGTTCTCACCAAACTTTTTGGCCGGGCTAAAGTTAGCATGTCCGCCATCTTGCGCATGCTACTGTCAATTTTAAGCAAAAAGTCAAGTCGCCCTGCACCCGCGCACCCCTCTTGTCTCAACTGATACCTGTTTTTTTACGTTCTGCGCAACCATCCGCGCTAATTTCAATCCGACCAAAAAGTTTGAAGAGCACTGTAGCTAATATACAGTGCAATAATTAACGTTAATAATGTCTGAAGAATGGAACCGGCAAATTGTTAATAAGATAATAAAAATAAGAGAGAGATACTAACGTGTCAGGTGTGATGCTTGTAAGGTCTTCTCCAACAGTCTGTATCACTCTACGTCCCCAGAGCCATAAACCAATGGCTATACCAACTCCGCCAAAGACGAGAATCGCTAAAGGTGTTTCAGCTCGCGCGTGCGCACCGCCCTCAGAGTAAAGCAGCCACAAAGCCACGAGAGGCCCTATTGCATTGCTGGAAAATAAATTGAATATGGGAGACCGTTGGATTGAAAAATACAAAATAAACACTGTCTGTAGTTTACGCGAGTAGCACACATTTAAATACAACTTTAACGGTTAAAAACGGAATATATATTAGTTAAATTATTATTTATTTGAAAAATTATTTTATCTACTGCCCGACGTTTCGGAGGCTTTGCAGCAGCCATCAGGTCTAAAATGCGATACATATTAGTTTCACTAATATATATCGCATTTTAAACCGTTAAATTGTTTTATATAAATTATAAAATATTTAAAGATCTTAAATTTGTACTGCGAGTAATACGCATTTAAATAAAATAGTTTGAAACGCGAGATTTATATGTTATTTAAAATTTATTTTAACTACGTCGTGACGTTTTGTATGCTTAGCATTAGGTGAAACGTCGTCAAAATTTCAATAGAGAGGACGACTCTCAGATGAAACACCTGGGATCCCATATTAACATTTCTAGATCCCAAAAAACAGCATAACATTAATCGCGAGATCACCGTTAGTAAGATATGCAAGGACCTAGCCAGTTTCGCTAAGTACCAACTACAACAGAACAGATGGCGCTAGCGTAGCAGTTTTTACTTTGACAATAGGGACACCCTCTATCCAGTGTGCCGCTGCTGCGAAGCATCCGAACTTCGGGCCCTAGTTATAAGAAATTGCACATAAGTTTAACTAATGCATTTTACACAATATATTGTTAAATGTGTTTTATTTAACTCTTGAATTTGTAGTCATAAAATTAACGTCTATTGAAGTTTAAAAACTATATTACGAAACCATCTACCTTGGCTGTCCTTGGATTTACGGTGTCGTCAGGAAGCTGAGCTACTTGATATAAAGGTCAATCTTATCATATTATTTTGTAGTCTATCTACTACAGAATAACTTAGAAATCGTTTGAAAATCTATATGAAAATTTTAGTTAAAAAATAAGGACTGGGGCGTAACGTGTATTATGTAAGTTTGAAAATACATTGTGCATGTAGGTTGAAAAAATTCGACGATGACATGAAGGACACGGTAGCTCAACTAGTGATAGAACAGCACGGAACGCTTTGGATGCCGCCTTTCATGTTGTAATTTTTTTTTAAATCGATATTCAGCTAAGAACTCAACGGGTACAAATAAACAAGGGTAGTAAGGAGCATTACCTTACATCATTACCGCCATGGGCAAAAGCACCGAACGTAGCTGTTAAGACTTGTAGGAATGAGAAAAGCCTAAGCGTATCTGGTGGCGGAGGGGGCGGCGCAGGGGGCGAAGGGGAGCTCGCCCTAAGCAAAGGCGCCGCGCTGGAATTAGGTGTAATTGCGGCCAAGCCAGTACGCCCATCACATTCTATACTCCATGCACTTCCACCTTCGCGACCCTGAGAAGTAAACCGATCTTTAAGTGTTGTCTAATCATTAAAACGAGTTAACAGACGTCTTCTTACAATTACTACAAAGACCACGAACACAAAATTATCAGTATGCGTGAAATAAACTGCCTGTATATTCTTTATTGCACGCACAAATTACATTACAATTCGGTGATCAAAGCTATGTTTTTTCTATATATGTTATATGTTCTTGATTAAACATTAAAACATTAGCTATATACCAGTCAAAAGCCGTAGCTTATGTATTATTCTAGTGTCAAAACATATCCAATCTTCTTCTTAAATGTTTTATCTAACATGCCATTTAGAAAAATGTTTCACTTATGCCTACATCATACTATCTAGACATGCGGCAGCGTGGCAAACCGAGTTGAAACAAAGGAACCGGCTAGGCAGCGCTAAGTGTATCTAACACGAACCATTTGGTGCCTTTTGACCCCTCTATAACTTTAAACCTATTTAACATGACATAAAACTACGTGTGTTTAATGATATCCATTAGGACGCCTAGAAGTCATGTAGGTTGGCCAGTTATTATCACAATTGAATAATTTTATAAAATGAATGATCTAATGCAACATGGCAAAGTCAAATGTCCTTTAAAATTTCATTATTCAGTAGAGCAAAGAAATAGAGTTTATTACTTGTTTATAATATTTTGTATAGAACTTGGCACTCATTTAGGTCTCCATTCGCTTTAAAGCGAAGCCAAGCATAATTTTTGTTTACATTTATGTTTTTGTTGGGATATAAAATAAAACGATCCCTAAAGATAATAATCATAATGCTATTAATAAAAAAGATGTCCTCTACCTTCTCTAGTCTTGGCGGAGGTGTATCGAAATCCACCACACCCGACATAGCTCGAACAGCAGACATTCTTCCTAACTCTACTCGAGCTATTGTGTCACACGAATCACCGATAAACCCATTCTTAGAATCGTAACTCTCACCCATTCCCACTAACTGCGTCGAGTCCAGACTCTTACAGCAGCTTAAGGTTTCATCAATATACTTAAGTCTATTTATTTGAGGGTCTGCATCTATCAACTGGAGTCTGGACTTATCTGGAGGGCTCAGGCTTCGAGAGAGGATGCTACAATCGTCCATTGTGGCTAATAGGGCTCGGTTCCTGGCGTTCATTTCTCTAACTCCGAGTGAACATTTGTCTGCATCGCTTAATGTCACCATTTCGGCGCTCTCCGTTATTGCTTCTAGAACCTTCCCGTCTTCTGATAGTAGGGATGTCGGTCGCTGTGGACCGCCTTTAGTTGTATGTGTTGGAGTATTGGCGGGGGTAGTCTCTGAAATTGATATTGCTAGGGTCAATTATGGTTTTCCTTATCTAAAATTATTAGGATGAGAAACGATGTACACATATTAATTTAAATCAAATTGTGTAAAAACTCTAAAATTTCATCGATATGGAACTTGTTTTGACAAACTCGTTGGTGTAATAGAAGCAATATATGGCTAATATGAAAGGGTCGTTTTTCCAATCCCAACCAGGTCTAACCTCTTGTCCAATCAATATATAATTGATCTGAAGCATATAGGACTTCGTCTGGAAATCTGGATATTAAAGGTAGATGGGAATTGGGTGGTAAGAATATCAAAATTCTGTCCTGGTGACGAATGTAACAGATGAATAACCCGTCAAGTGTAACCGTGATTTCGATTCCTAATATCCAAGCCTAAATAAGTTGATAGCGCATCTTGTTAGAGAAGTGAAGCCATGGTCCATGTTCGTCTTTCCTCCTCTATCATAAAATAAAGCTTTTCTGGGTAAAAACAATAGAATACACGTTTAAATAAAACACTTTAACGGTTTAAAACGCTATATATTAGTTAAACTTATTTGAAAATGATTATTAACTTCGGCCCGACCGCGACGTCTCCCCGTGAACACGGCTGCTGCAAAGCATCGGAAACGTCGGGCCGAAGTTAAAAATCATTTCCAAATAAGTTTAACTAATATATCGCGTTTTAAACCGTTAAAGTGTTTTATTTAAATGTTTACTACTCGCGTAAACTATAGACAGTATTTAATAGAATACACGTTTTCTAGGCAGGCATGACTTTAATTTCCTTAAGACAAAACGCATAACGGTTTAAGCCTATGTAACAAATCATACCATTAGATACTCCGAGAACGAAGTTAACCGGTTTGGCAGTGAGTTGACGGCGGAAGTAGGGAACTAGAAAGAGTCTCACGCAAACAGCAATAACTGCACCCAGTGCTAGAGATCCAGCTAGCGCTAGCCACATCGGGATCTTATCCATTGCCAGAACTGTAAAGAAAGAAGGACAAGTTTTGAAAACATTGCTATAATTCACAATTTATTGTATTCCACGAAGACATCATAAAAATCCACTTTGCTTAAAAAAATACGATGTTACTGGCGATGGTATCTCAAGCTGCAAAATAGGACATAGAATACAATGAGATAATAAGAGAGAATAAGAGTTAAGGCGGCAATTACTTTGTATGAGAGGTGCAATTGGTTGAAGATTCGATTATTACATTGTGAGCTCAATCTGTTAAAGCTCGAATGTCTGTGAATGGTGGTTCAAGTCGTGTCGTCGAACTTACTACAACTAACTTTATCTAAATACGTTTCGAAAGGATTTAAAAGACACGTATGATTATTAATAAAAATACGCAATCTCTCTCTAGCACAGTACATAACATTAATATGTTGACTATATAGGTAGATATGCGTTTGATGCTTGAACAGGTTTGGCGATCGAGCCAGAAAAGAATCACGAGGGCAAAAGGAGCCCGCGGTAAGAAGGAACATTTTGCGCTGATTACAATCATTATAATTGCACTGATGCAGTTGTCCTTGTTAGATCGATAATGACAGTTCGCTATTACCTTAAATTAACTCCACAATTACCGCGTGATCCTTCTAATTAATCGTAATAAGTCTTTGAAGTAGCACACGTTCGGCAATTGCAGGCTGTATACTTACATATACCACTTATTAGTGTGAGTCGTTCAATATCTATATATTTATTTATATGCCGAATAAAATTATTTAAATTACCTTACTTTTAATAACACACAAGAGATATTACCAAATTTACTTCTTAAATCATGAGAAGGCTTGGATTTTACAGGTTAATTTTTAAATGTTGTGCACACGATGGCACTATATAAATTGAAAAAATTACGACACAGGCAGGCTTTGAACCAGAACGTTACGTGCTGTAGGTATGTAGCAATAAGTTAAAAAAAACCGATGATTTCGTGTAGGTCAGGGTAGCTCAATTGGTTAGAGCAACAGCACGTAACACTGTGGATGCCGGTTCAAGTCATGTCGTAAATTTTTTCAATTATGTCCCGCGCCAAGGTTTTTTAAATTCAAATAGATCTTTAATTTATACTGTAGAAAAGGCAAGTTTACCTAAGTATACATTTAAGAAAGTTATAAAATTTCGATTGTCTGAAAAGGCGTATTATTGTCTGAACGATTTCTTTAATGACAAGACCGCCTGGCAGTAATATGAATTGCTCCTTAGGTTAATAAATTTACAATAATGAATTAGTTTATAAGACATATTTAAAAAGCCGGACTGAGTTTCTTGAATGTTCTTCTCAGGTATGTTGCTTTTTTGAACACTCTGTAGAATCACGACGAACAGACAGATAAACAAAAAAAATTTTTTTTGACGAACCTAAATAATTTTTTAAATTTTAAAGAGAATAAAGTATATTTTATTTTATAATTGAACCAGTATTTAGCAAGTGATATTCTAATGTAAATGTGTATATAAGTATAATACTAACGCTTAGGTCCATCATGAACAACACTTAACACGTTGACTGCAACAGTTGCCCCGTAGAAGAAAGGTAACGCATGCAGACCCGCCGTTAGAGGTTGAGCAGCTCGCAGTATGAACCTGCGCACCAGCCAGAACAGGATAGCGGACACTGCACCACTTAACACAGGCGAAATGAACCAGGATAGTACTGAAACAATACGGTTATATAATGTTAGACCCCAATTTGACATATGGTCTGCGAATCTTAAGTAGATTGGCGACAGAATCTCCATCAAGTGACCTGCTTGACTATCGTCCTAAGTAAGAAATACGGCACTTCACAGCATAACTTATATTAAATACTGTCTAGTTACGCGAGTAGTACAGATTTAAATAAACACATTAACGGTATAAAACGCGCTGCTGTCAAACATTCGAAACATCGAGCAGTATCCTTACTAATCCTTAATAATATTATAAATGCGAAAGTAACTCTGTCTGTCTGTCTGTTACTCTTTCACGCCAAAACTACTGAACGGAGTTGAATGAAATTTGGTATACAGATGGTTTTGACCCTGAGAAAGGACATAGGCTACGAAAAGGGTTATTAGGGATTAAAAGGGGGGATAAAAAATTGTATGGAATTTTGTGGCTTTTGAAGCTAGAACAATGAAACTTTCTTCTTTGGCTTTTTGAGAATAGGAGTGGGAGTGAGTGTAGGAATGAGTGTGGGAGTTAGAGTAGGAGTAATGTGAGGTGAGAGTGTTGCGGCAAACTAGCATTTACAATAGATTGGCTGCCTTAAATGCGCCCTTACAAAAATTAATAAACAGCCTCAATAGTTAAAAATTCTACCCCAAGTTACTATTCCACGCGGACGAAGTCGCGGGCACACCTAGTTTAAAATAATTTTCAAATAAGTGTTTTATTTAGAACTTATGTTACCAATAGCACCAAGCGTAGACCACCGAACACCAACTGGACCCTTAGCCGTCAGAGTGAATCCAACAGTAGCACCAACTACAGAGTGTGTTCCAGACACCGGTAGACGTAAAGCCGTAGCTACGATTAGCCAAGCTGCCCCTGTAACCAATTATGGATCAATGAGTTTGGAACTAGATTTGATAGATTTTGACTCAAGGACGTTTATCGATTTATCTAAATATATTGCACTCTAAAGGAGTACAGCGGTTAAATCATTTTATTAGACGTTATAATCATTTTGTTAATGTTATGCATGAATCATTGACCGCCACTGTAGTCAAATGGTGAAATGTAGTGCCTAGCATTGCGTTAAGCTCGAGGAGTCCTGGGTTCGAATTCCAGGGAAACAAAAAATTGTGTCGGTCGGACAGGGCACAGAAGTCTGATCAATTACTTGCCTGTTAAAGAACGGATTAGTGAAACGAACACAAAAATGTGTTCGCTCCATGCCCTACGAGGGGGAAACGGGATTTCACTATGCATTAATTAAATATCGATAACTCTTCGATTAAAAAAATACGACACGATCGGAACAAAGCGATTTTGTCACATGTTATTGCACGAGATGGTACATATATAAATTCAAGATCAAAGATAAATTGAAAGAAACCACGACGAAATTACATTGCGCGAGGGGTGCATGTATATATCTGAAAAATTCGACGATGATGTATGAGATGGTAGCTCAATTGCTTAGAATTGGCAACGGAAGAGTTTGGATGCCGGTACAAGTCCTGCCCGCATCGTAAATTTTTTAAATATACAATCGATTTTTAACTTATCGAAGTTATTAAAATTTGGTATAAACAGCAACGTCTACCCATCTGCTATTTAATTCGATTCGATTAAATTTTAAGCTGGGTTTAGCCTTACCAGCAATCAAAGCGGCGAGGCAACCCGCGGCCAGAAGCCGCTCACCGCCATCAGCATAGAGAGAAACGTCTAGTATCCCCTTTCTCATCGTATCTGATACCTTATATCCTGAAAATATACTAAATTTTAGCAAACGTTATGTTTAAACCTTTAAGCACTTAAGAATTTCGTTATTTCTACCACCCAGTTGATATTCATATCAGACTAAATCCAACATGATTCGAAAAATTATGCATTAATTAGACACATGTTGGACTCAGTGGGGATCGAACCCACGGCCCGTTGGTTATTAGTCCTACCATTAGACCAACGAGACTGTGTAGATAAGTCTCGCAAGAACTTATTTTTATTAAAAATAAAGCATAGGGCTTTAATATGCCATGCTATGAAGATGAGGTTTGCATATAATATTTCTCCATTAATTTTGGTTATATGTCATGATGGTTACGATATGATGTTCAAATAGATTTGTTAAACACGTACCTATCAACACTGCTCCCGCAATTTCAAAGATCGTAGCGAGAATGCAAGCCTGGGTTAGCGTCAACACTTTGGAGCCGACGCTGGTTCCAAATGAGTTAGCCACGTCGTTGGCACCAATGCCAAACGCCAAAATAAATGCCACCACGAATCCACACACCACCAACCATAGCAAATCATCTGCGTACGGTTCCATTGCTTATACAATATGAGTTGCTCTATATCTCTTTAAGTTTTCAACAGAAACATCGTAAAATGCCAAATACGAGTATGTGCCAAAAATGTTTGCTTCACGACTTCGTAATTTTCCCCTCTCATACGCTATCACAGAAGAAGTCAAGTGACTTCGTCTACCTTTACAAAACTGCTAAAAATCTTTAACATTCTGTGTAATATGTGTATATCGGTACAAACTTTTTATAATCCCTACTTAAACGTGTACTCAAAAAAAATGTTTTTTAATTAAAAAGTGGTGTGCGTCACAACGTAATACTCCCCAATAACCTTTTTCGGAAATATTGCGGTGGTTTTAAAGGCTTCATTTCTGAAAATGAGACACGTATTCAATTATTGAGAATTTAAGTAACAGGTAAATATTGTCGCAGTGTAACGATTTAAGACCAATTAATTAATATTATAGGCACTTTGTACGTAATTTGACTTTACATACAAGTACGTAAGTATATTATTTATTAAAACAAGTTAAATAATAGCAAAACAACACAATAACAAAAGGAAAAAAGAATTAAAACTAGGGTAACTTGAAGAATTTTCAATCCCAACACACATACAAACGTAACATACAAACTATACTTACTCAGTATAGATTCAATTTAATGATGATACACAAAAACCAATAAAAGGAAAGCAAGGAAATTTTGCATGAAAGGAAACAGAAGCCTATAAGAAAATAATTTTGGCTTAAATGTGACCTTTATTGTCAGCAGATGCTAACCACATGGCAAGCTGCTTATTGCTATCGATGGATATAAGTTTGGCGAAATTTCCACGAAGCCAACCAATAAGAACACTACATTTAAAAGAGCATTGAATAGATTACATGTTTTTTAATATTACATAATTTGGCGCAATTAATTAATAGACTGCAATATGAATGTAGATATTTAAAAAACCGTGTATTTCTCACAAAACGAATTACAAAAACACTCACTTTTTAAAAGGGAAGAATATTATTCTCCTAGTATTGAAAGCGATACGATACCCTTGCAATATGCCTTGAGTCGCTCAGCTGTACTAGAGCACAACGCACCGGGGTCGTGTCATGAGCCAACTGTACAGAGCATGCGCGTCCTAATCACCCCTCAGTACAACCCCCTATCGGCTTTTATTATTAGAGAACTAAAGGCGCGGCTGTTTGTAAACGACCCCATAGAAACAGCTATAAAGCCAGATGGAGAAGGTAAACCACATTATGATTCGTACGTGTTACGATACTTATGCCTCTGAGTGTACTTAATTCTTTAGGAGCCGCTCCACTGATTGAAATGAAGGTAACCTTCACTTAATTAGTGTTTTTAATACTTATATGACTACTACTAAAGTTTACTACAAACGCACTATAACAATATCTGAATATAACAACCTAAACTAGTGAACAATTTTATATGCTGACGCGGTATCGATCAAAACTTAATTTTAGTTAGTGAATTATTGCTATTAAATCTTTAGAGTTGAAATTATCGCAACCTTGAAGTTGGTCAGTCTGTGAATTGCTACTATGGAGGTAGTTTTAAATTTTTGTGGTAGTAAGGAATTAAGTGGTCTACAAGTAGTATTAACATAGATACTTATCTGCTTTATTATAAAGGTACAGGTTAGAATGATGGGTGTGTTTGGGTAAACCAGTAAAAGTTAGTCTGTAGTAAAAACGTATAACTTAAATGAATATAAAGGTTCAATATATGTTAGTGATATACAATTTAATAAAAGATATTTTATAATTGATAATTTTACCATACTACATGAATGAATGAGATGAGGATGAGAGATCAGAGAATGACTAAAAATATATTCATACCTTTACTGAATGATAGTACTTTGTAATTTGACAACGCAATTCGATGAGATTGAAATACTGCATCTGTGGTTTAGATGATAAAATTTTTAATCAATTGTCATTTGTCATAGTCATAAAGAAGGACGTCAAAAACATAACAAAATTCAAAAATTTTAGGACCGTCACCCAATACAAAACCGTACATAATAATTATTAATTTGACTAAGCTTTTATAACTTTCAAAATTGCGCCTATGAAATAATGTACTATTGAAAATTTCAGTCGCTAAGGTTAAACTATCATGTTTTTTCGAAATGTATGGTCTGCAGCAGAATTTAGCTTTGTCTGGTATAACAAATTAAATATATACATTATTTACATTAAATTAATGATATTATGAATGTCCTATTTCTTGTTGCAGCAAACCGATGTTACTGAAAAAATCTAGCAATATAGGATATGCTCAATTACAACTTAGGCAATCGTTCCACAATTCCAGACGTAGCGCACGACGGCCACGTATTGAACCAAACCCACTAGAAATACAAGAAATCGAATCAGGACCCCTGAATCCTAGCACATTAGTGAAACCATTCCTCTTCACAGTCGGGGTATAGTATTGAAATTCTTACGTCATTATTTAACAATTTACGTCAAGTTAGAGAGTAAGCTATATCTTTTAATTGTTTTATTTTAGGTAACAACAGTGAGCTTAGCTGGCTGTGTTATATGGGAATATGAAAATATTAGATCACATGCAACAGCTTTTCTTAAAAGGCCAAATAGCTGGCTCAATTCACACCAACGACGGGGTGCGCCCCAAGTAAGTGGTTAATTTGGCAGTTTATAAGATCAAAAAATATAAGACAATTAATGCTACCTGTTTAATTTTAGAAATCAGAGCCAGGTCCAATAAGAAAATGGTGGAATTCTTTAAGAGCTAATGAAAAAGTTTTCTATCCAATTCTTGCTGCTAATGTCTTAGTGTTTGGAGCATGGAGAGTACGGGCTATGCAGCCATTCATGATTAAATATTTTTGTTCGAATCCTTCAGGCAGTAATATACATTTGTTTTAAATAATAAACATACCACACACAAACATTATGTCCATAAAACATTTTAATATTTTACAGGTTCTGTATGTCTTCCTATGGTTTTATCGACATTTAGTCATTACTCAGCTTTTCACTTAGCTGCAAATATGTATGTTTTGTACAGTTTTATGCCAGGTAAGATATTTTTTAATAACATATCACCTCTCAAAAAAAATGTTTTATAATTGTTGCCCCCAAATAAGGCTTATTTTAATTAAATTGCTCCATGGTTGCATGTAAGGAAAACAGTTTCACTCACCATGCTTTTTTTATTACAGCGGCAATGGCAGCCTTGGGGAAAGAGCAATTTGTCGCAATGTACATGAGCGCTGGTGTAATAAGCAGCTTTGCCAGTGTATTGTATAAAGTGATGCTCAATCAGCCTGGTCTTAGTCTTGGTGCGGTAAGAATAAATGACAAGACTGCGGTATTTGTTTAATGAATATATTATATAAACTGCTTAAAATATTTTCAGTCAGGAGCAATTATGGCAGTGCTATCATATGTCTGTGTACAATATCCTGACACCAGGCTGAGTATAATATTTCTGCCTATGTACACTTTTGCTGCTGGATCGGTGCGTAATACTCTTGGTTTGTATATTTGAAAATGTGTACAATTAAGAAATGTTGTAATTTTTTGTTTCAAAATTTTAGGCGATTAAGGTTATAATGAGTATTGACTTAGCTGGAGTTGTATTAGGATGGAAATTCTTCGACCATGCAGCCCACTTAGGTGGTGCTTTGTTTGGCTTGTAAGTTTTTTTTATTTTAATAAAATACTCATACAGTTTAAAACGCGCCATATCACTTATATTTTAATTTGTATTATCTATGACCCCACGGTTTCGAAGGAATTGGAGATGTCAGGTGTCCCTAATGTCACGGCTGGTGTGCTCTGAAAATTCGGGCTGTAGTTGATATATATAAATAATAATTAACGAATATATTCCGTGTTTTAACCCTTGGGTTTTATTTAAATTTGTACTACTCGCTTAAACTACACAGAATATGTAATGATTTTAACCTATATTCCATTTCATTTCATAAATATAATTGATGAGAAATAATTAATGTGATTTTTTCACAGAGCGTGGTGTTATTGGGGTGGACTACATGTATGGGGAAACAGAGACAAGTTCTTACAGTATTACCACAGTTTGAGAAAAGATTCTAGATAAAATGCTGGTAATACTTCATAAATCAGAAAATGGCTATTTTGTAAAATGTTTCAAAATATGTATTTTGATAGATTCTGTTTATAATTTTGTGTCATGATGAATAAAATATTGTAAATGTTTTACAAACCATTTTAATCTTGTAGATATTTTTATGTATAAAAAAGTAAAATTGCATAGCTGAGGTTAAACCTAGCCCATAACAAAACAGATAACACTTTCAGTGTATTTAAAATGCAAATATCATTGACTTTACTTAAAAAATTATATACATTATGCTTTTAGTATTTTTGCATGGAATCCAAGATGCTCCCCAATGAATGTTGAAATGAAGTAATAAGAATGATCATAGCCTTCACGCAAGTTTAAAATTACTGGCACACCAACAGAACGGCAAGCTTCCACTAGATTCTCTGGTAGAAGTTGCTTTTTAATGTAGAAATTATCAGCAGCACCCTGTAATGAAACATTTGTTTATATAATGGTAACAACAAAATGATTTATTAATTTCAATTGAACATAATGATTGAAGTTTCCCATACCATTCAATTTTTTTTCGTATCTAAGACTCACCTGATCAAGAAGAAGAGTTAATGGAGGACCATCATACTTTTTAACAAGCTCTGTGGCATCCCATTCTGCCCATTTGCTTTTATCTTCTCCCAAGTACCCAGAGAAAGCATTTTCACCCCATGGACAGGCACTCGGGTTGCATATGGGTGCAAATGCACTAACAGACTTGTATTGTCCTGGGTTTCTTAAGGTAGATATTAAGGCACCATGACCTCCCATGCTAAAAATAATACATTTTGCATTAAATATAATTTTCCTGCAAGAATCTGTCAATAATTTTATTAACAATCAACTGTCATGTTTATCAGTCACTTTGAACTTTTTATTATTTAAATTTGCATTAGTGCACTAATATAAATTATATTTAAAAAAAACAGGATATTCTGTAACTATTGCAATAAATAACATATATAATTAAAAAATTAGAAAAGTCCTACTCAAATAGATAATCATTGGTTGTAGGTAATTATGATTTTTAAACAACCAAACATATAAAGTTTAATAATACTAGTCACCTGTGGCCCATAATTCCAATCTTATTAGCATCAGCTACATTCTCAAATGCATTTAAGATCAAGTCATATAGTTCTTTGTTAACATAACTACCCATTCTGTAATTGTTGGACCAGGGATCTTTAGTTGCATCCAAATAAAATCCAGCTGCAACACCAAAGTCCCCTTTGTCGTCTCCAGGTATTTTAATACCTCTTGGTGAAGTATCAGGGCCCACAACAATAATGCCATGCTCAGCAGCATATCTAAAACAGTAAGTTAAAAATTACACTCAAATATAAAGAATTAATGTAATCTTATCTGTAACTGTCTTAAAACATGTGTAGATTGTATAAGCAAAATTACATAATGGCACATACTAAGTAGGTATTATATTAATGATTTTTTCAAGATATAAAATCAATGCAAAACCTAATCAATATGTCAGTTAGGGTCAAGGAACTATGAATTATAAAATAATTTTCGTACTTTAATGTTATATAACAGAAATAAATATATGACACAATATTATATAAAAGAGAATATTTATCTGAGTACTAGCGCATTATCTTGATATTATGTGAGTAGGTAATAATACTTTCTGGAAATGATAGCAAGGACCTAATTAAAAAGTATAATTTTAATACACCTTAATCTCCTTACCTTTGAAAGCCAGATTTAGTAATAAAATTTTGCTCAGAACAGGTTAAGCCAGATAAATAGAAAACAACTGGAAGCTTAATGTCTCCTCTCTCTGCTTGTGGGGGGAGGTAGACAGAAAAATTCATTTTACATTTCAGTTCAGAAGATTCGTGTGAGTACACATTTTGGAAACCTCCAAAAATCTTATTAGATGAAACTAATTCTAGGGCGTCCATAGTTCTCTGTAATGAAGAATGATCTTAGTAAAGAATTTTAGTGATTTCAAGTGATTCTGTTTCAAAAATGTAGTGTGTAAAAATACATTGATATAATCAATCTTTCATCTATGTATTTTGTTTTTATTATTGTAAAACTCACCAAATTTATTAGGTTAGGTTAAATCGTCAAAACAATCAGTCTGTGGTGCACACTTATCTAAACCAAAAGAATAATGGAATGCGGAGCCGGCTACTATATACATTACAATTGAATACTTTGAATTGTGCAAATTGTATTATACTCTACAGACTACACAAACACGTTTAAACTCTTAGACATTCATCACCACAGAGTAAATTTCAATTATTTGTTAAATTGACTTTTATTTGAAATTACATGCTTAACTCTAAGAACCTTAAATAAAATGTTGTATGCTTACGAATTGAATTCTCACTTAGGGCAGAAAATTTAGAGTACTTGATAAAAAGCAATGAATCTTTTGAACAAACTATATACTTCATGTTTGTTATTAATCCTTTGTACAGATAATTAAAAAATCGAAAATAAATTGAAAAAATTTTTTCGACTCGGGCAGGACTTGAACCGGCATCATCAGCTTTCCGTACTGCTGCTCTGCTCGGAAAGCTGATGATGCCGGTTCAAGTCCTGCCCGAGTCGAAAAATTTTTTTTTAATTTTTAAATTATATAGTGCCTTCATGTGCAATAACATGTGAAAAAATATTAATGTTTACAAACTTTGTACAGATTTCAATAACGCTGGAATGTTTCTTGGTAAAGTCATAAAAACACTTCATTATTACAATAATGAAGTTCATCTGTTAAATAATAGTATTATAAGATAAAAACATACTTCTATTAAAAAGACACTAGACAACTGTTTAATGAGAAAATACAATAAAAGCACAGACATTAAGTTTTAAATATTAATTTTAATAAAGCTACCGTTATACCACAAAGGATAAAATTACAACACTGTTGCATTTTACTAACCTTGTTGCAATTATTATATTATATACTTAGGATACAATACTGTTTATCACTATTAGATTAATGGAAGATCTAGTGAAGATTATTCAGTGCATCTTTATTTTAAAACTTCTAATAATCACTAAAACTGTACAAACACTGTTTATTCTATCAACCTTTTTTGGTTTGTCTTATATGACAGATAAGTATTCCAAAATAAAGCAACACATTGTACTAGTAAAACTTGGTACTGAAGTGGGACATAGTAAAAATTCACTATTTGAACCCATGGCCATACATAATAATTAGTTTTAAGTATATCAAGATAATTAGAACTTATGTCATCCTTGATAGAGTCCCATGTTTTGCCTTGCAAAGTGCCAACTGACATCAGTAAGAATATGAGAAATGTTGGGGCAAAGACAGCTTGGTCTATAAATACTTTTTTTAGAGCTACTGTTTTTCCACTAGACCCCACATGACGGTTTAGTAACCCATACCAAACTCTTAAAGCAGGACCCTGAAAAGATGTAAAAATTAAGCATGTGACCAGTAAATTACATAAGACCCGACATGAAAAATATCACTTACGCCGAAACAAAAGCCTATAGACGAAAACTTTAAAGTTCTACTATAGTCCGCTTCTTTCAAGGATTTCTTTTCTATTAATGTCTGTGATATAAGATCTCCAGCCCCCATTAAAGTTCCAGTTTGAATAGCTTGCACTAAATAGGGTCTACGATTCAAAAGTCTTTGATAAACTTGAAATACTTCACGAGCTTTCATAATGCTTACATGCATTGTTACTTAATGCTTTAGGTTTCTACGTTTAATTAATCTAACATGACCAGTTATGGGTTTAAATTGGAAACTTTGCGGTAGTTATAAATATACAACAGGTTAACATTTTCTGAATTGCTGTACTAGGTTCCTTTGATTTCGAATATTGCTGAAAGTCTGAAACAGTAAAATGTTAGGTTTCGTTTATTGGTTAATGAAGTTTGTTAATTGTTTCTTAAATATGACATATAATAAGAGCGAGAGCAATCAGCGTTTCGAATCTGTGTCGAATCTGCATAAATAAAAAAAACAATGTTTATGTTTAAAAGAATATAACTAAGCGCTATTCGAGCTATATTATTTACTTGAGTTTAATAGTTTCTGCAAACAACGCAAAAGTTTAACCAACTCAAGAAGCCATGTAAGGAAATTTATTATCTGTGATGGGTGAGACAATTTTCATATTAAATGTTGGCAACACTCTTTAGCAATTACTGAATGAATATTCGAAGAATCAAGAAATCGTGAAAGAAACCGTGAATACGAAAACGGGAAATAAAAGATTAGATATCGTCTAATGATTGTGCCTTTAGAGTGTCAATAATTCGTTGAGTATCTTTTTAACATCCCTCCGCAACCCTCATAACGCAATGGATAAAAGAAAGCTATCCACTGCGGGAGATAGTCTTTATTTAATATTACAAGTCCCAAAAACCGCAACGGCCGATGATGTCAAGAAAAGTTATCGAAAATTGGCCTTAAAATATCACCCAGACAAAAATCCCAACAATCCTGAGGCAGCTGACAAGTTCAAAGAAGTCAACCGTGCCCATACTATACTGAGAGATGCCACTAAGAGGAATATATACGACAATTATGGTTCTCTCGGTCTTTACATCGCAGAACAGTTCGGAGAGGAAAATGTCAACGCCTACTTTGTCGTGACGAGTACGTGGTGTAAAGCGTTATGCGTTGTTTGCGGTATCTTAACGGGTTGTTACTTCTGCTGCTGCCTATGTTGCTGCTGCAACTGCTGCTGTGGGAAATGTAAGCCGCGCCCGCCAGAAGAATCTGGAGACTACCATACATTGGAGCGCGACGACTCTGATGGAGTTCAACCGGTGACATCGCAACCAGGCGGCGAAGGGCGCCCCTCAGGCGAGCAAGCGCCTCCCATTGCGATGCCCGCGCCTCCCGCCCCTGGCGTTTCAGAGAACACTGGCCTCAACACAGGTGGGGTCAATTACGGAATTTCACAGTAATTTTTAACTAATTAATTCGTTTGAATCTGCTAATTTATGAGTCATTCTCCATTTGACTCTAATTATAAGACATTTCTAGTATCACCTATTGCTTTCTCAGATCATAATAGATTATGCCACATGATGTATAATTCTATATTTTAAGATTGAAGTAATCTTATCAGTGGTTTATCAATGGAGGAAAATTGTTACTTAGAATTTTATGTCCTGTGTGTGATAACTTGAACCACCTTAGAGGTGCTAAAGACGTCGCTTTTGTTAACTGGAAAATGTCTATGTTTTGATATGTCTTAGTGGACAGGCTTATGATGGTAGAACGATTTTCACAACATCTCAATGCCACGCGACCCCAGTCAAAAACTTATAATAATTCTTAATGCATAATAATCAAGGCTAGTCAAGGCGTTAATGTATTAACAATTTTTATCTACAATTTAATATGTCTGTGGTAAAAGGTTTTAAGATACCATACACAGAATCCAACATTATGCAATTATACAGTTTTGTGAACCAGTTATGTAAACCGCATTGAAATGTTTTGCTTAGAAAATACTTTTAATTAGTGATAAATGACATATTAACATTATGACTGTTCCTCATGGTTCTAAGAGCGTAATATTAAAATAGATATTAAGGTTATTCTGTACATCGGTAGTCCAATGGTCTCAATACAGTGTAGGCTTCTGTTTATTTAACTTGTGTTTTTAATATTCCAGTATTTGTTAGAGATTGTTCTAACCATTTTACCTTGAAACCAGTGATTATTGACCTAACTTTTTAAGTTCAAGCATATATGGACATTTTCATTACATTTTTAAAACAGTAAACACATCATCTGCTTTGAAAGATTTCACATTAACAAATATATACAAATTCTCAGACTACATAAAAGTTGTATATAAGGTAACTTATATTTCTTGCCGTTTTCATAATAATTTTACTTTATTACTATTTTGGGACTGATGCCTTAAAAAAATCTGCCAAGTAACTGTAAACTTAATTAAATAAAAAATGTTAGTTACACTACTCAAGTAATTTCAATTGTTTTTAATAATTAATTGATAGTGTTTATACCATAGACTAGAGAAAGATTCTGTCTTGTATATGCTTCATTAATATGGCGTCGAAAATTGTATACCAGACCCCAATGGTTCTGACTACTGTCATTGTTCAGTGAAGTATTATTAATTTGGCTCATATAGATGTGGGTCTCGGTTCTAGGTCATTACATAATAAAATTAACGTATAAACAGACATCCTGAAGGAGACTAAGATATTGACATTTCTTCAACGATGTAACTTATGATATAATTAAGAATGTATAAAGTTATTGTATTAATATGAATATGGTCTTTCCAGCTTTATAGCTTAGTGTATTTGTGTTGCATGTGTTTTATATTTGTAATATTAAGTTTCACATAAGCTAGCTATTTTTGGTGGTAGAATGTATCATAAAGGTCACTTTTCAAAAACTATAGCATAATACTTAAGATTAACTGTTGAACCATACATCCTTTTTGTAGTACAAATTCTTCAATTCAAATAGTTAAACAGAAAGATGAGATCAATACAATTTAATCCAATTTGTTCTAAAGGAAAAAATTGACAATTTAAATTTCTAACATACACTTTAGTATGTAAAATAATATACACTGTTATAGAATTCTTAAAATTATTTAATGATAAAAATTATTGTTAATACTGACAACTACATACATAAAACCTTTATAATCGGTGTTAGTAGCTGGGACTAGAGTCAGAACTCAAATAACTTTAATGTTGCTTTCTTACTCTAAATTAGAGTGTTCCATATTTAAACATGTACAGAACCTTTAATTTAATATTGTCTTTATGTAAATGTCAGCGGCCAGTTGTGAAAAAAGTAATATAGTTATAAGGTACACAAGTGTGGCTAAACTAGACAACAATGGTGAAATACAACAAACTAAGACTCTGGCACAAAAATTTCGGATATTCTATATAATAATGAACGTAATTGAAGCCTCCTCTTTGTTTATTCCTAAAGCTAGGGCACTGTTTGGATTTTTAACTCATTCAACAAACTAGGTTTTCAACAGGCGGCTGATATTCAAAAACTAGTCAACGAGATTTGTCATGATAATATGATTATATTGAAATTACCGTTAATCTGTATCTACACTTAAATTCGAATTAATAAATATCTGCATACTGAAATTATGTATTATTACGAACGTTACCCCCATTAGTTGTTGTACTTTATAATTACTTTTTTTATTTTACAGGAAGCAGTATTCCAAAGTACACTTGAAGTGTTATCGCCTAGTCTATAGTAAAATTAAGAGAAACGAGGAACTGACTACTTTTTTATCACCACCATGCAAATTATGTAAGCCTTAACTTAGCTTTTTTTAATTATGTTTTTAATTCAGTATTTTTTCTACACGTCTTTATTTAAACATTTTGTATCGATCTATGTCTACCTATGTTATTTTCATTTCATTTCTATGATAGAGAACTTTCTAGTTTCTTATATTTTACTTTCAATGCGTGAATTATTTTCTCCTGTCTTTGTTGGCCTCCTTATTTATATTGCAACTTTATATAAAATGTTATTTTACTGTACTTCATTCATCGAAAATAGTGAAAGTATGTTGTCTCTTTCCTGCAATCCCTTCCGAAATGGACAACGATTTAGTGATGCCAACTCCTTCACTCATCGCTTTGGTGAATATAGAGTCGCTCAAAATTCAGTCACGAACCAGGCGTAATAACAAAAAGGTGATGAACGATTTCTGTTATCATTCCAAAACATCACTGTTTTCAATACGTTTGATTTATAAGCGATTTGTAACACAAACTATTCGGCCATCTTTTGTCGTTTATTGAAAAGTTTGATGATGTCACAATTTCACCAAAATATAGTTAGGATTTGAAATCTTGAAATTTTGATAAGCGTAGACATTCAACAACCGAAATGTAGTTAGATGTATGTAATATAAATTATAATAGTTATTGGCGTAAAAATGTAATGGTGTTTTGTCAATAATGTTCATAGCATAATATTTCAAGCATAATACCCCTTGGAAAGGAGTTTTTATACTACTTTTTTAGTATAGCGTTTGAAAACCGAAAATAAATAAAAAAAATCGATACCGAATATTCGGTAGGTCAATTGGTTAGAGCAACAGCACAGAACGCTGACGATGCCGGTTCAAGTCCTGGCCGAGTCGATTTATTTTTATTTTCGATTTTGAATCTATATAGTTTAACGTTTTTAAAGCTTTTACGAGATCTTAAGTTGTTTAATATTCAAAACAATGTCTCAAAATGCAGTCAAATATATATGTTGCACAGTAGGTATATTTGAATATTTATTAAACTGAACTATGTAAAGCGATTTTATAACCGGTTTACGAACTGGAACTTATCACCTGCTTCCGAAGCAAAAGCATGTATCATCTATTGGAATTTGTATTAAATGTATTCACTGTTGACGCTTTATTATTTAGAATAAAACGCGATATATATTAGTTATTTGAAAATTAAATTACTTTAACTACGGCCCGACGTTGCGGAGGCTTTGCAGCAGCCGTTGTCACGGGGAGCGTTTAAATTATAAAGTTTTAAACCGTTGAACTGTTTTATTTAAATATGTACTACTCGCGTAAACTATAGACAGTATTTAATATGCGAGTTGTTGTATACTAAATACTAAGCTGATTGAAGTGCCTAATCAATTGTCCTTTACTGTAATACAGTTAATAATCACGCGTGACTGAAAGTGAACAAAAAAAAAATTAATTAGTATGCACTCACGCGCAGGAATACTGCATACGGTTTTTCAACTTGAGACTTATATGTAGGTTGTAGAACGATGACACGTACTCTCTAATCATCTTTGTTTGTTAATTATAACGATAGCAGTATTAGAATTAATTTGAAGAAAAACAAGATGTTTTTATTGACTACGTAGATATCTTAGCTAGTTGGTGTATTTGGAAGAAACACATTCATAAAATAATGCTACGCTAGTGTACGCGAGTATTAGATGAGACACAACTAGTTTGTAGAGAGCAATACATAAAAATGTGTTTAAATAAAACGGTTTAAAACGCGATATATTTTAGTTAAACTTGAAGCGACGCATCCGAAACGTCGAAGTGAAAATGATTTTTAAATGAGTTCAACTACTTAATATATGTCGCGTTTTGAACCGTTAAGTGTTTTATTTAAACACATTTATATTTATTGTTTTCTATATAAATTAGTTATGTCTCATTTAGTCATTAACTAGTGATTATTCCAATGTTTGATTTCAACTAAGTTCTTCTTTATTGTGTTAATATGAAATAGGATAACATAAGCTCCAACATTTAATTTAGTGAATTGTAAGTGTGGATACATCACGCAAGCCAAGTTTTATATTTTAATATCGTTAAACAAACAGATCGATACAAGGGCCGAGAAAGGAGGTGTGTACCCTTTTTATATTTTACCTTGACCTTAATTCATTATAATACAAAAAAGGTAAGGATTTATTTCGACAACTCCTTGTTCAAATAAATCTAAAACCCAGTTTCTGTGAGGGCGAACATATTTTTGTGTTTGTTTTATTGATAGGCAAGCAAGTAATTGGTCAAAATTATGTGCCCTGTTCGACCGAAATGATTATTTGTTTAATTAAATTCAGGTTATGCTTACCTATATACAAAGATGGTCAAGCAAAAACCGAACTTTCTGCAGGTTCATTACCCGACGATGTAGACACAAACGATGATGTGATAAAAAAGTGTGCGTAGTTTACGCGAGTAGTAAAACGCAAAGTATATTTGAAAACTTTTAAGATACTCCGTCTAAAAACGAACGATCCTTTTAAAAATCTTAGCATAGAGGTTTTATGTCAAGAAAGTGGTCAATATTTTATGAATAAAGTTAACTTTGGGAAATAAAATATAACAAATAAACATTTAATTCTTTAATTTAATTAATTTTGAAAATAAATTACAACCATTTATCTAAGTAACAAAAACACAAAAAAATTAATTTACTTTATTAGTAATACTGGCTGTTTTTGTACTATTGCGTAAAAAACACGTTGATGCGCGCGCATCGCTTATTTGTGGACAAGTAAAAATAATTCCGCTCGCTTTTTCTTTTCGCTGTATTGTTTTTATTTGAAAATGTCGTCATGTTCGTTTAACTAAGTTAGAGTTTTATTAATTCCCTCGTAAATACGTTATAAAACGTCGTATGACATACGTGCGCTCGGCTGTAATTTTCAACTTACCGCACTTATATCATAATGTACTATTACTGCATATTTCAGGTTTCAAATCGTTGTGATTCTACGACGGCAGTGAACTTGAAAATGTAGTTTTAAAGTAGGTTTGCGTCCTTCGTCTAGTTACTAGTAGTACGACAAAAATAGTGACACAACGCGCGCAGGCGTAATAAAAAAAAAATACAATATCCCAATGAAAATTGCATTTTCTTTATCAAGGTAATTTTATTGGCATAATTCGTTACAATGACTACATATAATTACTACAACTAAAAATGTAACCTATAATTTGTTAGTGCATAGATTAAAAAACAGATATGTTATAAAGCAAAGTTTCCATGTAATATAGTGACATTATGCCAGCGAACGTAAAACAGATGCGGTCGATCAAAAACGATTGTCTGCTCCGGAGTTTCGTCCCATTCGATTCCTAGAAAATAAAGTTGGTTAACTTTATAACAAAGGACACGGAAGCACGGGGTTCACTCAAAATAAGTGAAAATACATCAATTTGATCCAGATGAAGTCCAATGATTCGTGTGATTATATATTGGATAGGACCTTATTTATTCCGGTGGGGATCGAAAGCACGATCTATTATTACGTGCAAATAAATACTAAAAGCGATTTTTTTTCATCCTAACAAAATAGTTTTGATAATAATTTCGCACGACTTTTGATCAGGCGTTTTTTATTGTCCCACAAAACACACTTGATTCGATTGCGCGTAACTTTGACAAAAAATATAACGTGATGTAAAACCATGGCATGGATTCTGCTACTGATTCTGAACAAACTATTTTCAGGTTTCGCATGAAGTAGGAATAACCTTGTATATAAAATTTAAACTTACTTCTTGATTCTAACCTCAAAAAACCGCCAACATTATTATCGACAAAAATATAGTCGATAATTATGTTGGCGTTTTTAATAATATTTCATATAGGGAAGTAGGTATTTAATACGTCAAAGTAAGTCAAAACTTTTTGGATTTGTTACTGGTCGCAAACATTTTAGTCAGGTACAGTACTTATACAAATATGGCCATTGTTCTTTAAATTATAACTATTGAAGACTAGAGATATTCATACCGTCATCTTTAAACGCATATCGCCCAGCCTCTGACCAAAACATTATCCTTTGAACTGCGTGTGACAACTTTAAACCATCACATTGATCGTCATTTACAAGGCGAGTTACCCCCATCTAAAAGTAGAAACAAATTGTTTATTAATTTTATTTAAATTGTTAATAAAACAATGAGAAAGACAATAAAACAGCGAGTCAACTTTAAAAGAAAATGTATTAAGCGTTTGAAAACTAATTATTTCCACATGGCGGCATTATTACATTTTTCGAATATTTTTCCTGTATTTTTTTTTATTATGATGATGAACCTCAAAACGTTAATGTTAAGACTGAAATTACATTGCGCGAGGGTGGATTTAGAATTGAAGAAATTCGAAGACAATGCGTAGGGACCAGTGCAAGTCCCGTCTGTGTTGTATTTTTTTCTCAATTTAAATAGATTTTTAATGTAAATATTATTATTGTCTGATGTTCTGATTTAAAACTCAAGAGAACATAAATAGTTCGATCCCCCCATAGTCTGCATACTAGACTCTAGACAAAAGCGTAACAGACTGAAAAATGTAGCTGCTTCATATAACTTATCGGTTTAAAATACGAAACTTAGAAGATGGTTTATTGCTTTACATTATTCTTTACCGAAGTAGTGGCCTTAGGGGAACACACGGAGACCACTACTTCTGTAAACTAACGGCTTTGAAGCATTCAAAACGTCGGGTCATAAAAAAAATAATTAAAAAGTAAATAACATAACCCAGACCGCCTCTGTAGCCAAACGGTTAAACGTATTGCCTAGCATTGCGTTATGCGCAAGAAGTTCTGGGTTCGAATCCCAGAGTAACAAAAAAGAATATTGTTCCGATCGGGTAGGGCACAAAAGTCTGATCAACTACTTGCCTGGTAAAAAATCGATCAGTGAAACGGACACAGAAATGTGTTCGCCCCATGCCCCACGAGGGGGAAACGGGATTTCACACACACATAACATAACTTCCGTAAGTTCGCCTCTCTGTATGTCTCTAGGTAAATACTTACAGCTTGTAATTTTGCTGGTAGAAGCAAAGTCATGCGCAGTGTGTAGAGAGGCAGAATAGCGGCTATGCGTTTGCTTTGCATTCTGTCTGCAAGGCTTTGAACATTGGTTATCGTCATATGTGCGGCCAGATTTCGCAGACTCCGCCCTCGAGGCACCACCAAGAATAGAGTCAGCCCTGTCGTCGCATACTTTATCTCTAGGGCCTAAAAATATACAATACTACAAATACATTCAATGACTACCCTTTTGAGATACTACCGCACTCCGCGAGTCGTTTAGCGTGTCTATTTAAAGGAAGAAGAATCATATAAAACAATCTTAAGACATGTTTTTTAATGAGTTTGATAGATTTTTATTTCAAATAATCTGTTAAGTTCATGATAGATTTGATGGGAAAAAAAGGGCTTTCACAGGACGCTAAGCTGATTTTCAGGCAAACCCTGGATTTGGGCGTGTGGTCTTGAATCGAATCGTAACTGCTTCTGATGTTGTCACAATTTTCATTTTGATTACCAAAAAATAACATTGGCCATTATACTATATTGTGTTTTTTTAATAACACCTAGGTTATCAAGGTTTATCATAATCTAGTTATTTGAACTTCATAATTAGTAATTTTATAAAAGTATTTGTCGATTAGTTTAATAATTATATTTTCCAATGTTTATGTCGGTATTCATACTCGTTATTTATTCTTATTATATTTAGATTATTTTCTTTTGCTTTACACATTCACTTGTTGTACAGCTTTGTAAACTGCAATTTTATATCAAGCATTATTTTTTTTGGTCTGTTTGAAGTAATCTTAAAATTTAATATCTTCTAATAATAAGTCAACAAACATTTGATGCGCTTTATTGTAAATTCACGTCGCATTGAACCTTCTTATCAAAATACATATATTGAATATCTGAACCGATTCACAAATGGCTGGTAACATGTAGGCTTTATCGTGAGGGGCGGTTATAGTATCAAATTTCTTGTCTAGATACAACATCTACAAATAATTGCCATGCTTTCAATTACACTCAATTCGTCAACAACGATGGAACCGCACAGGGCAGTTCTACTTCTAATATTAGTGTCTTTCGTGCCTCGAACAATCATTGCGGATTGTTCCGCTGATCGTGGCGATGTGGAAATGCACCAAGAGGCCAAGTTACACCACGACATACTGCAATCCTACAACACCTACCGCCCAGTGAAAGATCACAAAACCACTGTCACCGTAAAAATTCGTTTCGCCCTGAAGTACATTAGTTTCGATCCCTTGGAAGAAATATTTACCGTCCACAGTTGGGTCGCGATGACATGGAAGGACGAATACTTAAATTGGGACCCGACATGCTACGACAATATAAAAGAGCTTCAAATAGAGAGTCACGAAATCTGGACACCGAGGATGTCTTTATTCAACGCAGATGCATCCATGTATCCATCCGACTCCATTTACACGACGTGCTTGTTGGATAGCGATGGAACGGTCACGTGTGTCCCCCAGGTAGCTCATTCGGGGATCTGTCGGTCTTCACTACGCAGCTGGCCATATGACATTCAAAATTGCACCTTCTACTTCGGTTCCTGGATGCATACTGGTGAGCAGGTGAACTTCACTTTTTATAAAAACAAACCCGTCGTTCTAGACGACTATCAAAACGGGCCCGGATGGAAATTGCTGAACGTAACCAACGATCGCTTACCGGGAAGTTATTCCTGCTGTCCCAACAGTACGTATCCAATGTTGAAATATACCTTTATGTTAAAAAGGGAAGCCGGTGGTCCTGCTGCCATCGTCGTCATCCCGTCCGTGGTGATAGTTTTACTCACAGTGATATCATTACTTCTAGACGTGAAGGATTGTACGAGATTATTCTTGTTATGTTTTAGTCTCTTCAGTCATTTTACGTTTCTATCTGAAATCGGCTATGATATACCAAAACACAGTTCTGACACTCCGATAATTTTACTATTCCTTCGCGATTCCATGGTGATAACTTTAGTGGGGATTTTGCTGACGTTGCTTCTGATGTCGCTGAGAAAGAGGATCTTACCGGCGCCATTATGGGTAGTATCGATGAATCGGATGATTACCAGCGGTCCTGGCAAATATGCTGTGTTTACAGAGTTTGATCCGAGCGAATCGACCGATGTCAAAGTCCTAACGGAGGACAGTTCCAGCGGAAATCTCGATGACAAAGCCAGGATCACCGCTGATTGGATACAATTAGCAAACATCCTGAACAGTTTTGTTTTTATTGTTATATTTATCATCTATTTTATATTAATTTGTGTCTATATTCCTAAAGATGATTAGAATAGTTCCTTATTATACGAAATCATTCGTAAAAAATGGTATATTTTTTTATCACTAGCTCTTCTTAACTCGCCCTTTGATTTTGCTGAACAAACACGTAAATGTTAAAAATGACGCCCATAATTCTTACATGGATAAGTGTTTAACGTCAGTAGTAACGTCAATTTTAATTTTGGACTAGAGTAAGCATGGGTATTGATTAGTGCATATATATACCAGCTTAAATAAACAACCCTTAAAGCTACAAATGGATTTATAAACAAATACTTACTTCTGAATCCCACTGAGGCAGTCTAATGTAACGCATCATATCATTTATGCGAACCATGCGAGTCTGTTTCGGCACTTTATCACTGACATAGAATGGCAAGGTGCCATTGAGAAGGGTGGGCGGCGATCGCCAACGAGCCCTCACATACAAAGTGGATATTAAAACTGCGCATACGCCCTCCGCTAATTCATCCTCGTCAAATGTATTATGCATGGCACCTTCAGAATCTTCCACTACCTACAATGAATGAAGTATGAATTGGGATTATTTATAATAATATTGAAATGAAAATTATATTAATATAATAGAAAGCTTCTTCAGTGTTATTGGAGTGAGTGGAATATTGAAATGTTCTTCAATTAAGCGAAGATTAAGTCGGCGGAAGTGGTCGATAGCTAATTTTATAAAAAAATATTTAAGTAAACCTAAAAGTAAATAATGCAACCTATTTTAGTGAAATAGCGTAAGTAATATTTTAAATAAAGTATATATTTAGATTGAAAAATATGGGGCTTCAACCCGGTAATACCAAATGAGCTACCGTGACTCACAATTTTATTTTATATATTTTTATTTGTCTTAGTTATACTTATATATAACTCACACTCAGATCTTACTGAGTTTATTAAAAGAGCAAAATATATGGTACACAATTGTTGAAAATAACTCACCATACGATTAAGTATATTAGTCAAATCTTCTACAGATTCAGTGCCGTTCACGTAGTCAATTTTAATCTGAGCAGAAACGGCAGCGCCTCTCAAGAAATTTTGACTCAAACGGATACCTCTTTTAAGAACCAATCTTGTAGCATATTTAAATTTAAGACGATCGCTTGATGCCGGAAGCCACGCTAGTAAGCTTTGTATCATTCCTAATTTGTCCTGTATAAAATTTTTTATCAATGTCTAGCATGTGGAGTGAAGAATTAAATGTTCACGTTACAAGAACAATATTTCTCATACCTGTTCAGTAACATCAAAGGCAGTAAACTTATTAATTTCTGCCCTGGTTTCATTATCAACTTCTGTCGAAAATGCTATAAGTGCCATTTGAAGAAATAATCCCGATAATGCAAAGCTAATACCATTCTCTTTACGATTCGCTGGACTGATAGAAATGAGGGCAGCATACGTCGTCTATAAAATTTAAATCATGATACACATAATGGAAATAAATACGAGTGTTCAAAGCTAAGAAATTATAAGAAATACTCACAGCATAGAAGGTTCTTTCAACGTGATCCAAAGCGTGTATAAACATATTTATAACAAACATCTTCGAGGACGATCCGACTCGTCTGGTGTTCAGAACTTCATTTTTAAAACTCACTTTATAATTGTCATCAGCACTGTGTCTATCCTCAACCGTGTTTAGTTGATTGGCGTAATTTTTATATTCATTGCCGTCACTGTTAAAAATTGCTGGATTTATGTTCTCATTTAAATACACCGTTGGACTGTTCATCAACATCCAATTCCAGTATTTGAACAAGTCCCTTATAGCCTTGGGAATCAAATGACTCGTCTGAAGTAGACGATACAGCCGTATTGCATTATTTATTTCCGCATCACTCAACTCATAATCGAGGGTAGAAAGAAACTGATTTACTTCAGAAGTAGGATTTTCTGTGACTGAAGTGACCCCGGTTGGAGTTACCGTTTCTTCTGGACATAAGTCCCACTTATCATTATACAAACAATATTTCTCCAGGTCATATAAAGTGGGAGGGCGTAAATTATTTACCGTAGTGGGGGGGAACCTCGATCGGTCGTTAAGTTGTGGACACGACTGCGCGATCAAACACAAGAATAAAACCACGGACGTAGCACTTACGAAAGTCATGCCTACTTAAAAGCAATCAATTATTATTTGTAATACATTGGTCTCGCTTGTCGCACATAATATTATAGCTGGATATTTACGTGAAAATATGACATTTCTACTTTATTGCGAGTGTTCTGGCTAATAATATATTTAATGTTGGTGCAAGTGAAGCTGCGATTTATAACAGATCGTTTCGTTTCGATTGAGAGGTAAAGTGCACTACGAAACCGATCAAGAACTCTTATCGGACTGTTATATTTTCCATGCATATCTGTAGAAAATACATCGGTTCCGCACGTTTAAGTGGCTCCTTTATGTCACACGATTAGAGAACACTAATAATTAATGTTCTTGGTTTTATAAAGCGGGCATAATTGTCTATTTAAAAGATTAATCTATGATCGTTACACATGTTATAATACTGTTTATATTGTTCATACACATTATTTGCCTTCAGAATATGGCGTTAACTACACTTCATTTTACAAAGTTATACATCAGGACAAAATATGAACTCACAAGTTCAGAGAACATGTTTTATAAAATTTCTAGTTAAAATACTGAAAATTAAATTATAAAGTACGTAGTGTGTTTTGTCAATTCTTACAATAAAACACTCTTAACCGGTAATAACATGAAATATATTGGGAAATTAAACTTTGACTATGACCTATTATATAGAAAGTTGTACTTTTACTTACGTGAATGAAACAGATTATGCCTTTGCCCACCACTGCATGCTCTAAATTTCTATACTAATATTAAAAGCTAAGGTGATTAAGTGTTAGTTAGAGAATTTATCGAGGAAGGCTATAAACATCGCGATGCGCCTTATAGGAGTAATGGGAAACATAAAAAAAAACGGAAAAAAAAATATTCATCCTTGTGGGTTTCCGTTGCGTACGCTACGAAAACTATCCAATAAATTAAAAAATATGTATGAAACAATGATTCCTCATTAAATTATCTAAAATAATTACCCCGACATTACGTGTAGATCTTTTAAGATTAACTCGCAAGAACAACGGGACGCGACTGTCGTCGTGGGTAATAGCGACTAGCGAGTTTATAACGATGTGGAGGTTTGCAAAAATAAATTTTGATACCCAAAATAGGTAATCTACGCGGACGTAGTCGCTGTCACGATTTTCATATAATATTATACTGTTATTTAGGTGAATGAAACAACCAAAAATTACCACCAATAATATAATTAATATTCCACCAAAAGTAAATATATTTTTAAATGAATTACTTTATATTTCGAAAAAAAAACACTACAAAACAAGATAAAAATTGAACGATATGCGATAATACATTTAATAACAAATTTATTATCAACTTTTTATATTAAGTGGCAAATCCATTTATTGTTAGACCTTTGGCCGGCCATGTTTGAAAGCGGTTCAAAATTCGCATTCAAGTACGATCTAAATGTACTCCAAAAGAAAGGCTGTCTTCTTAATAGAGTAACGGTCAGAAACGGATGGTCCGCTTTGAAATTTTCAGAATAATCCGCACATAATCTTGCTATACCGCCGGCTGGAATATTTCGTTATGTTTGAAAACTTTAATATTTTTCGCACGTTGGCATTATATGAATTGAAAATCAATTTTGCATTGAACAAATTCTACGACATTACCGGTATCTCCGGCACTATTGTAGACTAGGACTTCAAGGATTATTAGTAAGAAAAAACATTTTTAATCTGTAGCCAAACAAGTCCATACAAATTTGTTTACTCTCATTGGTTTCATCGTATGCACCACAGATGGCATATAATTAATTGTATCAAATGATTTTTAAGCATAGACAAAATATTTTTTGTTAACCTGTGGCGGTTTAGAAGGAAGAGGCAATAAAACGACAATAATGATTAAATAAATTTTATTAAATGCAATAAACGAATATAAACTATAAATACTCTTAAATTGTAAGTGCACTTTGTACCGTTACTTCAATTAACTTTTACATGTTTGACATGGTAAATGCTCAAAAATAAATACAATAAAAAACGCATTCAAAACGTTGGTATAAAAATATTATCTTAAAAATACTTACATTGGACAGAACAGTAGGAACTTGACTACATCAATAATTAATACAACTTTATTGCAGTAACAATTATATGCCCATATATCAATACAATACTTTTTCTTTTTTATGTGGATTCAAGCTGTATTATATGTTTAAATAAAACACTTGTAACGGCTTAAAACGGGAAACATAAAACTTCTTTGTGATTTATTGGTTACAAGGAGACTGAAGAAAAAGAAAGAAGGGCGTCGCTATGTCAAAGTAAAATCTGCTACACTAACGCCATCTGTTTTTTATTGGTATTTGGAGTTGTTTTTAACTAATAAAAGTGTTTTATTTAAATGTGTACTTCTCGTGTAAACTACAGGCAATACTTACTATTAGAAAAAAAAAAATTAAAATTTTAATTTCATACATTTAACACAAGTGAAGTGGTGTTTGTAAGTTAACTGGTCAATGCAATAAGGGGATTTAATCCAAACTGAAATATTATAAATAATTACGTATTTTTAAATGCATGCATCTCTATATAGTAGAGAACAGTTTTTAGAGGAGTTATGCTCCGCGATAGGTCGCCGTAAAGTATAGAACATTATCGACAAGAATCACAGCCAAAAATGGTCGGTCAGCAGTGAAGGAGGGTACTGGTGGCTCGTCGATTATAGCTGAACACATCATGATACCCATCGCTGTAACGTAAATAATTTATATCGCAATTGAATCTAACAAAAAAAAACATTCAGGGTACTTTCGAAATTAAATTAACAAAGTTTGTGATGTTGAAGTAAATGGGATTTATAAAATGTTTTAATATTTTTTATTTCGAATGCACCCTTTTTACCAGCATACAAGCAGACGCCGATGGATAGATGAAAATTATACTGTCACATTACTTTTCGGTTTTTATATATGTAAAGAAACTAGCACAAGATCCCGCAACAAAAATAAGAAAGCTTTTTGATAGTATTATTCTAAGATGGTACATGAATGTTCATGATGCTTATAGATTTTCACTTACAATACAGTAAAAGGTGTGGTTTCAAGACAATTTTATTGATGGCGTTAGACTCTCTTGCGATTAGTCGATATAAAGTGCACGAAACAAGACATTAATATATATATTAACTTTAATTTCTTACTCCTATAGACTATAAACAGCAGAACGCAATCAATATTAAAAATATTTTTTGTGCATCTACCCTCACTTTTATTTTTACATAGTATGTTGTAAATAAAGCCTTAACGTTTAACTGGGTGTATCATCAAATCATCGATCTAGTTTGGGCCTCGATAGACGCCGACGAAGAGCGTAGTGCGATGGTTATCCAAGAGCGCGTAGAAGAAGGGCCGGTCGGCCAGGAATTGGGGCGACGGGCGTGGCATACAGCGCATCATCATCACCATGCCTGCGAAGGTTTTAGGCTAGAGCTCGGTGTGGTGGACCGCGTCTGGCTTATAGCGAGCCACCATCGCCACCTGTCCCTCGATTAGCACGCACCAGAGCGCCTCTCGAGTCGCCGCGAAAACCCTCGGCTCGGGCTCCAGCGAACGCCGTTTGCGAACCCCACACGCTGCATCATCACGCACACAACCCACATTTATATATCCATAACACAGATACGCATAACCCATACTTCTTTTTAGCTTCCCCTTAAGCTCCATATTAGCTGAACCGCAAGAGGATAGTTACACCATGTTAGAATGCTGAGCTATTTGAAACCGCAGAAAACCTGGTTTCGTGTTAGTATTTTGTTAGGCGTTTCCTCGGTATGTGGTAGAACCAAATTTATTATTAATAATACCCGTGATTATACAATGGGCTATTCGACAACGCGAAAATATAACGTCATTTAGTGTTATCAGTATTAAGTATAGGTTTTAGTATAAAAGTCACATATGTTAAAAGTAATGAAAAATGCATTTATTTAACGTTAGTCACGTGACACAAAACGCTCGCGGATTTGTCGGGGTTATGACGACGTCACTTGCTTATAAACAGCGCTATAAACCACCGTGTGTGAAAGCCCGTTTTCCCCTCGTGGGGCATGGGGCGAACACATTTCTGTGTCCGTTTCACTGATCCGTTCTTCCCACGGGCAAGTATTTGATCAGACTTCTGTGCCCTGCCCGACCGAAACAATTTATTTTTGTTTCCCTGGGATTCAAACGGCAATACGTTTAACCATTTGGCTACAGAGGCGGTCTGTTCTAATCTCTCCTTTACAAAAAAACTCGTTATATTAATTTAATCACTGTTACAATGCAAATGAAATACGACCGACCGTTGTTTTTTTTAAATATATTTCAACAAATCAGCCAAATAGCCCATTAAAATTATATATAAACACTAATACATAACGAAGATAGATAATTATTAGTTTATTTATTATTCAGAGATTTCATTACTTTTTGAACTAAAGCTATTAAATAATTCTACCCTCACTTTTCTATGAGTAAAAACTACTTTTTGTTTTGTTGTACTGTGTTCTTAAGTTGTAGAGTTTACCATGTATTAAAAGGGGATTCCCCTTTATAACTGTACGCTAAAAGTATTGAATTTAACTAACTTGTATTCGATATTTGGAAAGGAATGATAGAAGCAGGGCGATAAAATGACTCAAAGCAAATATTCGTGACACATACCAGTCGCAGCTGCTGCTTCGGCGCCCTCCTCGTTGACTTCAATAAATGCCTTTTGCACCGCTTTCGATACGAACAATTTCTCATCGGAATTCAAGAGCTTCGTGAGGCCAGAGTTATTCTGGTCGAAAATAGCTTTGACTCCGAGCTGAAATTAGTTTAAGAATATAATAATTTTCCTTCCCGTTAAATAGGGTGTATAGTCTGTGTCAATAGGGGCTTGGATGTATCTCTATATGTAATTCTTTAAAATAGATTGTAATTAACTTTTCTTGTAGTTTTTATAACCAAATTAAAATTAAATACTGTCTGTAGTTTACGCGCTTAGTACACATTAAAAAAAACTTTTAACTTGTTATGTTAAACTGAAGCACTTTAAGAAAATAAAATCATTTGTAAAGTTTAAATAATACCTTGCGCGTTTTAAACTGTTAACAGTGTTTTCCTTAAATTGAAATTCATTAGGATAAATAAGTATATATATAATTTATGAGATAGGAGGGCATACAGTGCGAGGTTTGATAAAAGAGAAAATACCCAGGCCATATAACATCTCAACAAGATACGCTGTCCTGAATAAAAAACTACAAACGTGGGCGAAATGTGGGCTTTTATTTTGTAGCCAGTAGTTCGTTTTTTTATTATCTTTTATTTTATAAGCCATAAATGTCATGATTAAATCAGCAGCCGTGTAGTTCGTGACTAAGAGAAAATTTCAATGTTCAATTTGACGCCCAGGTTTTCCGAACGAAGTTATACATGTTTTAGTAAAATTATACATTTGTTTTAAGAAGCAAGTGAATTTAAGGATGCTTGACCGTTTTAAAATCATGGCATGTTATTTACCAGCTGAAGAGACACAGATAAGGTAAATTGTAATACTAAAAACCAGCCATACTACGCTTAGTAACAATTATGGGATTACTTATCTAATCTATACAACATGTTTGCGATTTGCTCTACATGTCTGTATGTCAGAATTGGTATCGATTAATTATAGCTATTTTTTATTATATGTGAAATATTCCCTTCGCAGAACATTTGAACAAGATGTGTTGTCGACCTATTTTGACTTTGGATTTCAGAATAATTATAAATTGATTAGAAACAGGTTGGACTCGGTGGGGATCTAAACCACGACCCGTTGATTATTAGCCATACATTGCTACCGTTACACTAATGAGCCCATTTGAATAAAACACTTTAACGGTTTAAAACGCGATATATTAGTTAAACTTATTTGAAAATGATTTTTAACGAAACTGCGTATATATCGCGTTTTAAGCCGTTAAAATGTTTTATTTAAATGTGTACTACTCGCGTAAACTATAGACAGTAACTAATGAGCCCGACAAAAGCATAAAAAATATTAAATTCAGATTAATATTATTTGAACCTTAAATAAATCCATACCGTTAAGGATATCCTTGTAATTCAACTATGCTATGTCTTATCGCGAATAGAAGTTTTGGTCAATTACTAATCTAAATTGATAAGATATATATTACATTGATAACTGAGTAAAACATTTTGAGGTTTTTCAGGTAAGATAGAGAAAAGTAGTAGGTATTTTAAGTACTCAAATACCATTTAAAAATCGAAAATAAATTGAAAAAAATTTTCGACTCGGGCAGGATTTGAACCGGCATCGTCAGCTTTCCGTGCTGTTGCTCTAAATACCATTTAAAACGCGAAATGTATTAGTTAAATTTATTTATGAATTATTTTAACTACAGCCTTAAATTTCGAATGCTTTACAGCTGTTGTGATCTCACGAAACGGTGACTAATACATTTCGCGTTTTAAACCGTTAAAAGTGATTTATTTCAGTTTGTACTACTCGAGTAAACTACAGATAGTAAATACTCAGATGGTAGTGTCTTTCGGTCAAGTCAAGTAATTATAGATATAGCAACTTATCGTTACTGTAAAATCCCCCCCCCCCAAGCTTGAAAACTTACCTTAGGCAGAAGGTCTCCCAAATCGATTTCGGTTTCGATCTTGAATCTTGGCAGTGTAACTCGAACTTTCGTTTCGCCCATCTTGTCCACATCGCCCAGGAGGTCATAGCCATCAGCCAGCTTCTTAAGAACCTTGTCCAGACCGTTTATCTCTTCAGGGAGAACGATCAGCATACTCGCTTCCTCGCCCTTATACGGCATTTTCAAGTACTGTAATTTTTTATAATAAGAAAACTTTGAGAGAGATCAAAATGTGTATAGAATTTAGGAAACAATTTTCTTTACAAATATTTTATGTTAATAATAAAAAACAATTAACACGTTATTAACACACAATAAGGTTTTTAAATCCAATGCTTAGAAGCTAAATTTTGGTTGCTCTAATTTTTTAGCCCGGCAAAAGAAATCCCAGAATACTACTCAATAAATAAGATTTAAGTTTAATATATTTCACATGATGGCTTTATAAAAATTAAAATACTATTTTAGATTGAAAAAATTGCTCAAGAGTTGCATGTTTCAATAGGTTAAAAAAATTCGACGATGACGTTTAGGCCACGGTAGCTCAATTAGTAATTGTTTTTTTCAAAATAAAACGATTTTTCTGCAGTGGACACCGAACGGCTGAATTTTATTAAGTAAGATAATGGAAATATATATATATCAAACCTATTTAATTTTTATCTGATTAGATTATAACTTAAATAAAACACTTTAACGGTTTAAAACGCGATATATTAGTTAAACTTTTTTTATTTAAATCATTTAATAAGTTTACCATTAAGGTGTTTTATTTAAATGTGTACTACTCGCTTAAACTATAGACAGTATTTATGTTATCACTTTAAAAATTCTACAAGATTCGCTAAAAATAAGCCAATTAGTCACACGCAATGAATAAGCCAGCTAAAGAATACAAACGTGCAGTGTACATCGATTTCCGTAGACAAATCGAACTTTTCGGAAACTGAACGTCACGCCATAACAAAGGAGGTAAATACGCGAGTTTAGTTTTTGTTACACTTTGTAACTGTGACCTTGAAAATGAATAGGGGTTTTACAACTAATTCGAGCTATGTAAGTACAACAGACTTATCGCGAATATATTTTTCATTATTGGAATTATACATTACCCATTATCAACTTGCATACTAATTTTAGATAATCGCTAAGAACGCGAGTGTTCGATTATTATTCTAGCGAAATACAAAATTCACACTCCGATAATATGGCTGCGTTCCAAGGAATTTTTAATGTTTATTTCTCTTTCGTTATAAATGTACCTGCACTCCGAGATCTGTGCTTTCACCGTACGAAAACTCTTCCTCTATGAACATCATTGGGATGTCCACGGTCTTGGTCTCGTCGAGGTGGAATGGCTGATCCATTGTGCTCATTTTGTCGAACTGCTTCAGCCACAAACCCTGTAAATATTATAATAAAGAGAATAGGCTATTGTTTCGACCTTGCATTGCGTTAAAGCTTCTAGGTTCGATATCGACATTTAAAACTGAATAATATAATGCTATCAATTTATTTGAAAACTTTAATATTTAGATTGATTTAGATTTTTTCGATTTATAGAGATAGAGATATTAGAGCAGCAAGGAACGCTGAACTGGTATCCCTGTTCGAGTTTCACCTGTGTCGCAATTATTTCTCAAACTTGATTTTTAATCTATCGACCATTTCTTATAAGCGAATTGATGTGACTGTTAGTTTAATAATCAACGGTTCCATAACTCTCGAGTCCAAAATTTTCTAATCAATTTATATATTTTTTAATTTTGTTGGACTTCTTCACTTGGCGGTGGGAATATCGAGATTCCGCCCGGGCCACGAACCACCGTCCACAGTTGTAAAAGCAGTGAAATTTAATCGTGTTTCGATTTCAGGTCGTCAATAGGTCGATGGCACATCTTGTTTGACTGTCATATGGCTGGGGTATTTCACCTACTATCAAGTGAATCGTACGCTTGTTTTCCATTTTCTATCAAAAAAATAAAAACCACTAACATTAATTTGTGCCTATGCACATTTGAAAGTTAACTACATACCTATATTTTATCTATAGGCCAATTTAAGTGGGTTTATAGCTGTTATATCATTACAAGAGCCTCTTGAATGTTAACAATAGAACATCACTCCCATAAACGAGCAACCGATGGGCAACTAATTGCTTTAAGAATGATAAGTGCTGTTTCTAATGCATTCACATACCTTGAAGTACAGAGCATTAACGAGGACAAGCCGAGTGTCACTGTTAACACTGTCTGCTGTTAACAGTTCCTTAATGCGGTTGTTGGTCTTGCTTTCCACCTGATAAGATACATTCAATATTACTATGGAATATTCCAGAAGAATAAAGACAAAAGGATTGAACTATCACCTTTTTGTTTTACGTTTTTCCTACCAGTGACTTTATTATTGGTTAGATTTATTTATAGGCAAAATGATTAAACATTTACAGTAATGGTTCTCCCTGTAACTAAATTCTTATGTATTAAATGCTATAAAGTAAGAAGTAGAGCTAAGTGACAAGTGTATAATTTTTTTATACACTTGTCACATTTTTAATTTCTGTCTTGCAAATTATAGGTTTATAAAAAAATATAAAATAGAAGTTATTTATTAAACTATATTTCAAATTAAGTTTAAACACTTAATTAACATACCCATTTGTTGACGGTATCTGCTGCCCCAGCTCTTGCAAAGTCAAGCTTTTCAATGGCTGCATCAAATACTTTCACCGCATCGTTTTGAAGAGCACTGTTCAGCTCGTAGCCACCATCTTGGACGTACACTTTGTTAGCCACATTTAGAGTGATTCCCTTAACTGACTTCAACTTTGCTGACACATTGGTGAATGCTGAGCGAACCTAAAAGATTATTTTAAAATTAACACTGTATTCCAATGTTGCTTAAGTTGTTGTTGGTTTGAACCCTTGTTGATGCATAGAATAATTATTGTCTGGGTCTGGAAGGGCACGGAGAGCTTATCAAAGTAAAACTTGTAACGAAAGGCAATTGATTGAGTCATGAAAATGACTAAGTACTGTTTTTATTCATAACAAAGCTGATAATCATTACTGCATCATCTCCAGGAAGTCCAAGTGTTTGCAATAATTCAGCATGAGCTGGGTCTTCAGAGCCTAGCGCAACAAGTGCTAGTACATATTCAGCGGAGAGAGGTGACGCAACAACACTGGTCTTCTTCTCCAATTCCTGCAAGTAAATCATCTTTACAATTTCAGTTTTTATTATAGTATGGACTTTTGCTAAAATGAAACGTATATAGAATGGTAACTTAATTGACATTAAAGGAATTTTTGTATTGACACAATTTTAAATTACTCCTATTACTGCTTCTCTACTAGTAAACACTTGCTACTACACAGAACTCTTATGTTTTCTTTTCACACCAAAGGATTAGCATGGAGATCATTCATGTGAGTCATCCTGTAGTCGGGTATTCCCCATCAAAATTCTTCCAACATATGAAAGTAATTCTGACTTTAAATTAGATAGTAGCATGAAATTTATATTTAAAATTGTATCATAATAATTCAATATGGTCATTTTAAAACTGGTTGAATATAAGAGAGTTTTAAAAGTATATACCACACCTATAAACTTTCTCACACCCACGTTCAAGGATGTTGGGATGACACCTTTGATGTAAATTTCGAGAGATGACAAATAAGTGATGCAAAAATGGAAAAAGTATAAATAAAAATTGCCTTCCAGCTACACTTACATTGCAGAACTTAGCCGAAAATTTTGCGATAGACGAGGACAGCGCCTTTGAATCCATGGTTGTTGAAGACACTGACTTTAATAATACCAATGGCAAAACTGTGAAGATCAAAATAGAAGCTGTTTATTTATACAACGCAATATCGCAAGCTTGCAAGACGTCTATCTGCGGTGCGGCCAGGACTGGTATGAAACAAATACAAAGATAATAGCTCTTATAACAGCGGCCTTCATAAACAGACAGCGATGATATCACCCATATGCCTACTCAAAACACTGAGCAACCAATGTTGACTAATAAAAAAATATAGGACTATTACTAATTCTATAATTTGCACAACTATATTGTATAATTTAACTTGAAATAAAAATTACACGTACACAAAACACTGGAGAACCGCATTTGATCGACAATCGATCGTTCGTCGTTTTATCGATTTTACTATCACAATTACACTTTTCAGGAAAATAATAATGACGAGTCCTAATTATCGGTAACACCCCAGATAAGAATAATATTTTAATTGGTTTTAAAAACAATTACGATAGTAGTATTGGTTGCACGCGACGTATAAATATTTTTTTACACAACGGTAATACTATATTAAATATTTGAGCAATAAATATTAAATACTTAAAGTATATTTGTTTTTAATATGTACCTATAAGTATAAGTGATGAGCTATGTGTGGAAAAATGTTTTATTGTCATTAAAGTTTAAAATGACAGCACTACCGGCAAGGCACCCACAGATGGATACATAAATATACTTTATTATAGATAATAAGAAAAAGATTAGCTTCAGTGCTGCCAGAAACTGGCTATCAAAAGTCGGATACTTTTAATAGCCAACGCCTGAATTAATGTCGATTTTTTTGTTTATGTTACCTTTACTTTACTTTAAAACTACGATATATAAAAATAAAAGTGATTTTGTGATATACAACACGTCTATCTATCCGGTTTTACCCTATCGGCTAGTTGAAAAAACACTATACTTCTTCCACAATACATTAAAAAGTTGTTTTTATGATATTTATAATTGAATCTATAAAATAACATTTTTCCGGCTTTACAAATAATAAATGCCTAATATTTTGAGCCCATACGAAAAATACTTTTTTTTTATCAGATATAACGAATAATAACGTAATACAACGATAGACTTAAAAAATCTATGATTGTTTTTATCAAGTTATATTAAAAAGTATGGCAACATTAAATTCTAATTTTAAAAATATGAAATTGTCTTTGGATCATAGTTTGTCTTAACTTGTACTCGATTTTCGCGCGAGAACTGTTTTAGATAAATTATGAATTAGCGAAATTCATGTCTGTTGGGTGACATTTTAAATAATTCGGTGTATTTAATTAATTAGGAATAAAAAATTAACATATAAATCTAGGCAGAGTGCATACGTTTAAAGACCTTCGTCTTTTGTATAGAAGTGACCCTTGACTCTTAAGATCCAATGACAGTCTGCTGCAGTGGTCTACTACGAATATTTCTTCGTAGTGTTTATGTAATTCAAATTAAATGTTTCAAGACTAAGGTAGGTAAGTAACTAGTAAACCTAGACTTAATAACAATAGTTGTGAAATGTAAAATATATGAACACAGTATAAACAATTTAAATGCAAGTGGACAAAATATAATTATTATAAGGTACCTATATACTGGCCTCTCGACAACAAGAAGTTTTAAAAGAAAAATTATAAAATTATTATGTGACATGCGTTTCCAAATACATCAATCAAAATAAACAGTTTGTAACTTTATAAACATAACATTATTTTCGACAACACAAAATTTTCCGTGCAATGTGTAATATTTTTGGGATTTTATAATTATTTTTTTATAAAAAAATGCTAAATAATTCCAAAAAAAATACTAAATTTTAGTAAGTTTAGCGTTCGGCACTACAGTTTATGCTGCCCCCCACGAGGCCCCAAATCAGGTAGTAAGTGTGGCTGCCCCGGGCCAACGCCGGGTGCAGGCCCCACGATTACTCCTAATCCCTGTTGTCGTCCTAGCAACATCCCGCCGAACCCATGTGTTCCCAGATTCCATCACGAAAAGGACTCGTGGAAAAAGTATAGATTCCTAACGTTTTTTGTTGGTTTTCCTCTTATACTTATACAAGCATTTGTTTGTTACAATCACACGATACCAGAGAAAGGAGAATGTCGAGATTACGAATACATGCGCCTGCGCTTCAAGAAATTCCCGTGGCGGGACGGCGTTAAAACTCTATTTCACAACGACCGCGTCAATCATTTACCCGGCGAATGTACCCCTCCCCCTCTAGAATGTGACGACAAATAAAACCTACAAAACTATTTTGGCGATTTCATTAAAAAAACGGACCTAGCACTCGTATCTCTAGAATGCTATCGCGCATAAGTAAAATATAAATAGAACGCCTCTAGAGTTAAGCTATGCGCACGCAATGGTGGAGGGCGGGCGGTGGTGTGCTAGGGCGGGTCAAAGAAAGCAGCAGTTGAGCGATCAATAGTGTCGCTGACGTCAGTGTAGCGTCGGCCGCTATTGGCCCGCCTGGCATTATTAAATAAACCTCCTGCGAGATAGTAGCGCGCGAGGTTGCGCCGCGGGCACAGCACCGCAGCACGCGGCGGGCCCGCGTACCGCTCGCGGCCTGCCGCCGCAAGCAATGGCCGACATGCCGGACCTATCGCACCTAACGCCCGAGGAACGCGCCATCATCGAGGGCGTTATTATGCGACAACGACAGGAGGAACAACGCGAACACGAGATCATGAGGTGTGCACCATCCCCACTTACACCCCGACCCCACTGCAGCGTCCCAACATCTGTGTCATTAATCCAATTTAAAATGTGCTGCCAATTAATCAGTGTCAAATATACTGCAGTTGTAGACAAGGACACTGTGCTGAAAACCTGCGCGTTAGTAAAAATCTTAGTCACGGCTGGTATATACGTATAGATGTGAGTACTTAATAACGATTAAAAGCAACCGCAGTGATAGAGTGACTTCCCACAACATTTCAATCGATTAAATAATATTTTTCCATATAGCGTTTTTTCTCTATAGGTCTTAGATAGGGGGTGGATCAGTAGAGCTTGTCTTTAGGCAAGCAAAATAATTCTTAAATTCCATGATAAGTATTGGTTTACAATTTTCGCGAATGGTACCCGTTAAGTAACACACTTTCGTTGGCTCAAAACTAAATTAACTGACACGTTTGAAACCTTTAAGAGTTTTATTTGATTATAATAGCTATACTAAAATAAAAGTAATGATTTCCTAAGCATTTATGCATAATACACGTTGTCTCTTTTTATTCCTTACTTGTGCTAAATATGTGACCTTATTCTGGATTTCATCTCCTAAAGGCAACAGAATAGGACAGCTTCATTCAAAGGAAAGTTGGCAGTGGGACGTGCCAGAGATAGAAAAAGGTTATACGTTAATCGAATTTGCCTACGCCATTTCTTTTCTGATTCAAAAATATCTTTGAGTACTAAGCTTACATTTGCATTATAATTACTACGCACTCATCTCTTGATACTTGAGTACAAAATACAGAGCCTACATAATTGTAAAACAATCAGAGGAACCATCCCCCCGTGACTACGGCTGCTGCAAAGCATCCGAAACGTCGGGCCGAAGTTAAAAATCATTTTCAAATAAGCTTAACTAATATGTCGCGTTTTAAACCGTTAAAAGTATAGACAGTATTTAATCAGAGGAAGTCAAAAATGTATCTCAAAGCATTTTTAAAATTCATTAATATATGATAAAGATGCTTAAATATTTTCGTGAATGTACAAAATTTTAATTAATAAATAAACAGGGTGCCGCATTGTACTAAATTCTTTTCGTTTATATATCACGCTGAATGATTAAGATACAAATAAGCAGACAGAGAGACGGGCACGTCTGATGGTAGCAATGTAAAATAATCAACGGGTCGTCAATCCCTATCGGATTCAACATGTTCCTATTTTTCTTAAATCAGAATACTAAATGGGCGGTAGGAATATCAGTTAATGTCCTTCTGGGCCACGAACCCCTGTCCACAGAAGAAAAAAAACTGAGATATTTTATGTACCATGTGAAAACAATTCTTGTGAGTCCTCTACTATTCTTAAAAACACATTAAAATTTCAGACATTATTATGTATTTCAATTGTTAGTTAATTTTTTAACTTGCCGTATTCCTTTTGTTAGGCGAAAACAAGACGAAGTGGCCGTTTTGGAGCAGACCATACGAACTAGAAATGAGATGCAAAGAGCTGCCGGTGTAGAACTAGCGGCTACTTGTGAAATTTGCTTGAAAACCAAATTTGCTGACGGTATTGGGCATTCCTGTCACTACTGCCGAGTGAGGTGCTGCGCTCGTTGCGGGGGCAAAGTCACTCTACGCTCAAACAAGGTCTGTAGAGAATCAACACCATAGCAAGCGATATAATCCTTTAAAAGTTTATAATAGTGAACCTTACTAATAAATTATACAGGGATGATTAAATTGTGTTTCTCTCTAATTCTTAGGAACTGATCGATTTCTAACAAGCGTTTGATAGCCTTAACTTGGCTTGTGTTAAGACAAATACCTTTACGAAACTTGACTTCGACTTAATTTTACTTGATGAACAGAATTCTCCCCTTCCATTAAAATGCTCATCTTTATTTCTCGTTCTACACGATCGTCTTACAGGTCATATGGGTCTGTATTCTCTGTCGTAAAAAACAAGAGCTGTTATCAAAAACCGGACAATGGATTCACAAGAGCACCGGCCACGACTCAATGCTGTGGCGAATGGAATCGGACATGAGGAATTTACCCTCGCAGGTAGATTCAACATTAGATAAAAGACCCAAGTTAGAGAGAGCGCACAGTGCAGCAGAAAAAGAGAATCAACCGTTGCAGAGGTCTGGTAGCGCTCTGCGACGCCAATACAGCCAGCAAGAGGCAAAGTGCTACGGAGAACTGGAGGGCTTGTCCCGCACTCACCCACATCTAGTACATTCGAGACAGAAGTCAGCGTACGGCTTAGACGACATGGGTGCCCCGCCGCCGTCGCAGCTGTTGCCCCTCCCCCACATGTCAGCAGTGCACCCCCCGATGCCCCCCCGGTCGTCGTCGTCCGACGACGAGGTCCCGGAATGCGTGTCCGACGAAAACGACGAATACAGAGATCGCGGTGAGTGCCAATACCCGCTTTCCACTCTCCGTCCAACCCCCTCCGGAATGTCATGTCCAAGGGTTTCTTTAGTCCCACACAATTTAAACACAGTTAACACTACATAATTAAGTTTGACATGCACAGTTAATTACCTTTTATCACTCATAACCGTTCCTAACATTGTGCAATAGCAAAGGTGTTCCGTGCGAGGTTAATTTTTCAGCGATAACTGACAGGCATTTTCAGGTAATACTATGGTTTTATACAAATAGAGGCATTCTTATATTTTGTAAACCTGTATCTTCATTACTAAGTTAAATATAGAGATATATAGCGTTTAGTGTTTTACGATTATGTTTACGTAGGTCTGAGTCATGGAAATAAAATAGGACTTCTATAGATATAGATATTTAAACTAGTTATTATTTACAGATAGACTCACCATAGATAAAATAAGATGATAAGGTGGAGACGCGTAAAGACTAGTGAATAATATGTTAGTTCCCGTGAGCGTCTAGCGCAAATCGCGTACGCGCCCGGTGTCCGCAATTTGTAAACGCGTCCACTCGTGACTTGAACGTCACGAGGAATGTAGTTAAAACACCCCATCCACTGTTTACATTACAGGTAAAGATAGGAGCGGTCCTGCTGGTGCAAGAAAGCAGCGCCAAGCGATATTAGACGACAAAATGAATAAATTTTTATCGGTGAGACGGGACTTATGTTAGGGCAGTTATGCAATTTATACCTGCTCTACGTTAGATGTTTTTACCTATCGATATTTTCCTTAATCGTTTTCGTCGTCAGATTTGTGCGTCTATGGACTATCATCTGTGATCGCTGTTCATTTCTTTGATTGCCCTTACTTTCCTTCGATCAGTATTTTGTTAACAGTGTACATTGAACTTATTGTCAGGTTCAGAAGTGCATTAAAATTCCTCTCTAACACGAAACACAATTTTGGATAATATTAAAACTTTTTTAAGGGATAGACTAAAGGAATTTTAATGTACGTCTGACAAGATATAGCTTGAACCAGGTATCGATATTGTTCTGGCTTTACAATACTTAAAAAACGATCTTTAAATCAAAATTAAACAAACTTGCCTGATTCAAGCAGACCGCATGTTGGGGAAAAGAAGAGAGTGTAATATAATTGGGATTGTAAAATGTTAGTATTGGTGGAAGTGCATCTTTGGTTAGTGTCTTTTGTTTTGTACTGGGTTGACTTGTCACACTTTCTTTCCGCTTATGCGTCAACACGCTTTGGTAGCGAAACGTTAATTGCTACTCGAAACCATCGGCCGTCGTTAGGTAAAGTGGTAACTACGTCGTAACCTCATTCCGACTTTTAAACAATGTTTCATTAAACTATCGTGGAAAACAAGATTAAAATAAAACCCTGATGTCGGTTCCGGGCGCGTACGGGCGCGCGAGTCGTTGAACGGTGGAACAATAGCGCGTGTCCACGAGGCTATCTGTATAATGTCGTTCATAGGAGATCTTGAGGCGCGTGCGTCACTTCGGAATCCACACCCTCGCTCCAACGTGACAGCGAACAACTATTACAATTTAACTAATCACTCGCCGGCTTCGTACATACCAGAGGGACGCGGGGTTCTCGACACGGGCAGAACGGTGCCCACGGGAGCGAGGAGCTTCGACTCCGTCTCGGACTGTCGGTGGCGTAACCGCGAGGACGGAGAGAGCGCGTATCTCCGCCCCTACACTCGCGACGAGATCCCCCGCTCCGATCGTGCTGTGTACAAAAGCGCTTATCTCTGGGAGGACTCCGCAGACAATAGGAGATTCACGGAGAGAAGAAAAAAAACTGTCAGATTCGATGGCCACGAGGGCGCGGCGACGTTCCCGCGTGGCGGGCGAGACTCATCGGGGGTTCCACATGACTGGGCCTCCTTACGTTGGGAGTCAGAAAGACAAACGAGCCAAGATTCCGCTACGAAAGATTCAGGCATCGATACTTCTAGTACGTTTACATCCAGCGAAGATTCGAACAGGGGCGAGTGCCCTAAGGTACACCTCATGGCTAAATTTTAGCTTGCTTTGATTTACTAGTTGAAATAGACAAATACGACGACGGACAGCTTTTTCTCCAGACATTATCACTTTTAATTTGTCATATAGGTATCTTAAGTTATACACGTACGTTGTTGTCGAATGTCCCCGAAACCTTGCATTGTATATAAAGACATCTACGGAGTTGGAGTTTGGCTGTGGCATGTGTGCACTTGGCATGACCGTTTACGTGTGCGAAGCATTTGCTAGTATTGCTGAATATTTCTATAGAACTTTCGGTGTGTTTCATGTTTACAAATCGATCTCACACATCCACGTTTTCTGTGATAGTTTCCTTTAAACTGGCAAGTGTCTCCGGACGGGACACGCATGGTCGGTCACATGGTTCTTCGTAAGAGCGTAGTAGAGGGAAGTTCCCATTCATCTGCGGCTATTCTTGGCCTTAAAGTCGTCGGTGGGAAAATGCTACCAGACGGCACACGCGGTGCCGTGGTGGAAAAGGTTAAAAAGGGATCCATCGCTGATCAGGAGGGTCAACTAAGAATAGGTAAGTGTTTTACCAACAGTAAAGTTATAATGCTTACTATGCATAACAAATTAGTTTCAACCGTTTCTTTAAGTGTAGGTATATCTTATTTTAAGAACTGCCTTCCAATAGCCAATACGCTTTTTGCGTCTTCACACTTGTCCAAAATACGATTGGCCAAAAACCATTATCAGATTCCACTGTTTTGTAAGGTCTACATAACAAAAAAAATATGAAAACAGCACCTATCAAAAATACTAAACCTGTGCTGAGAAAAGCATACATAATTATCTATTAAGCATTTTGGTTGAAAGATACAGAGCAACAGATTTCCATAAAACCATGCTATAGGTAACGATAGAAAAAAAAAATTTGGCTGTTCTTTTAGGTGATGAGGTATTGCAGTGGAATGGTATGCCCCTCCAAGGCCGAAGTGCTGAGGAGGTAGCCGCAGTTGTGGCTAATAGTAAACACGACACCCACGTTGAGCTGGTGGTCACGCGCCCTCTTGCCTCTGCTAGGCTTCTCGCACAACCTTGGAAATCGCATAAAGGTGAACCATGCTCTATTATAAGAAATATATTATGTTGCTACACTAAGATACATATTATAAATAATATTAAACATTTTTGTAAAGCAACTCACAGATACAAAATCTAGCATTATTTAAGAAGTACAGATAGACGGGATAGAAGGTGTAATATCGTTTTCCTTTAGGAAAGTTCTTGTTCTCACGTCGGTCGAACAGCCCTAAAAACAATGATATGCTGACCGATAGCCATGAAAGCCTTACACAATTTATTTATTTTAGTTGAAACACGTGTTGTTGTAACGGTTGTTCGCGCTTTAATCTGCTTTACTTAAGACTCCTTCAAATTGATACCAGTATTTTCCGGAATGCAAAGGTTTCAACACGATATAAGTTTCTTGTTAGCATAACTTGTAATATATTTATCTCTCCCTAGAAGTCTACACGGAAGTGTTAGGAGGCGGCGAAAAGCCAAGCGTTCTAGTCACCTCCCCAGGCTCACCAGATGTTTATGGCCGGAGACGTAATGCCAGGCAGAATAATCAAAACGCATATGTCGCTGGACGAATACAGGTATAAATGTTTTACTGAATACAGCTATCTTTATAATATAAGGGTTGCATGGAAGAGATCGCTCGAAGCGTTGATTATTAGTTCTATCGTTATTGCTTCTTTTGAAGTTACATTTACAGGTAATAAAGAACAATAGCCAAACTTATATCAATATGGGACCTGAAAATTTTTCTTACGATCAGTAACCAATCATAAAGGGTTTGATTTAATTTGATGTTTTTAATAACACCTGTACAGAAACATTTGTTCAAAGCGGTTATCATTTATTTTTGATTTAGAATCAATAAATAAGTTTAAATAATATTGTCAACAAGGTTCTTCGTTAAGTTATAAATCGAGTTAAGTAAAAAGCAGATAGAGTTTATGGGAGGGTATGTTAAAGAACTGTCAGCCATGTTTCAGCAATTCTAAATGACGATAGCGCGTCGATGACAAATCGTTTCGTTACACGCAAATGGTCAAAACCCCTTTACTTGCTCTTTACGTATAAAAATCAAAAAACTACGAATCTATATAAATAATAGTTGTATATTGGACGTTATAATATCCAATGATACATTCTATACGCGAACTCTAACAATACGTTCTGAATGAAAATATGAAAAATATCACGTTTGGAAAAAATCCACATTTTTCTGGCTTTATTAAGGGATATTATTATTATGTATTATATAGAATAGAAAAAATAACGAATTTTTAATATGTATGACACATATCTGTTCGACTTCAGATGCGATTTGGCCATTGTTCCTTACATTACAACAGGATATGTTGAATAAATAATTACATAACACAAAAAATCATTTTAAAAAGACAACGCCAACAGCGTGGTCATTATTTTGAACAATGTAAAATATAGTTATATTTTTTTGAGTAGTTGAATTTTCTTATAGTTGCATTAATTGACACTAGAAACCTAATGTAGAGGAAATATTCGGTAATCCACTACTTTCTCTCACCAGCTGAAACTCTACTTCGACATAGCAGCGCTGCAGCTTCTTGTAACTGTGGTATCTGCCAGCGGTCTCACGCCAAGAGCAGACGGTTCCCCACGATGCCCTTATGCCAAAATCTTCCTCTTACCAGACAAGAGTGAAAAGAGCAAACGCAGAACGAAGACCCTCGCTAACACCCTGGAACCCAGGTGGAACCAGACATTCGTTTATTGCGGGATACGGTTTAGTGATATCAAGAAGAGAACTGTAGAGGTAAGTGAATTGCGCATTTTGGGTGACTATTTGACGTAGCTTTTAACAATTAAAAGACTGTTAGATTAGACATTTTATACCCAAGAAAGAGCTGTAAATATTTATTATTAATAAAAAAAATGCACTAAGACGCCCGTTACTTTCATGCATTATGTGACGTCATATCTTTATTACATTTATAAGCTAAAGAGTTTGTTTGAACGCGCTAGTCTCAGGAACTACTGGTTCGATTTGAAACATTATTTTTGCGTTGGTTAAAGCATTTATCGAGGTAAGTTTTAGGCTATAAAATATCACGCTGAGACCAATAAGAGTGAAGGAAATGTGGACATAATTATTTATCTTTGAAATTTCCCATTTGCGCGCGCTGCGAAAACGGTTCTAGATATCCAACAAATATATGAAAGAATGAATTCCTTTTTAAATGACCTAAAAAAATGTCCGCGACGATATATTATCTATCTTTTAAGACTAACGAACGGGATGCTACGTGGGTCGAAACGACGTCGTAGGTATCAGCTATTATTTATAAAATGAGGTGGAGGCTGCAAAAACAAATTTTGATGCCCACAACTACATGGACGAAGTCCCTGGCTCAGCTAGTAATTTATATAGCTGACATAGAAATCCATTGTTGTAGGTGACAGTTTGGGACCTGAACCGCTATGGACCCAATGATTTTCTCGGCGAAGTTCTATTAGATCTCGAGAATATGCCGATGAATCATGAGCCGAATTGGTACAAATTGAAACCGCACGACGAATTCGCTGGGTTTGGGGTATGTATTACTAAATATATTTACTATATGGACAATTTCAGCTCTGCCCTTATCCATACTAATATTATAAAACTGATGGGTTTGTTAGTTTGGATGCGTGAATCTCAAACTAATGGTGCGAATAGATTTTTTTTCGTGTTAGTTTTACGATTTATCGAGGAAGGCCTAAAACATCAGGCCAATGGAAGCAAGAAACAATGGAAAATATGGGGAATAAACAGGAAAATGATTTGTCTTTGAGGGTATCCGTTGCGAAATTTCTTCGAAATATGGCAAAATAATGTTTGCCAGGTCATCCAGTTCCTCTATAAAAAAGGATATTCGGGAAGTGTAGAGTCTATAGTGAATTTGGCTATAACACATCCACTGGATAACATTGGTTATCTGTCTTGTCGGCTTGCATCCTGGTGATGTAGTGTTACTTTTCGGGTAATAGTAAGTATCCCTGACATACTTGAACATTGATCCGACTCGAAGGACCAATGTACAGGTTCTTCCATGTATTTCTTTTCTTTCAAGATTTCATGTTTCGAGTCCGTATCCCTTTCCAGCTAGGAATATAGGCTAGATTTGAAATCTAAACTTTTATATAGTCTAGGCGGTTATTCTTTAAGCGAATTGTTTTCGCTAAATTCAAATTAAGAATATCCTTACAGAGATACAGAGAAGACGAAGCTGATGGAGAACATCTATCCCCACCTTCCACCTCAACTTCTCGACTCTCAGACTCGGACACGCCCAGCGAGTGTGATCTACGACGACACCATTCGCTCTCCAGCCTGGCTTCAAGCTCGAGCCCACCACCACCCCACGAGGTAAGAAAGTTACCTAATGATAAGAACTGATAGAGAAACGGCTTCTAAAGGCGACAAAATGTTTGCGATTTGGAAATAGGAAGTAAATAAATACTAAATTTAAAGTAGTTTTTTGTGACTCAAGAAGAATGGCATAAGGTCCACACATCTAAACAAGACGCACTGGCGACCTTTTTACCCGGCTTTACATATTCGTAAATCTACACCCAGTAATTAAAGCAATCGTGACTCGGAGGGAAGTTCAATATTTCTACCACTTATTAAATATCTACACATTCCAGAAGTTTTAATTTCAGAAAACTTTTTTTAGAACATGAACATAAATAACATTATAGTTATATCCTACATTTTATATTTTGTAGGTCGATGGCACTCGGTACAGTCGGCGCGACATGTCCCCAGCCGGGCGAGTTCGTACAGCGGGCGTGGCCAGGGAACGGGTATGTAACTATTCAATGGTTAACTTCCTTGTTCCAGAAAATGTGGTCATTGACTTATTTCTTTTGTTCCTTATCCGTCGAGTTATTTTAGTTGTCAATTTATATATTTTTTTAATAAGACACTTTTAACGGTTTCAAAATACTTAGAAATGTAACAAACTTATTTATTTTAATTACGGTTCCACCTTGAAGCAGCCGTGGTTATCAAAAACACCATAAATTGCAGTAAGTTAACATTTTGCATTTTAAACTGTTAAAAGTGTTTTATTTAAATGTTTAGGTACTATTCGCGTACACTACAGGTATTGAAAATGTATTTTTTTTATTTCGACATTTTTGTCTGTACTTTAAAATTCCATAACGAATTTTCTCTTCAATGAAAGCAAGAAATAGTATAGGTGCCTTAAATTAGGCTTTTTCCAGGGTCCCGGCTACGTGGCGCGGTCGCAATCAGCGGCCGGGGGGCGAAGCGCCTCGCCTCGCCGATCCCTCTCCCCGCCGAACGATAGAGACGCATACCGCTACACAGGTCTTCCACGAACCCTAACAATCATCTATCTTTTATCTATGAACGATTGTTTCTTATTCATGACACAACTAACCTTACAAATGTCGAAATCCTTATAAAGAGGTCAAACGCAAATATATATGAAATAAAAAGCGTTCAATAATAATTGCGAGAATGTAACTAAGTTGAGGTACTAGCGGCACTTTGATCTCACAAATAGTGTTGTGAACAGTCAGTGTGTGTTCAAAGAGCCGCTCCTACTGCTTTCAAGTCTAGCCGAATACGAGCGGGCGCGGACCCCGCACGGAACACAGAATGTCGCGCGTTCATTACAACTTTACTCTCACCAACTATTTAATCTGCCTTCACATTTTTATTTCACATACTTTCCGTCCTTTTCCTCGACCTATGAGCACGCTGTACTCATTTTTAAGTCTAAGTTATGTTTTATTTAAGCGATATCATGTAATCAGTAATTTGAAGTTGCATGCCGTTTCAATCTATTTCGACGTTAACTTCGTAAGTTTCAAATCTTTATTTTATTTAAATATGCCCAGAGGTTCATGTTGGAATTATAGACTGTAGCTATCGTTTCAGTTTGAGGGTGTTTCTGGGTCCGAGTTGTATTTGTAGGTCACTAATGAGGTTTTTGGTTTGGAAATAGTGTGTGAAGAGCGCGGTGAGAACGCGCGGTTGCCAACTCACGCTTATGCACCACGCTTTCAATCACGGTCTGCAACTGCGACGCCTACCACCAGCCCAAAGAAACGGCAGTTACCACAAATCCCACATCAGGTAATTCTATAACTACTACTATCTTTAGCAAAGTCCTGTCAAGCTGGTAATGACGCAAGTTCCATTTCTAATCTACGCAAGTGATACACATTCAAGAAACACTTTAACGGTTAAAACGTTTAAATATAACACTTTTCGGACGTTTCGGATGTTTTGCAGCAGCCGTGGTCACGGGGAGACTAAAAATGGAAGATGTCTCTGACGTCGAAGTAAAAATTGCTACGCTAGCGCCATCTTTTCCGTCGAAGTTGGTTCGGCCACTTTACCCAAATACCAACATATATATCGCATTTTAAACCCTTAAAGTGTTTTATTGAAATGGTTAAAACGTTAAAAACTGCAGCTGATGCAGATCATCTGAGACTTGTTTTTATTATTTTCGAGAAGCTCCTGAATATGACTAGAAAGCCATCGCTTGTACTGTACTTAACAGTAACTCTACAAGTTAATAGTATTTTTTTGCAGAATACACAGAGAGCCATGCGCGCGCAGGTGTCTGCGGATCTCGAAGAACGTAAGTGGATCGCCCCGCATCATATTGGCGCCACACTCACCTACCGCAGCACGCCACAAGGTCAATACACCAACACTCATACATCATACACACACACAAAGATAGATCTTAGAATTCGCTTAGATATCACGGAGTCCCGTTTCTAAACTAAAAATGAATGTGCAATGTCAAAGTTTACAGGATTCCTCTTGTTACACCAAGAATCGCTAGGAATTAGGATAGCTAATAAACAATATAGTACACACACCAAATGTCATACCATGACAAAAGCTTCCGCTTTTGTAGTGTCTAGAATGTAGTCAATTGTAGAAGTAATTATAACAATAAACAATATATAAACAAAATGTTACTTAAGATGGTCCTATGAGACCCAATGTTAGTATAGGACATATAATGTGAACAATCACTCAGGGTGGGAAAGACACTACGCAGGGCTCTCGGACTCGGAGTTGGCCTCTCGTGGTGGCGGTTGGGCGCCAAGACGACGACTGTCTCCGGATGCAGCCGCTGGCGATTCTGACATTGAATCCGTGGCTTCGGTTACATCGAGTGCATTCAGTACGCAGTCAGAACGACCACGCCCTACCAGAATGCTTAGGTAACGTAATATTGGGATGATTTGTCTTATGAAGATCTTCAGATTGTAATTTACTATTGGAAGACACTGATACCCTGGATGCACGGAATAGGTGGCGCGGTAGCCGTGTTAATAAAATTGGCTTAAGTCAACTTATACGGCTACTGTCATCTATAAAATATTTGAATATAACCTGGATCGAATAGAAGAAATAACACAACTCCAAAATTTCCCAAAACAGCGTATGCCTGTACTTTGCTCCTACTGTCCAAATGCATGATGTTATACCGTCTTGTTCACATACTTTTGCAGAAAACGGAGTTTTCGTCCTCTTAGTAAATCATCCTCCTGTGATAGCTTCATTATAGATCCCTATATTACTCCCGAATATCCTTATCAATTAAGATCCAGTACATTAGGCTCATCTTTGAATCGAAAATTTGGAATAGACCGCTATAAACCCGACATTTATCCAACGATCAAGACTACACCTAGCTCACGAAATATACACGGGATCTTACGTCGCAGTCATTCGATAGGTGCTAGTATTAGAAACAGTTTTCATTCATGTGGAAGAACATTAAGTTGCCCTCAAAACGACGACGATTTTTATGAATACGGCAAAAGTTACGTTTCAGATATTATCAAGAAAAATAGTAGAAAATATCCTAGTTACACAATACTCCCTGATATAAGCAAAGCTGTAAAGTCATCGATCGCTAAACCGTACACTAAAATTGGACAGTACTTTAGTAACGACGTCAAGTATTCGAATTTAAATAAATTAACTGATGAGTATAGAACAAAAAAGGTACCCAATTTGCGCTTGCTAAAACACTTACGAGGCTCATTCAATTTTCAATCTTTTGATGATAACATCTATAGGAGAGAGAGACTTCCTACTATAGATGATCAAGATGATGAAACATATACAGATCATTATCACGGGTATGGGAGTGATACAAGTTTAGCGACAATGATACATGTCAGCATCGATACACCAAAAGATAGTATATTCGAAAAGGATGTCATTAATAATACTAGAAGTATTAGCAATGACTATAAAAAGAGTTTATCACTAGATCTTAACTCGTTATACGGACTAGACTATGAAGGCTATATTAAAAATAAACACTGCAATTCAATTGATATAAGTCCAAACACAGATAGCTTTGAACAGTTAAATATTAGTTTTAGCAAAAACAACTACGTAAATAGCAGAGGTGTTTTTAATACAATATTAGCAAAGTCGTCCCCCACGTCCATTAAGTCTGTATCCCCTGACGATATACTGGACATTTACAACCGATTATCCGCATACAAGATTCTTGACACAAAAGATATTGATGACGTAACGTTAGACAGAAAACCAAGATATAAAAAACGAGTAAACATGGTGAGCATTAATGAAGTACCCACGATACAAGAATTCTATTCGCCGGATTCCTTTTCTCCTCTTTCGAGTCCCGAATTTCCTTACGACGAGCCCAGAACCCCGATCCCTAGAGATGTCCGCAATCCCCCATACCGCACGTATCCAAAACATCATGTAGAACAAGATTATAGAAGTAAAGCTAATTCGTTCTCTAATTTCTCTTCCTCAAACCCTGGCTCACCACATCGCGCTTCCGCTACGCACCCGCCTCCCAACGAACCGACACCGGATAATCCACAAAACACCGATCAACAAACTAAAACTGAACCACGGGATCGCAATCAATCGACAAATGCCAACACTAAACGGAAGAGTATTGTTGAAACGGAATCGCAATGTAGCAATGACTATGGTGGTCGAGAGAACGGTAGAAACAACAATCAACCTCCAACTCTTGAAAGACGCGAGTCGAGACACGGACAATTCACACGAAGCTTGAGCAATGCTGATGCACCCGATGAAAAAGCAGGTAAACTTATAAAATATTTGGATACCATTTATGTTAGTTCCTTCTACTAATTCCAATGTTATATTAAAAGATGGCAGCCTTAGCGATACAGCGCTCGGTGCGACGTCGGAAAATGAACCCGCTGGAGATGATGCACTGTTGAAAGCTGAACCGCGAGACTACTTTGGTCCTGGTATGGGGAAGAAGAGCAATTCAACATCACAACTGTCGGCTACAGGTGATATGTGTTCCGTTTATTTATTTATTTTTGTCTTCTCCAATTGTAAAAATAGTTCCCCTTAAATAATAATTATGCAATATCGACAGGACGAAAGAGACGGTTAGGTTTTGGTAAACGTGGGAAAAATTCGTTTACGGTTCAACGCAGTGAAGAGGTTGTTCCCGGTGAATTGAGAGGAGGCGCTGGAGTGTCCCGGGCCTCCTCGGCCTCTAGTGAAAACGACGACGACAGGTTGGCATTCTTGATAATGCCAACATTGACACAATAGTGACAATTATATGATGAGGCGGTAGATTCACAATTCACGACGCGATCGCGAGTCCTGAACAGCATGTCAAGCATTCATAGGGATATCTATGTGCGCCATGTTGCTTTGTAAAATCAGCTGCGTAGTGGCTTTTAGTGGTGAAACACTGGGTACTTTATACCCATAAGCATTAACGTCATAAGTTTATATATTTCATAGTGATAGGAGTTTCATTGCAATTAACCAACAAATATAACCGTAAACGTAGCCGGGTACTGAATGTTTTGTGTTGGCATTGGCGGCGGACGGTCGCGTGCTGTCCATCGTTGACCGTGCTTTTCGCGTAGAAGGCGGGGCCGGCGCGCGTCGCAAACGCTCCAGCGCCGTGGTCACCAGCTTCAAGCGCTCCCACGAAGTGTCTTCCAGCCTCGTCTCCATATGTAGCTCAGAGGGAACCTCGTAAGTCGCTCGCTCGTCCCTTTCGTTCTTTGCCGGCAATCTCTATCTTTGTGTACTCATCGATGTTGCTCGACGTCTTCTCTCTACCCTCTTTTGCCTTCGTCTAACGCATGTTGCCATGTATCGGTGTTTTACCTTCCTTATGTTTAAGCACGCACGAGTTTGTCGCACTGAGAAAAATTAATGTTTAACGTGCAGTGACCGGTTTGCTTTTCGAAATCCGTATCAATATTTGTGAGTGAATTTGCTTAATGTTTTGTGTGCACGGGTGTGAGCGGTGAAGCTTCTAGTCAGGGAGCGGCTTTTGAGAAATGCACAAAACTCCTCTGTTCACAAGCATACACAAGATATTTTGTAATTGTATATGAATGCATGCCTAAATTACTTATTTTATTTCAAGATATTTTAGGAAGTTCAGGTGAGAATATATAATTGAAGGCGGTGCAAACGCCATTTTAATGTTCCCCCACCACAGAGTAATAACAAGTTCTACGAGGAAGACCTAACCTATCTTCTTAGTTACATAGCTCACGGGATATAATTATCTTTTTCAATGTAAAATAAAAGATTTCGTATTAGACAATTCAATCCCCTATACCTTCTCGTGCTAAATGTCTTTCTGTTCTCGATACTACCGCCCTCTTCATCACTATTGTATCAATGTTGTTTAAAAGATTCCTTGTGCCCTAAGTACACAAAATCCTGTAGTTCATAGATTAGTACTATTTAAAATGAATAATCTGGTCTCAATCTGTTTATCAAAATAGAATAGATATTTAAAAAAAAAATCTGTAAATCACTTATTTTTATTAAAGCTTGAATCTTACTTTTAAAACTTCAATTACTAATAGTAATTTGAGCAATAAGTGAAAATTAGCTTAGCTTTGAAAATGGTTTTTGCTAGCCTAAGAAATCAAGTAACTTATATTTGTTTTCAATTTTTATAAGAACGATTCAACCTAAGAGCTGCTGAAATTGAATATGCATTTTTATTATTAACGAAAACAGTCTTAATACAAAAGTAGATAACAAAAAACATACGTTCCGTTTTAAACCGTTCCGTATTTTATTTAAAAGATATACAATATATTTAAATGCATATTTCCTATCGACTCAAAGATCTGACCTACAAAATTTGATACCTTATGAAGCACTATCCACTCTTAGATGGTCACCGGGGATGCGGGGTTCGAGTTCGTCAGACGGTGGCGGGTTATCGGACTTCATAGATGGTCTGGGACCAGGCCAGTTGGTTGGGAGACAGCTTCTGGGCGCTCCGACATTGGGCGATGTGCAATTATCTATGTGCTATCAGAAGGGCTTCCTTGAGGTATGCCTTTACTTTTCTCCATACCATTTAATATTATTAATAGTAACAGATATTTAAGTAACGCACCAAATTTCAGATTGTAGTTCTAATATAGTACACGAATAATTACCCATCTAGTTTTTAAGAATATAAAGAAAGTTCGGCTCGAAGGACCAAAATATTTTGTTAGCTGTTATTCAGAAATTGTCTTTTAAAGCTTATTGACGATATTAATCTATATCAATACCTACAGCTGACGAGGTTTTATAATACCGGTCAAATGCATCCTAAGTAAAACTAAAAAAAATGTAAGGTGGAGGTTATACGAGCACGCGGTTTGCAAGCGCGTCAGGGCAGCCGCACTTTACCAGCTCCCTACGTCAAAGTGTACCTCGTGAGCGGAAAGCGCTGCATCGCAAAGGCCAAGACTAATACGGCGCGGCGCACACTCGATCCACTATATCAGCAAACCCTTACATTCCGAGAGAATTTCAAAGGGTGTATATTACAAGTGAGTATCCCGAATTGAACTGAAACTGTTATATGTTGTTTGCGGTTGTGCGACTCTCACACTTTTAAATAAAACATTTATAGGTTTTAAAATGCGAAATATATTAGTCCCCTCCGTGACGACGGTTGCAAAGCACCCGAAACGTCGGGTCGTACAACAAATTAAAAATATCTTAACGATGTCTGTTGTTGTCAACTGAGCGATGTCCGTACCACAGGGACTATCATTTTATTTAATTGCTTTCATATAACTTCAGACTTTTGAAATAACTTTTAATTATATCTTTTTTTGGATAGTTTTTTCTAATCTTATCATTTCTTCTTATCTTGTTATTATAAAGAAGCTTTCTCAAGTTTATCATGTGAAAAATCTTTTTAATTATTTCAGGTAACAGTGTGGGGAGACTACGGCCGTATCGAAGGCAAAAAGGTGTTCATGGGTGTTGCCCAAATAATGTTAGACGATCTCAACCTATCCAATATCGTCATTGGATGGTACAAACTCTTTGGAACGACGTCTTTGGTAAATACACACGGCTGTTCCAATTCCTCATAACTAATAGACCTTGTTGAAATTAACGTTTCTCTTTTCCCTTCCAGTAACTGTGGTTCATCGCTGGCGCGATGTCGGTGAACTATATCAATAAAATAAATAATAAAAAGTTATATAAAGTTGTCCAAATAATACATCTAGTGGTACTGCTTTAATATTATTATAAACTGCAAAAAATGTCTTGAATATAGGAAACATTTTTCTATAAAACGAAAGTTATTTGTAAGTTATCCATTTATTTTTCTTTCGGAATGCCTACTGGTGTTAATAGCATTTTATAGCAAGGGGGGAGTATAGTGTACTCGATAATGTAATTAAGTATTAAAAGCCAAATGCGATTTAACTGACTTTTTTATACAAACACTTACCATTTTATAGTGGCATGAAGTCCTTTAAAAAGCAATATTCTTAAAAATATATTTATTCTCTAGGTTTATTTTACACAATAACATGTATAATTTGCGCTTATTCTATTCTTCCACGTCATATATTTTATTCCGCAAAAAATATAATGATGTAATTATTCTAAAATTATTTATGTCAGTGTTCCTAGTAAAATTAGGATGGTCTTTATAACAAAGTACAATATTTAAAATAGAAGTACACGTGCGATTAGCGCAGCTATGGTTAAGACTTATATTAATAATAATTACTCTAAGGGAAACCTGAGAACGTAATAGTTTAGTGCAGGAGTTGTTTTTGTTGTTTCGACGGCGACGCGCCCGGTAACCGGCTGTCGCCCGCTCGTTTCACGCCGGTTGATTTTATATCTAAAATATTAAATTATATATTATTAACAAAATAAATCGATATCAAGGATATACAACGAAGGTTTTATAACGAAAGTTTTTTTAATGATAGAGGAGGACAGATGAGCATGGCATTCACACACACCTGGACGTGGACAGTGGTTCGTAACCTGGGCGGAATTTCGATATTCCTACCATCCATTTCATATCCAGATTTTCAGACGAAATCCAATATTTTTTATAAACATTATAAATTGATTAGAAATATTTTGGACCCGGTGGGGATCGAACCCTTTGATTATTAGCCGTACATACCATTACACCAACAAGCCAAGTGTTGAAGTCAAAGTGATTTAACATGTTTCTTTTTTATTAAAATCCACTCACTAAAGGCTTTATTTTTTCCTCAGACCTATAAAATCCATTTTGGATAAGCTTATCCAACTATGGTCGGTTGTTCACAGCATCTAGATGAAATTTCGACATTTCTACCTTCAGATCAATACTTACTATTATTATCGAAAATAAATTGAAAAAATGTTCGACTCGGGCAGGACTTGAACCGGCATCGTCAGCGTTCCATGCTGTTGCTCTACAAATTGAGCTACCGACTCCTACACCTAATCGTCGAATTTTTTCAACTTATTGATACGCGCATTATTAAGAGTAAGAAAAGCAATGTGCCAGGCCTTTGTTTTGGTTACGTTTGGTTAACGCGTTAAGTAATACTATCTACCCTTCAAGAAATCACGTAAATTCTCCTCACCTTGCAACCACCTGACTTGAGTAGCCGGCCCGTAACCCTTTTCATTGCGAGCGGCGATACGGAAGATGATAGCAGGCTTAGTCGAAGAGTCGACGTGCGCCGCGCTTAAGGAGTTCTGGGGTACGACGCACGTGTTCGCCTTCCCGCAGTAAACGCGAACGAACGCCAGCTGAGACTTCGCCGGTTCCTGCTGAAGATGTTTTGCATATATGATTACTATTTTATTTTTGGACTAAGGCCATCAGAACAGGAAGTTATCAAATAAAAACTATGTTTTTAGATAGAGGACAGATATGCATGGTGTTCCTGGACGAAGTCTATCGTGTTTCAGATGAAATATAAATTTATTAGAAATGCGTCCATATAGCCGTGTAGCCATATATAGTTACCATAGGATTCTTATAGTAATAAGTTTCCTATAGTAGTAAGTATTTCTTAGTGATTAAAAAAAAAACTAATTTTAGTCTACTCAGACAAGAATATTGGGCAAGTCTTTGTTAAAAACAGGTCTTTTCCTGATTAGTTAATAGAAACTATATGTTCACAGTATAATATACACAAATATATAAAATACCTTTTGTTGCGAGTTCGATCGCACAGCAAGATATACTGAGTACTCGAAGATGCCCTCCGCAGCAACTTGGGGCGGCTCCCAGGATAAGTGAGCTCCCTCCACCGACTTGGAGATCTTGATTGCTGATGGCGCACCTGGGAATCCAGGCAAACATGTCTTGAATGCCGCTTCCTGTAAACATAAACATTGTCAAATACTTATACCGTATGCCAGGGATGCACAGACTTATTAAGACCAGGGACCACTCGGGCAAATCACAAACTGATGGCAGACTTCCAGAAGTATACGTAATTAAAGACAATACAGAATTGATAATAATGTATTAAAATTCAAAAAGAATTTATTATTTTCATTATTTTTGCTGTCGGCTGACAAAAAAAAATTTTGATGTCTAAAATAACTATTCCACGTTAACAAAATCGCAGCAAGTAGGAAAATATACTTCTCAGCTACAATACTAACGAACGTATCAGAAATTTTGGTCATAATTTAATAATTACAAAGAAATAATATAATATAAATGAGTTAGAAAATAAAAGATTGGTCTTATATACAAAAATTGGACCTAGAACTATATATATGTAAAAGATTAGCCTGTAAATCTAGATTGTATTTTATGATTTATATTGATTTAGAAACTCATATTTTTATATAAATCATACAATTAATGTTTCTTATAAAAAAAAGATAAAAGGTATTTTTTTTAATACACACAACACCAATTACATATATTCCGATAACAATGATAGTTTACACAGTTTTTAGTATACACCACATTACCTCACTAAAGTCTCCCTTGCCACAGGAGTTGATAGCAGCGATTCTGAACTTGTAGGCCGTTCCATGCTCCAAGGGCGTTGTTGCCAACTCACTCAAGTCGGGAAGATTGTCCAATGACAAATTGGACAAGTCAAGATTTGGATCTGATATGTAATTTTGAACCTGGAATTATAAAATTAGTACTTTACTTATAACTATGTTGTATTCGATTTCTTCACTCCCCACTTATAAATGCCATTATAATTGAGGTTGCTAGAGCCAGAGTGGCCTATTAACAAAAACATGATGTTTAATAAGGAGGTAGATCGAAATGCCTAATTAACTAGGCAAAAATAGATTTGTACTATTATTTGTGTAAGAATTAATTTAACAAGAGCAAGTAGATTATCATTTGTAGACAATGAATAAATAATAAACTTTTAATTAAGGCCGTAGAACAAACGCGAGCTAGCAAGCCAATACTTTTATAATCTCAGGGCAACTATAATCATAAAAAATCCTTTTGAAGTAGCTTAAACTCACTGTAAATGTGGTCCCCTTCACTATTCCAACTGTATACCATGTGTCTTCTTCATTTATTTTCGGATCTTCTTGTTCGGGCTGTAAAAAAACAATTTAAATATAATGAAACATTCGTATAACACTCTGAAATTATTTTTACTGGGGCTTAATATTTAACTTAAGCAGAAGTGCCTTACTTAATAAAAAAATAAAAAAAAGCATACTTGAATGTTTAAAGTAAATATACTTATAATGAAAAGTTGACAAGTCTAGTATGTCTTGTCATCTTTTCATACCAGAATCTTACCTTTGCATCAAGAAATAAATACGTAGTTGCCATAATATAAATATGTAATTTATTAATTTCAAAGGTAATACTTACCATATATTTCTTATTATAAGATATATTAACATATATTACCTGTTCTTGGTTGTGATGTAACGCGGCACTGGCAAGCGTAGCCAGCGCGTGCGCAGCGTCCGTGGGCGGTATGGGCGGAGTTCCATTCGCCGCACCCGAGCTGCTTACTGCTCCCTCCCCCTCTCCAACACCGCCACTTGACACTGATGATGAGACGCCTCCACTGCTTGGTTGTTCTTCTTTGACTAAAACAAAAATATTAATAATTTTTTACCTAGAATATTAATTGAATATTTACTGTCATATCTACTCCAGTCAAGGAAAATTTCATTTCCCCCTGTGGGCAATTCAATCATTTTTGTTCCCATTTTGCTGGTTATATTACAGGCAATATCATGTCTGTACCTATCTTGCCCAACCAAGAAAAATTACATTTTTCCAGCGAACTAACAACATTACGAAACATGCATTATACAAAATATATACTTTGCAATAAGGTAGGCGAGAGCAGAGCTGCACCATTTGCAGCCATAGTGAGTATCGGCAATGACTCACTGACTGCTGGCATCGTATCTGCGGCGCCTTCCATTTCTGAAGTGTCTGCATCACTGAAACTACATATAAACTTCAATAGCTTAACCAAATTCTTTATTGTTATTCACATACAGTATGTAAAGCCTTAATAGGGCATATCCACTGGACATATAAATTATTACTTATAGACGTTGGAGCTTTGTCTTTGTATTACCATAGCGATTATAAGGAAGAGAAATTGTTGTTCCGTTGTTGAACAACCATTATCACTTAATAATTATACTAAAATAGAAGGCGATTCTAAGAAACTGAAATTAATAATTGATTATAGATTGACAAAACTTACTCGGGCAGGACTTGAACCAGCATCTACAGAAAACCGCATTGTTACTTTAACGAATTACCGAGTCCTATACGTCATCGTCGAATATTTTCAACCTAATTGATTCATGCACCTCTCGCGCAACTGAAATTGTTTATAACATTACAAACTTACTCATTGGTGGGTTGCGGCAATATTGAAAAAGCATGCATAACCGCTGGTCCGTTAGCTGTTGATGAAATCAGGGCGGCCTCGCCTTGACCGCTGCTAGATATATCAGCACCTCCCTCCGCTGTGCTTGAGCTATAAGAATAATTTCTGTACAGTTTTGGATTCTATTAAAATAGAAATGTTCTGCAATGTAATGACAGTCATATTTTACCTAATCCCTGTTCCTAATATATCTTGTGCTGCACTACTAATATCATTTACATCATCACTGCTAGCCACACCTTCTCCACCGCCCATGTCTTCATCCATTGTACTAGATTCTTCTGTACAAAAAAATAATTACATGGATTATTATTAGTCAGGACATTTATATATAATATGTATATATATTTAGGATTAAAATATCTATATGAATAAAAACGTAATACTAATATCTAGTTAAGGTTTACATTATTAGATGGATCCTAGGACTTAACTGATACAAATTTGATTCCACAAAAAAAACATGGAAGAAAATGGGAGTGTAAAAATAAGTAAATAGAACAAAGAGAAAAAAAAGATTAACAAACCATCTTGAATGTTTGGTGCACCTTCAATAGGCATTGCAGAGCTGATTGATTGGTCTGGAGACTCCTCTTGCTGTTCTCCCGACTCCCCTTCCGTATCTCCATCCAGTGCTTCAGATTTTAACACAAGATCTATATTGCCCTCCTCTTGTGGTGAATTGTCTTCTGTTACTGCCTGCCATGACAGTGTTTCAATAATTTTATTAAATACACTAAAATTTTAATTGTGAATATAACAGTTCCCCATAAGCGACATGCACCATGTAAATTTGTATAATGTGTAAACTTACACTTTACCAAAAAATTGTATAACCCAATTTAATTAATAAGAATATAACGTTAATCTTACCGGTGTTGAAAGACAGTTATCTCCTATGTAAGCAGAGTCATCTCCAACAGCACCCGGTGTGGTCTCATCTATATCCATTTCATCTTCAGCTCCCTGTTCTTCTAAATAAATAAAAAAAAATCTTAAAGTCGCAACAGAATTATTACAACACAGATTTTATATCACATTAATTTTCAAATAAACTTCGCGTTTTAAACCACTAAAAATGTTGTATTTAAATAATATGCCTTAGTATGACCTAGTGGTATCTCTGAGTTTACAACACAGGAAGTTAACATCACATCATCTTATAAGGAATTGCAATCACTACTGAATTCTTAGGACCCATTTATAATAGGAATAATTCAAATTAGACTATCAGTAATACCTTGATTCCCCTCTTCAGGGGCGGGTTCCTCATTTTCTGCTGGTGCAACAGCTTCTAGATCTAAAAGATCACTGCTACTGGTTGGTGCTCCACCATTCGTTGCTATTACCAGAAAATAAAAGATTTATAAGTTAATAATAACTAAAATAAATAATGTATATAAATGTAAATTATTCTGAAGCGAACTTCTTGTAATCGTTAGCCGCGTGCGACCTAATGTGATACATTATGTGGGAAATTTGCGAGTTCAGGAAATCTAACTATAAGTATCTTTACCCGCATCCTCTGTAGTTTCCACCGCTTCGGGCTGCTCGTTTGCGCTATTTTCTTCGGCGATTTCACCTAATGTTTCTGGTTGATTTTCAACCAAAGGAGACATTTCCGCGCCATCAGAAATATCACCGTGTATTACTGCTTCTGGATCCATGATACACTGTATATAAGTTCAGAATGGACTAACACAAATAAATATTGATTTGTGACACACAATTATAAACCAAATATAAACATTATCAAAGTTATTCACAAATTTTCGAGATATTTGACAAATAAAAGCAATCGTCCATAGTGCCTAGGCATTAGCCAACTTGGCGTCACTTTTTGACTTTTGTACTTTAGACGTTTGATCCAGTGTTGACAGACTGATTTTGTAAAATTCTCTAAGAATACATAAATTAATTTAATTGACTAAATCGATTGTTTTCAGTAAACCCAAGTTTATATATATATATTTTTTAATAATATTAAGCTTATTTTATATATCACTTAATTTTACATAAAATAGAATTTAGAATTAGTCTTTGTTTACAAAAAGGCTCTACGATTTTGACAGCTGACATGACTGAGCTCATGACTATTTTGTGAATTTATAAAAGTATGTTCGCTATACAAAATATTTATTTTTTCACGTAAAACATCTATTATTTATGTAGTAATGCAAGTTACATAATACATATATACAATGTTATTGTATCCCTTCTTACTCTTTTAAATTCTTTCTTATTTATTTATATATAACCTAATCCCTTGGGGGTTTTTAGGAGTTACTAGTTCACATACACTGTTATTGTTGTATTATGATTGTTAATTAGTTTAATAAATAAACTGAGTAATAATTTATTTTTAAAATAATAATAATTGTACAAGCATTTCAAAAAGTTACTGGTGAAACAGGTAAGTGAAGCAAAAAATAACCAGATTTAGACCTTCATCTACTGTATGTATGTATATGTATATGATTTATTAGTACTCTCTTTCGCCCTTCATTGTTGAACTTTATCAAACTTTTTTGTCAAGTTATAAGCTTGCAAACATCTGAATGTGAAGTCAGTCCTGTTAGACTTGTATGATTACCAACTGGCTTGCAACGCAAAGCTGGTCCCTTGTACATTCCTCCAATACATATAGCATAAAGCATTATAATTTCATTGTAAAAATGTTACTTCTAAATACAAATGTTAATGGCCTTACATCTAGAGTATAACAGTATCTTATAATAGAAATAAGATTACTTTCATAGGTAATTGATTCACAGAATGGCTGATAACACAAAACATAATGAAAAGCCGGGAGATGGAATTAGATCTATGAGATCAACAACAGCTTTTCGAGTTGTGAATTTTGAGCTTTATGCCAAACCAGTAAGTTTATAGTCTAAAATCAAAAGTATAATAAAAGTATGAAATACATGCAATGTTTTCATCTTATTTTTTCAGAACATTGTTATAATGAGCATAGGTGCAACATGTTTTGGACTTGCTTTGGGTTATCTCGCTTATATGAGACATAAATACGAATCCATGGGTTATTACTCAGCCATTGATGCAGATGGAAAGGAGATTTTTGAAAAGAAAAAATCTAAGTGGGATTAAGTTTTTTTTTATAATTACAGAAGAGTCAAGAACTAGAATACAACCGTTATAATATGTTAAGTAGTTCATAAAAATAAATTACTGATAACAATGTTGTTTATTTTACTTAACATTTACGCCTTACGGAATAAAGAATTCTTTGTGTATAAAATAATCTTGACTAAAAGTATTGATCAATAAAGTTTTTCTTTACTTTTTTTTTGGCAACACTGCTGTTTGTTTTTTTACCTCATATCTGTATTTTATTGAACAGTAACTGCGATTTAGAAATTATCTGTAGTTCTGTTTTGTTTTTATGGTTTACTTTCCTGTCATAATTTTAGTTGAAGGGATACAACAAAATATGATAATTGTACACATAAATAATTTACTATTAAATTAAATTTGTCTTAATTGGCGATTGTTATTGTATTTAGTGTCTGATAGGAGGATTGATACGGCCTTAAATCTTTTAACATTTTAATTATGTTTTCTGCCCTTAAAAAGCTAACACGTAGCAATGATGATCGCTGCCCGGCACCAATGCCTATGTCATCTTCTCTCCAGAAGAAGTTTTCTAGAGGTGTCCATTATAATAGTACGTGTTTACGTTCTTGTTATACTGCGATTAAAGGCTGAACTACACAGATCACTTGATGTTCTTTATAACAGGCCATTCTCTTTTTAGTGAAAATCCTCATAAAAGGTGACAGGAATGTTGGTAAATCTTGTCTTTTACAACGACTTCAAGGAGGTTCATTTAAAGAAGAATACACACCAACTGATCAAATACAAGTGGCTCCAATACATTGGACATATAAGAATACAGATTTTATTGTAAAGGTAATCAATATTTTAAAATTTTTAAATATGTTTTTACTCTTCTACTACTTCTAATATGAGCATGAGTAACAACAAAGCGTTTGTCTTAAGGTTGAAGTGTGGGAAGTCGTTGATAAAGGACGTACGAAAAAGAAAGCGCCATTAGGTTTAAAACTAGAGAATCAGACTGCACCTACTCTCCCAGAAGAAGGGTATGAAACACCAGTATTGGATGCCACATTCCTGGATGTCTATAAAAATGCTAGTGGAGTTATTTTAATGCTTGATATAACAAAACCCTGGTAATTTGAAACAATTTTTTTATTAATGACAAATTTTGTGCCTTATTTCTCTATATATGGAAATATGTTTAAATCCAGCCTAAATACTTCAGAGTAATCATTATTATAGGAAAAAAAAATACATTTAATAAAAAGTTAAGAACTATACTTAGCTCAGTTACAATGGACAACCAGCATGGAAGCCTAATGTCCCATACAATTTATATATTTTTTTGATAATATGCATATTTTTTTATATTAACTCATGTTAAGCTTCTATTGAAGAACCCGTCTAGTATTATGTAATAAAAAATTGTAGGACCTTTGATTATGTGGTAAAGGAGCTCAGCAGGATTCCTGCTGATTTGCCAGTAATGCTACTTGGCAATCATTGTGACATGCAACACCATCGTCAAGTTCACTCCCATCACATTGAACAGGCATTGCATAATGCTAGGATGACAAGGTAATTAAGATGAAGTTAAAAAATAAAACATAGTGGGTTTGATCCTGTTCAGGGTCTAAAATGTTTTAATCAATTTAAAAAAATTTAAAATATGGCCGACTATAATTGGGTGGTAACTGTTAGAAATATCAAACTTTCATCACAAACCGCATAAAACATCACAATATAGACTGTTATTGATAGAAAATGTAGTATACAATTTTAAAAATAAATAGTGCAGGTCAAATTGTATTAGTTACATGTACATTTTTATAAAACATTTAACTAACGTCCGGGGAGTAGTAGAGGCCCCGGGTCCATTATAAAAAAAAAAAACACTTAACCGTTTAAAGCTTGAAATAAATTATTAGTGAACTTTAATATTTTTTACATGATTAATCTGTATAGTGCATACAGATTAAAAAACGGAAATAATTTGAAAAAATGTTCGACTCGGGCAACGGGTCTTCGGGGTTTAGAGGAACAGCACGGAAAACCGACGATGCCGATTCAAGTCCTGCCTGAAATTTTATTCAATTTATTTTCGATTTTTAATCAATATAATTTAATTTAACCACGGCCCGACGTTTAGACTTAAATTAAATTAAAAATAAGCTAACTAATATATTTTGAATTTTAAATTGTTCATTTTTTGTCTATTTAAATGCACTATTGGTGTACATTACAGACAGATTGGTGTAAATTACAGACAGACATTTATACAATAGCATGACATTTATAAAATAGACAACGTAATATTGTAGGACGGCGCCAATAAGATACGCCGAGGCTTCAATGAGAAATGGTTTTGGCCTCCGTTTCCTGCACAAGTTCCTAAGTGTGCCGTTCCTCAGGCTGCAGAAGACAAGTTTATTGGAGCAATTGCAACGAAACCAGAAGGACATTGAAGAAGTTGAAAAGGAATTGGATGATTTTCAGGTTCATATGTTTATTATTAAACAATATAAGAGCACCTTTCAGCCTAAAAAAAATTAAACATTTAACTGTGTAATTTCATCTTCAGTGATGTCTTAAGCTACAGTATTGTTGACATAAAGGTTAAGGTATATCAATGGGATGAAGAAATTGGAAGATGTTTGTGATGGACTCTATTAATAAGACTTCACCACAGCGGGTCATTGTGGACATCTCTTCATGTGATTGTTTGTTTATAAACAAAATAGATTTAATTTAAAGATTTGCCGTGAGACCGTTCGAGATAAATCGTTAATCGAGAACTAGAGTTAATTAATTAAAAATCGATTTCAAATCGCCGAATCCTATACGTCACCGTCGAATTTTTTCAACCTATTGATACATGCCGATAAAAAAATTCCAGTATATAATTGATTTTTAATTTATATAGAGCCATCATGTACAAGGACATGTGAAAAATATAACCGTTTTTTAGAGTCAATTAATCATTGAATTAAAAAACATTTTTACACAGACATTCATACATCTTTTAATCATACAGAAATCAGACGAATGCCACTATAACACATTTGTGGAGCGGCTCGCGAACAAACGTCGGCAAAGTACAGATGTGGAACCGAGGGTCAACAACGATCGTTCGCCGAGCATCGTTCTTGGCGCGGGCAAGCCTATTGTGCCACCAAATGTCAATCCCCTTGTGAGTATTATATAATACTTATTTCCCCTACTAAGTACTGGAATCATATCTTATTGATATTTACTCTTTTAATTCAGTTAGCACAATCGTTAAATCCGACGCCACCAAAACCAGTAAGTGCTGTAGAGGAAAAACCGAAGCAAACGTACTATGTGAGCCAAGAGTTGATCAATCCGAAATCCCATCCCACAGTCAGTATGGACACCACTCCATCTAGGATACCACAAGATAGGTGAGTTGTATAATTAAAGGATGTCAGTATAGCGATAATGGTAGTTGGTAACGGTGAAGTTACTAAATCTGGTTATGGACAAATTGATCAAAACTTGACTTTACAGTAGTACATTTTTAACTAAAACACTTTAAACGGTTTAAAATGCGAAATGTATTAGTTAAACTTATTAACAAATTATTTTAACTACAGTCCGCCTATGGTCACGGCGAGACTAAAGATGGAGATTGGAGGGTGTCTCTCTGTGATGTAAAAACAACTGATACGCTAGCGCCATCTGTTCCGTCGCAGTCGGTAATTGGTGAAACTGGCTAGATCCTTGCATACTAACAGTGTACTCCTTTTTAAAATAATTTATAAATAAATGTAATCAATACATTTTGCGTTTTATGACGTTAAAAATGTTTTATTTTAATGTTCCCAACTACTATAGTCGTCTTAAGCCACGTGCAGTGGGAGTTCGATGGTTTTGTCAGTAAGCTGACATTAATATGAACGCATAAGATTTTATTTAACCAAATTCTGTACTAAATATACTGATTAGGTTAAAATGCTTTTTGTTCCATCTTACAGTGGCCCTAGCACTTCATCAGCTAGCAACATAACGATTTCTAATTCTTCTGGGGCTCTTGATGAGTTTTACGCTGGAACTCTGGATAGTAGCTTCCTCGAAGATCTGGCTCCGTTGAGTGTTGGCCAAGAAGATCAGTATGATACCGAGAGGTAAGAGATAGCGATAATAAAGCATAAAATTGTAATTAATTGACTAAAACATTTGTTTTTAATAAATCAAAACTAAGGTTGTATTTTACGTAATAAAGTTTTTTTTTTGTAAATAATTGTGCCATTCGGCTATGGCAAATTTGAAAAGTAATACAATTTTTAATGTGTCCTGAAAAAAAGTATGTGATTTTAATCAATGATGTGTGTACTTATTCTTTAAACTATTTGTGAATACTGTCTGTATTTTACGTGAATAGAACACATTTAAATAAAACACTTAACGGTTTACAACTCGATATATATTAGTTAAGCTTATTTGAAAATTATTTAAACTATGCCCCGTTTTGAATCCTTTGCCAGCTCCCTGTGACTATGGCTGCTGCAAATAAGAAAAATATATTTCGCGTTATAAACCGTTAAAGTGTTTTGTTTGAATAACTTTTTGTGTTTTATGTTTTTAATAGCAAATATTAATAATTTTTACAGCGATGACGAAAACGCAATTAACCCTAAAGTTACGATAGACCAAGATGACCTAGACTTAGACAACGCTTCGCCTAAGACCAACGTCAGAGACTACACACATTCCGATCAAGATGAAGATGCTTTAAAACAAGCCACTATTAGTAAGCAAGCGGAAAAAAGTTTAAGGAGTATGTTTGGAAACCAAACTATATCTGGCGGAGGCGATAGCGTGCAAAATGTATTTGGTAGTGAATTTAAAACTGACCAAGAAGACGACAATTTGAGGGGAATGTTTGTGAATGAAGCTACTATAAGTAATAGTAGCAATGAAGATAGCTTTATGAATGGACCGGATGTACTGAATGACTTTCCGTTGTGGGCTGGAGACTCTAGTGCTCGTCGGTCACCAGAAGGTAGTTTTATATTATTGTTTATGAAACGTCGGGCCGTAGTTAAAACAATTTCCAAATAAGTTTAACTAATATCGCGTTTTAAATCATTAAAGTGTTTTATTTTAACATACATGGCTTAAAAATACTTAATACTAAACATAAGCCAAAAAAAAATATGTATGATAAAGGGCATAAAAAAGAAATTAAGTTTTTTTTAACAACTATACATATATAATAATTTGAGGGATAACATTTTCAGCTTCTTGTATTTAGATTTTACATTGTTTATTTATTGTTTGTATGATATATTACATCCATATACATTTTATCCTCGTATATGTAAATAATATAATCATATATTCTCCTCTTTTGAAATTAAATGTTTATTCACCATATTACAATCTCAAAAACTTTTGTATGACTAAGTACATAATTGTCTTTGTACGCAGGTGGAGAGGACCCTGATGTCGCGAAGGAACCGGATCAAAAGGTATTCCTTATTCTTCTTTTCAAGTTCAGTAAATTAGTTCAAAGCGTTCTGTCATTTAGAATGTTACATAAAGTACATTGTTCATGTGTATGTTATCTATATGGGGAAATGGGTGAAATGTTTAGCAGATACTTCGGACTGATCACCCGGCTTTCTATCGGTGTCCCCAAAAAAAAGAATGATACAACATTACCGAAAATTAATAATTTTTCTTAAAATTATGGCATTATATTAGTATCGGATTTACATCGAATCAACATTTACCAAATTTTAGTAGTGTGTTAGGTAACTATTGTATAGTGGAGGGGTCAACAAATTGCAAATATTAATATTAGCAAAAAAAGACAAGTATAGGCGACCGTTATATATCAATTAGATATTAAATTAAATTTACAGGAAAAGAAACACAAAAAGAAGAAATCGAAAGACAAGGAGAAAGGTGAGAACAGCGATCGCGTTGAGCGCAAAGACAAAAAGCACAAGCGCAAAAAATCTAAATCTGACAAACCGTCGAACCCACAACAGGATCTGCTCGCGCCAACGTACACTGCTGACTTTAACTATGAAGAGTACGACAGCATTTAGCACGAGTTTCCCCTCGACTAGTAGGTATAAAATATAACTACCTCCTTTTTGAAAATTCAGGAATTAAACACCACTTATCGACGCCTTATTACAATTGTATCTAGAATGGCGTTTAGGTATCTGTTATAATAAAATTCAATATAGTATAGTCATAATAAATTATAAGCCACTATTGGGCGCTATACTATAACCTAAGTACTTGAAAATATTTGTCTTGTCATAGTTTTTAAAAACCACGCCCCAAAACACTTTGTGGCAATTTAAATTGAAAACCATTCAAGTTTAATGTTTGCATTTAGGAATTTATTCAAGTTATATTTTATATTTTCACTAATATAATTGTATCGGTTTGCTGATAATCCAAGTTATTATAGAGATTTAAGGAAATGTCTTCAGCAAAAAATTCGGATCTGATAGTATAGTCACAAATATCTTATATACATTGTATGTTATACCTAATAAATTTAATGTTATTTTAGTTTTAATACTTATAAGGAAACATTCCATATATATTTTGAATGTCGATTAAGGAAATTTCTATATCATATATTTATTATAAATTTCGTTATTCTAGTCATTTTATTTCAGGCCTATGCATATGGCATATGCCTTTAAACGTTTAGACAACAAACATTGCAAGATGTTGTTTACCAAACGTATCGTAAACGTCGTAAGCGCAGTTTACGTGAGTGTTTTTGAAATTATCTATATTATAATCGAATTTATGAATAAGGTTTGTTTCACTGAATTTATATCCTGCTGCTGAGCACAGGTGTCCTCATTATTTAAACGGGAATCATTCTTTCATACATAGTTTTTTGGTTTCTTGATATTATTTTTCAAACAAACAAACTCTTCATCTTTATATTAGTATAGATTTAAGAGCTTTGACCCACTGTGCGGCTTCAGTGCGGGTTAGCTAGGTTTAGTAACAATCGTCAAATTAATAATGTCACTAGTCGGAATCGATGGTTTAACGCACTCTCCGAGTGCCCACCTCCTGCTTCCAAACATTAGGTTGATACTAGACATTGTCTTACAATATTACAAAACTCCTCCGAGTCGAATATAGGGCCTTGTGAGCAGTTCTTTGTTAATCACTCGACCGACAGGACATAGGTTTTTACCTATATGAGTCTCCAGTAGACAAAAAATTGCAATGTAATAAATTAAGTATTGTTAATTTTTTAAATTTGTACGCCAATTATAAATTAGTGTATATGTCATAATAATTAATAATTATGCTTGTTACACATTTTAATGAATAAAGATTTTATCATTATTTCTTTTTCATTTCTAAATCTTACTGACCTCGATTGATCTATAAAACCGAAACACGCTGCCTATATTTAAATAAAACACTTCAACGGTTTAAAACGCGATATATTAGTTAAACTTATTTGAAGATGATTTTTAACCTCGGCCCGACGTTCCGAATGCTTTGCAGCAGCCGTGGTCACGGGGAGACACCGTTTACGTTTTAAACCGTTAGTGTTTTATTTAAATGTGTGCTACTCGCGCAAACTATAGACAGTGCACTGGCTATATTTAAAGGTAGGGTAAGTTTGAGTACGATAAAAAATAATTACAACCACATCGATATTTTATTGGTTAGATTATAAAAATTGGACCACTCGTGAGAAGTCCGCACGGTAGTTTTAACAATATTACAAACAAAAATCTCTACATAACAGAACTTATTGGTATTAGTCAACTTTTATACAAACTATAATACACAATTAATTTTAACGTTAATTTATATTTACCTAATTTAATATTTTATACATTCTATGTATAGTAGATAATAATTCTTCATTTTGTAATAAGTTAATAAAACTATATAATATTCTCTCCAGTTTAAAGATTAGGCATTTTAAGGCTAATTATGCAGGTATTGGAAACAATATTTGGTGAAAACATGGGTTTATACTACAACGTAAAGCGTTCAATGTGATTCGTAAAGCACTTTGTACTTGGCTTTATTTTGTGAATTGAAATGACGAAATCTAACGAGCTAACCGTAGCGTCTCAACTTAAAAACTAAAACATTATAAAAAAGCGTTCACAATCATTTGGTTGATATACTAGATGTTCTTTTGTAAAAAGTATAAAAATTAAAGTAGGTAAAAAAATATAAAATGCTGTCAAATGTGCATAATGCGATTAAAATCTTCGACTACCAATTGTATGACGGTAGTTGTACATTTTACAATCGACTCGCAAGGCATTGCTTAAGAATGAATCTACAACTTTAATGTAGCAAGGCTTTATATTTTTGGAATAAGCTCTTCAAAAGACCAAACTTGATAGCTGCCCATTTTCGCAAGAAAAGCATGGGGTAAACTGACTTTTGTAACTTATTATCAACATTATAGCCATTGCAATAGTACGTACGGAATGTAAGTTCTGAATTATATGGTTTATAACAAAAACAAACATGTAAAAAGCGATGCCTTTTATAAGGCGCTGTTTTAGTCCACGTCATGTAAAAAGAACTAGCTTTGAAGATGAGCAGTACTGGATTTACGGGTTTGATGGTTTGAAGCTCGGGGCGTAAGTGCTGATGCCTTACTACTTCTTTTCTAAACATATTCCAGGAAGTATTAATTATTTAAGTTTGTTAGTAATCAATCATATTATAAAAGTTTTACATATGTGTAAAATAAAATAAAACAATAGTTTCTCCTTTCGTGCACGAGTGTACATATACAAAATACCCTCTACTTCAGTCAGGCGTCCCTTTTACATGACGTATATCAATAGTACAAAAATGCTGTTTGCTAAAAACAATAGAACAAAAACACACAAAGAACAGCGTTTCCACTTCGCCCCGGGCCAAAGACAAGATTCAATACTTAAATTATTCTTCTATGATTAAGCTTTCAACAAAGATTGCATTTTTGTGATATTTCGTAACAAACAACGGTCGCTTCGCAAGGATTGCGTTAAATTTATTATTGCTTCACAACACACTATCAATATATCACAATGAACAATCAATAGCTTCAATTAATGATATCCTTTTAACGCGCCTTGCTCCCCTCTGTCACTTGACTCGCATAATTGATAGCAACATCCTCCGTCCACAGTCAAAAAGTCGCCGATTTCCGTTTTAAGCTTTCGCTTAGCAGGATCGCGCCTTTTCAGAAGTAAACAGACATATACAACAACAAATCTAACTTCTGACTCGACTCCATTTCGCTAAAGTATAATAAATAATTTGCCATTTATAAACTATATATATTATGAATCGGCCGCAAAATAATTTTAATGCATTACTAGCTTTGTTACTCTTAAATTTATTTAGATAGTAATCTTATTTACAAGTCTAGCATTAATTGTTCGTACTTATCGTTTACATCACTCCGCATGCTCGAATTCACTACGTGCGTACGCGCACGAGCCGTCAGTCCACGCGGGACTCCGTGAAGTTGTCGTCCAAGTAATTGGGCAACATGTGCGACTGGTGGCCTAGGTGCGAACTCAACGAGTCGAAGGTAACGTTCTGTTCCACAAAGGTATTATGCACTTGGTGGGGCGGTTCTATGCGAAACTGCCCCAACGTCCAGGGATCACTGACTTCGTTCGACCGGCGAGTGCCCGTGTCGAAGTGCGACACGTCGTTCCACTGAGGCTGCGGCGTGTTCAACATCGAAGGAATGTTATCTACTCGCTGCTGAATACCCCCCTCCCGCCCGAACCCGCTCGCGCCCCAGACTAGGGATTCGATGCTGGACGTGTTATTAATTTGGTTGTATCTATCTAACCCCCAAGAGGTGGGGATATCTGGCGTTGGGATGTTCTGCATCACATCTGCCGCTTTCGTTACCGGCCTGTTATACATCTCCTGACTCCTATTCAGATGCGGACGAGTTCCGTGGGCACCGTCGGGACTCGGCAAGTGACAATCCGATCTCATCATCGGACTGTACTTTCCTGCGACGCCAGGACTCTTTTTGTTAGTATAACTGTTATCGATGCTAGGCCGAGGGGAATAAGGACTGTGATGTTGCGGCCTAGACATCGGACTGTATTGACCAGGGGTTTTGTTTGGATTACTTCTAAGATTATCACTTTTGACTCCTAAACCGGGGTCGGGACTCGTATGAGTGGATGGGTGGGGGGAGAAGGGCGCGTGATGTTTAGGAAGAGGACTATAGTTTCCCGTATTCCATGCGTTGGATTTTTGAAGATCGGTCTTTACAATTTGACTTGTATCTGGACTAGGCTGGGCGGAATATGGACTCGGTTGCGAAGAATATGGACTAGGTTGGGTAGAATAGGGGCTCGGTTGTGTCGAATAAGGGCTGGGTTGGGCCGGGCTCGGTTGAGCTGAATATGGGCTATGTTGTGATGAGAATTGATTATCTTGTCTAGGCATGGGACTGTAACTACCATAGTTCCAGTTATTAGGATTCTTAATATCCGGTTTAACACCTAAGGTCTCTGGACTACGTTTGTTTTCTAAGGAAGTGGTGGGACTGCACTGTTCTACGACTTTCGTCTGCTTAATTTTGTTATGGCTTTCTAACCTGTTGAGAGGACTCGCCTCAGACTTATGATTTGGAGTTCTTTTAAAGGGGCCTAAGCTCCATGAGGTATTACTTTTAGCCAATTCTGATTGGACATCGGGACTGCTCGGGACTTGGCTATCTGGTTTTTGGACGGGGCTGAAATGCGGACTCCCTAGATCCACCTTCATCGGATCTGATCTGGGAGTAGAAGAAGAATCCGGTCTAGATTGTGCGAGCGGGCTAGACAGTTTAGACATCGATGAGGAATATTTTATTTCATTTTGAGATATTACTGCATCGGGAACTTCTTTGGGCGATGGAGTGAGCTTCGTGTTAGGTGGGGATTTTATTTGCGACTCTAGCGAGGAATGTTTTTCGATTGCCGCCGAGGTATCAGATACGCTTCTCGGTTCTTGGAAAACACTCGGGGAAGACTTATCCGGAGACTTAATATCTAAATTAGCACTTGAACTTTCGGAAACACTATCAACACTAGTCTTCTCCTTTTCCGTTTTTGTAGTTTCCCCCTTCGACGTTTTCTTTGACTTTTTATTTTCACACGTTTTGTCGTCGGCTTTTTTCGCCTTTTCAGTGTCAAAGCTTAATTTTAAATCGTCTAGTTCTTTGCCAGTGTACAAACGCTTCATACCTCGAGGTAAAGCTCGACACAAGCTTAAATTTAAAGATTCTAATTGAGCGCACTTTAATAAAACTTTCTTGACAGGCTCTAGCGACACGGAAGATCCGAAGAGGTTTAAAATTCTGAAAATAATTATAAGCGTTGAGTAAATTAAATTCTTAGTTAATAAAGAAATGTTTATTAAAGATGTACAGGACCTAAAGAAGGTGGGAAAGTATTAAGATAACGACTACATTCAAATAGGCCGGAATTAATATAGTAGGTATTAAATTTATGAAATAACTATCTGTTGATATATGAAATTGTGTTTTAGAACAATATATTTTTTCTGTTTATTGATATTTCTTGTTACGCACTGTTCTCTTTTTTCACTATATTTTAATGGCAAGATAGTAGTTTACTTTTGTATTGTTGTTATGAATAATAAAGTTGTGTAGCAACATTTAAAAACTGTAGTTAATTTCAAATCAAGCTCAAAACATTGATCAGATCATCTACTCACTTTAAAGGAAGAAAGTATTTAGTAGAGTTAAGTAATATTTATTTTGTTGGGATATTAGATGGCTGTTTCAACAAAATTTCTCACAAATTCTTAATTGAATACTCACTTAAGTCTACTGCTAGAGGCGTCTGCAAGCGCTGAGACCGCATCATCGAGCGGCTTCGTAGCGGAAGCCCATGACAGGTCCAACTCAATGAGACTATGTGACCACTTTTCACAGATCAGCTCGAGGCAGGCTGTACTTTTACGGGTCACAGCGCATCCTGTCGAAGATAAACATTTTAATACTAAAGTATGCACACCAGCAAGCACAACCAAGTTTTATGAAACGAATTGCAAACGTCTTGCAGCGTTTAGACGCGTTATTGTAATGTATTCTTGTTTATAGAGGAGGACAGACAAACAAAGTGTTTACAAGAATAGGTGAAACACCCCAGCCATATAATATTTTAGTAATATGTGGTGTCGACCTATTTTGGCTTTTTCGAAAAAATAACATTTCCCATTTACCTCCCAGAAAGAGATGCTGCAGGTCCCAAGCTGGCACGCGGACCAGGCCCGAGTCTGTGACTCGATGTAGACCACGCAAATCGAGGAGACGCAGCCGCGTCGCGCCCCTGACAAGTCTCGAGAGCGCCTCTTCACCGAACCGGTATTCGCCCACTTGAGTCCGCTCGGCCGCCGCCCCACCAGCTATCGACAGTTCTTCCAGCATACTCCAACCGCCGGCTTCCATCTGTATGTTTTAGACAACAATATCAGATGAAGTAAGTGAAAGTTTTCAAGGTAATTAAGCCTTTTTGATCACGATGAGACGTGAGAAGACATACTTATTGATATAATAAAATTATTAATGTATCCGTTTTGACAGTACTTTATACTATTGTATAAGGCGTGACGAATGTTTCTGCACAATAAATATAAGAGTTTGAAGGTGAAGTAAATAGTACTTGTCCCTCTTTGTATTAAACATGTTTCGTGACATTAACATTTATATAACCAAGTTAAAAAGAAAATTAAGGGCCTATCAAAGCTTAATTATGCTTTTTTACTTATTTTAGTAGTGTTATAAATCATAAGTACTATATCATGAATACGAAGAAAAGCCATACCTGCTGCGCGGTAGTGGCGTTAGCCAGAACAAGTTGTGCGTTTGCAGCCCTGAACACTCGCAACTTCGGGCAACCTTTCTGCAGAGCTTCCAGAGGTACAGCGGCTGGGTGAGACGTAGCTAAAGCCCCGGATATATCTAACACTTCGAGATTTGGACAATGGCTCTGAAAGTATATTGTTTAGTTCATCACTATCATGAGTCCAATAATAACTCCTAAATCTGATTTATAGAATACCCTACAATGGCCAGATGTTAGTTAGCAGATGACATATGGTGTCTAGTGGTTAACATAGGACAGATCAGGGATTGCATCACATTTTTATCGGTTCGCTGATCTAATGGTAGCAATGTGTGGCTAATATTCAGCGGGTCATGGGTCCGATATCCACCGGGTCCAATATGTTTCTGATTAATTTATAACTCTTCTAAAACATTTTGGACTTGATATTAAATGGGTGGTAGGAATATCGCAATTCCGTCCGGACCACCGTCACAAATAAAAAACCGTGAAGTTTAATCTGGATTTTGGTTTATCTAGATTTCAGAATATCTATCTAGATATTCTATTCTAGATGGTCCGGTAAGTGACATACTGTAATTCTTCTAATCTACTTACAAAAAAATCTCGTTTTTTTTTGTTGAGTACCTCGGTTAGACGTATGGTGGTCAACACTGATTGCTCTTATAGACAAGAAAATGATCACATCATCTGTATTGAGCCTAAATGAAACTATTATTTATCCCCGGTATTTGACCCAGATGCCTTTAACTATTGAGCCATGTAGGCGTTCAGGACATAGTCATGGAGGATCTTTTCTTACCGCTACCGATGACAGTATTTGCTGTAGCGCTGAGAATTTATTATTTGCGAGTATTAAATGTGTAAGCCGCTCTCCGAAGTTCTCTAGCACTCGTCCGATTGAAGCCGCCGCCAAACAGGTGCTTGAAGTTCCGGTTTCTGACTGCAAATTATAGGTTTATTATAGGTTAAACATTTAATAAATAACTTTATTTCATGCCAGTCAAAAACCATATAATGTTATGAATAAATGCGAGTTGTAGTCTCCAGTAAAAGTTTATGAAATTATTAGATAATTAAAAAAAAAAGTTTTTTATTTATTTCATGTAAAAGTCTCCTAAAAGTGTCTGTTTTAATATGCAGCACTGTTCGGTTGTTATAGTGTCAATAAGAATACATAATTTGTACAAAATATTTACACTACCTAATAATGTACCTATGGTAACCAAAAAAAAAAAGGTGGGAATTGACATCAAAATGTACTATGTGTTTGAAGATCAAATTGGCATCATCACTATACAACAAAAGCTGCATGGTACCTCCACATACATCTATTTTATTATCTATGTTATTGCACTTTTGTGTGTGTGGTATAAATAATTTAATTTTAAATCTCACCAGTGAAGACAAATCGATCCTCTGCAATTTGGGAAGTCCTTGGAAGAGTTCATAGAGTTGTTCAGGTGTGATCCGACTCCAACCAGCCACACTCAGCTCTATGAGGTCAGGGCAACACTCCACTATGCATGATAGCACCCATGATATGTTATTTACATCCCATTGAGCTGAAAATCAGAAGTTAAAAATTAACAAAGTCAAAGTCAAAAATAAGTTATTCATGTAGGTAGCTAGGTACGCTTTTAAAAGTCACAAAGTAAAGAATCTAACTTTACATTTACTAAAAGTTCTCAAAAAGAGAAGAGAGAATAGAACGAACGAGAAGAACTGGCAATAAACTAGCCGCCACTCCTTTTATCGCCAAGTTTCATTTAACATTCTTCATGACTTTAAGTGCACTACATAGTGTTAGAGCAGGTTCCTCCACATCCCAAACATTTTATCATTTAAACATTGATTAACGTGATAATAACGTTTTCCAAGCATTTTTTTTTTAATAACACACATTATTTTAATATCTAAATCGGTCAACAAAGCATTGTTTAGATGTTATGTGGTTGGGGTATATCACAAACAATCAAGCCTATGCTTATCTGTCCTGCTCTATCAAAAGAGAAAAATCATATTTTCAATTACTGGTTTGATAAAACTAACTGTTTTGCATGACAATTCTATAAATACAGAATAGATTAATAATTTTCACATCATGTTTTTATGGTAAATAAATATATCAATCCAACATAATGCTTTTCCAAAACGAATATATAGCTCTTTAACGTTTTACATTGTAGTACTATTATAGATAGTTAAGATTAAAAAATACTCACCAAGATTCAAATTCTGACACAGCGACAGCCGATTCTCGAGCAGCCAAACGAGTTTGTAATCAATTTTGCATTTATCAACTGTATATTGTGCAAGATCGACATTTTTCCAAAATTCAGGTTTACAACTTACATTATACCATAGTTTACACACTTTACCCAAGCTGAAAAAAATAGGAACGAGTTTTTAATCAATTTAAAAACATTTTCACTACATATTATAGTCAAAAATCCTCCCCATGTCGTTTTTTTCATGTAAAATCTATTTTTATTTTACTACAGTCATTCTTACATTGATAAAATATGATTTCTATGAATAAATGATTGCGAATTTATTTATCTCACCTTACTATAGTCGGTAATGATCCCTGTTGTACTACTGCATTATTAAAAATTTTCGTGAGAACCTCCACGGGCAGAGAGGCCCAAGGACTTTGTGGACCAATATCTCTCAATTCGGCATGACTATCTCTATTTTTTTCAGTCTTTTGAGCTGAAAAAAAATTTAACAACAGTCAGTATCTCTGATAACTTGGTCTCCAATAGTTAAGCAAATTACTAAGATATTTTCTACCCAAATAAGGCTTTTATAGATACAAGTAAGTAGGCCTTTTTAAACAATATTGTAAAACAGTCTTTCAAAATAATTGCCGTTATTTAAATGAAACATAAGATGGTTATTAATTGATTCCATATTATCTACCTTTGCATAATATCATTGACCTAAATTGATTATTTATTTTTATTTGCATGCCTTGCTTGTATGTTACATAGGCAACTTCTTATTTTATTTTCGTTGAGGAAATACTGGTGATTGTCTTATTTCTCATGTAGTTGTCTACAGATACCTGATCTTGCTTTAGGGAAGGGCATAACTCTTTTGAATTATATTACATTCCCTATAGTTTATTTGATTTCGGAAAGCATATCTTGAAGTAGTTCCAAAACATTGGCAGGCCTGCTGGAGATAACCTCGAATGATGAAGTAGAAGGGACCGTGTGGCTAGACACCAATGTGTTAGAACAGGTTGGCACTACATTTGAGCCCACAGTACATTTCACCTTAAAGGTAGTCAACTATCAGACAATATAGTATACCATCATTTGGATATATTTAGGAGGGGTGGTCACAACTTTTAAGATTTATGAAGATGCGAGAAGGAGGAGTGAATCCGAGAAAACTATTATTATGTCTATATATATTAGAAATGAGCTTAAATGGACTATACCTTTACTTTTCGAGTTACTAGTGCTTTTACGTGGCGCTCGTTGTCGAGTCTGTTTAGTCTTCGACGCGGCTACACTCATAGCTGCCGCAGTATCGCCCCTTGAGGGATCATACTCCTCACCAGAGCTTTCGCAAGGCACAGGAGATGCCGCTCGTTTTTTCTTTGACTTTCTCTGGCCTATGTTCGCTATTAGTATTGGTGCCGGTTCAACCTACAAAACAATTGATATTAGAAAACATTTAAATTTTGCATAAAGAATCCAAAATTTGATTCTAGTAATTTTTAGACACTTTGCATTTCAAATTATTGTAAAGTATTAAAGAAAAAAGAACCATACAAAACATTTTGCAATAAAATTGAAAAGGGCACCATAGAATTTGATGTACCGATAGAGAGAGCTTATTGTGTTTTTTAATGTATTAATATTAATTATTTTACTATGTATAAAGTAAATTATTTTATATTTATTTAAGGATTAAAAGGTCTAATGCCATTTGTAATGTAAGAACATGATTATACAGTTTTAACATGCAAAGCAAAGAAATTGACCTGTGACTTAAAGTGAAAGTAAATCAGTTGCATCACTGAACCAATCTCTATAGACTGTGTTGGAGGTACCAAAATAATGAATTATAAAATTGGGAAACTGTACACTTAAATATTAAAAAAAAAGATATTATGTGCTTTTTAATCTTTAGAATAATAAGATTAGAAAGTAACACTAATTTATATTCTTTCTTTAAACAGTAGATTTGTTTGTGTATATAAATATACAACTAAAACAAGGAACACCATATTTATTTATTTAAGATTCAAGTGGTTTCATCAGACAAGCATTGAAAGACAAATAAATATATAAAATATGGCCTAACGTCAAAATAGGCAGTTGAGCCTGAAACAACTGTATGCTACTCAAATCTTATAATTTTTTAATAACACATTTAAAAGAGTTTAGAGACAATGCAAAATAAATTAATAATATGTTGCATTATTTTCCAGTTCATTTTACTTACTAGTAGTAGTTTTTGTATTAATTTGACCTTATGTGTACTTACTATTCTTACAGTCTCCTGAACACTTGTTTTCCTTATTTTAATCTTTAGGTTAGTACTGGTATCCACAATCTGACTCCGATAAGTGGGTGTACCTTCAGACTTCTTAGACTTCTTTTTGCTACGTGAACTACACAGCCCTAACATTGACCTCGGTTTACCACTACAGGGAGTCACTATATGAGTCCTTTGCTCCTTTGAAGAGTCTTTTGTTTTATTCTTTTTTGCAGATAATTGACTAAGTTCATGACTGTACGGTTTTCCACTTTGTCGCGGCACCAATTTCAACTTAACACTTTTCTGTAGCACTTCATCATCCGAACTTTCACTTTCCCCAGCAAAGTCTACCTCTTCTTCCTGTTGACACTCACTACTACTAACTAAATTCAGGTTTTTGCCTCCCTTAATTTTTGAGATTATGCTATTACTCTTATGTGTCCTACTACGTGATTCACGAGAACGCTTTTTCCTTTTCCTTTCAGATGGTAAGTATCCATTCAGAGTTGATTGGTCTGAATCACGCCTTGAACGCTGTTTGTGTTTTTTGTGACGAGATCGGGGGACAGCTGGTATCGCGCCATTCACAACCTGTATTCTTTGATTTGCTATCTCATCTATGCTCTGTTCGAAGTCAGTTTCGAGCTTAACACAGGAATAATCTTCGTTCTGCTCTTGCTGGCCTTCGGAATCGGAGTCGCTAGATGTTTTGGGGGATGAGGCATCTGGAAAAAGGTCCTTGCGGACTGAGAGTCTCATGGCAGGCTCACCAGCATCGTAGCCGCCGTTGTGAGGACTCGAGTGGTCCGACATACCGCCCGCCTCCCTTCTCCGTTGTGTACCACTTCTATAAATTTCTTACCGTCACCTGCCTATCGTGAGGTAAACAATCAGTTTGACACATCACATTTTCACTTTTGATACTGCAGCACTTATTGTTATTTGATAATCTCGCTATCTTTGATTGTGGATAATCGCGTTTTTTGACATCATTGCTTTTCTCAATTGGCACTTCTGGATACAATCCAAAGCATCTTTTTTTCTTCACGTATTCGCATTTTAGGTCATCCATGTTCATGTAACGTTGTGATTGCGAAAAACAAAGTATAGATCATTTTTGCAGACACGAACACTGTTATCTTTAATAAGGTAAAGAAGATTACGCAGGAATTGAGAATTAGTGCTGATAATAAAATATTTTAATCGTCTACAAGTTGATGAAAACTGTTGACCTTGTTCTATGCTTATTAGGTTTCAAATTTTAGTCAACAGATGCAGACATTTGTCACAATTCACAAAGGTTGTTCTTGAGTTTTTCTCTGTGTCTGTGTTGAGATGTGTTGCCATTTCTTGACTTTTAAAGTAACACAAGGACGTTAAAAATACCACGACGATAATTGCATGAAAACATAATACTTACTATAAGCCAATAAATTTAAATAAGTAAAAAAAATCACTTTTATATATAATGATGAAACTGTTTATACTATAAATGAATATTTTAAAATCAATAGTAATTTAGTTTCCTGACAGATCTAGAAACTACACAAAGCTGTACAAGTTAGGGCTAATGGCAACATATGACAACAATCAAGTAATCTGAGGTATAATCTTTGAAAAGACGTGTATCTATTTCAATTATTTATTATGACAATTTATGATTTGTTACTAGCTTAACCCTCAGTTTCGGTTTGAAAGTTGTATATAGTTTTTTCTGACGTCAAATTTATTGAATATAATGAAATCTTATTAAATAAACCAATTTCGATGATTTAAACGCGATAATTTTCAGGAAATACCGGAGGACTAAATCATAGTAAACATACTATTTTTCACACTTTTATTGAAAACGAATTACCCTTAAGAAGTTGAATCTTTCTTTAATTATTATTTATATAAGCAGGTCATAAGTAAAATGAAAGCTCTACTGAAATCATGCAGAAGATTTTATTATTTTTTAAACAGTGAAGTTGTTTGTAATGCGTATATTTTAAATATTTATAGAAGCGGACGTTTTTACAAGGTAACAACAATTTAAATAAATACAAATTAATTATGATGTCAATTGTCAAATTTCAGGATAAAAATGAAATCTCAGATAATAATATTTTTATGGCCATTGTGCAAAATAATTCTGATTAATTTGCAATATAATAATAAATAACCATAGTTATTTTAATATGATATTTAGCGTGATGGACATTCCAATACTACTACAGATATTAGATGATGATAGTCGAAAGCTTAAGTACATTATGTATATAAGAGAGTATATTTTTCTTTTTGATAATACATTGGGGTGTGAGTATTTTTCCTATTTATGGGAAAATTATTATTTTATAACCTTTGGAATATAATCACTAATATGACGCAATAGAATTTAAACAGTTAACAGGCACTGATCTTGTAGCAAATATTTTTATGCTATGTTCAAGAATGTATTTAAGTAAATAGATGGCGCTATTAACAACTGGTAAAAGTCAAATAAAATCTAAATGTCAATATCAAACGTCAAATAAGAAATCAATTTTTTGGAAAATAAAATGCAATAATGGTTTGTTTTGAAATGAATTGTAAGACAATTAAAGCCAAATAATCGAACGACACTAAAAAGATCAATGTAACTGCCTCATTTTTTATATATTGGAAATAATTATATCACTTAAAAGCTGGTGCTTATTTTATAATATTAAATACATTCTGTGTTTGTGATCATGACGTGTTTCAAATGTACTGTGATAATGATAACCTACACGCTCTTTCTGTAGCTAATATATAAAGTGGTGAGTCATATTTAAATTTATTTGCTGTATTGATGATCTCATGTTATCGTATTGTAGGTAGTACCTATAATCACAAAGTAGTGGTTTAGAAGTCGTTATGTCATGGTGGATGGATCTTGTTGATTTTGTTGCTATTTATTCTTGTAAAATGGGATGTTCAAATATTTTTTATCGTACTTAAATAAATCTTTATGTCAAAAGAAATAAAAAAAAGTAGAATGCAATAATAATTTTATAAAATGATAATTGTAATATAAAAACAATACCAAATTTCCAGACTTGTAACTAACATTTCGTTTGTTACTTTTCTGGTTAAACATATTGGAGAGAAAATACTTTTTGTTATAAACCAATCATAATGTGTGATAAAACTCATTAAGGCTTGTTGCATTGTTCCAAATCATACAAAAAATAAGTTATATTTAATACACAAGAATAACTGGCAAAACAATATCTTTAAGGATAATATTGGAATATAATAATTTAATAATATAATAAACAAATGAAATTAGCTACAGGATAAATTAACTATGCATGAAATGTTTTCTATAGATGTCTGTCCTAAAGTATATTCTTAAAAGGTATATTTTACAAGTTTCCTGGACTTGCAGGGTTATTTTTGGCATATTATCTTATAGATCTTATTATCTTAGTAAACAATGGATAACTTGAAATATTACATATGCCATTCTATTTTTGGAATGACATATGTAATAGGATGCAAAGTTACTGTCACTTTATATAATTTAATAAATAATCTTTATTTATTTTTAAGTTCCTTTTAGTTTCCTTTCATATTCTGTAATCCCAATTTTTGTTCTTATTAAAATCAGTTTAAATAATCAGTATAAATCTTGTTCCTAGTAGTCTTATCTAATCTGATCAAAATAAGGGGATGGACTTATCTTTAAATGCACATCTTGTCTTAAATTTAAATTAAATAAACATGCTTAATTCTCCGTCATAGATTCAATATAAGTAAAGTAACTCAAAAATCCATTCATTTAAATAAAAGTTGATATAACTATGATAATTCAATAAAACTATACTCAATACTAATATATAAAACTAAAGAGTTTATTTGTTTGTTTGAACATGCTAATCTCAGGAACTACTGGTTCAAAAAAATATTTTTGTGTCGGTTAGAGCATATATTGAGGAAGGCAACAGGCATATAACGCAATGCGACAAATGGAAGCGAAGAAACTGCGAAAAATGTAAAAAATAACGGTGAATTTTATTTATCTTTGTGGATTTCTGTTGCGTACGCTACGAGAAGGGTTCAAGATACCCAAAAATTATGTAGGAAATAATGATTCCTCTTTAAATAATCTAAAAAAATGACAGTGTATGTCTTCCTTTTAAGATTAATTTGCTAGAACGACGGAACGCGGACGACGTCGTGGGTAACAGTTATAATTTTTAAAGACGGACAAGGTTTGCCAAAACAAATTTTGAGGCCTAAAATAACTATTCTACGCAGACGAAGTCGCTGACACAGCTAGTTTTATTATATTTGAACAAAGGTTAAAACAATTTCTTATATAGTCTGTATGCTTTCAGATCTGATCGCTGATGTCAATAATTGCGCGCGTGTTGCAGCAGAGAGCTGTGTATAAGGTGCAGTGAGATTGGTAGAGTAGCGTGGGTCCAGGTATCGGGTTATGATGTGGCATGCGAGTGTGGTAGTAGAGGTGTGGTGGTGGTGATAAGTCAGTGATGGTGCTCGTGCTGAGGCATGGTGGACGCGGCAGCGGAGTACCCGCGCCGTGCCGCCGACGCCGTGCGCTACGATGTTGTGACGGGCATCACAAAGTGAGTTTTCTTAACCCTTTAGGGGGGCTATTCTCAGCTTAGATATTTAAGAATAACGCCGACCGGAAACATATGTAAATTTTACCCTTACTTTCAAAGATAACGGAACAATATATTTGTAATGGTGTTATTTAAGGTGAAACATTTATTATTATTTTATTAAAAAAAAAACACGAATGAAATTTTGATAAGCCGAGCAAAGTGACAACCTAATCGATATATTCGGCGATATGCGCTTGGTTGAGAATTGCCTCCCATGCATTGCGACTTATGGTGGGGTAAATTTTGTATGTTTTTAATACTTACACATATATCTTAGTTAAATTAATAAAATTACACAACACCTGAAACTTCTACCGAATAGGTACATTTAATTTTGATTTTTTATTCATGTTATATATTATTAACTTATATTCGTATTTATAGTTCTTAAAATGTTACGAACCATACTTCGTAAATCTTATTTGCTATCTGTAAATTGTCGATGGAACGCCATAGTTAAAAATTTAAAAATTACATGGAGAACTATATAAAATATTTTTTTTTATCACAAAGAAAGACAAATATATATTAACATTTAAACATTTAAATAAGATCCACTGTGGACTTTCCTTGGCTTGGGGCATCAAAAGACAGAAACAGAAATTACACTTTACGACTTTTTTATGTGTTAGATGGTGGTTATGACCGAATGATGGGAATCGAACTTAGGACCCGTTGATAAATACATTACTGCAATGGAACCAACGAAGCTATTGATATAAAATCTGAATTACTTTATCGTTGAATTAATACCGTCGGTAATTTAATAATTGAAATTCTTTTGACTGCTTGACAGCGGCTAACTCAATCAGAGATGTGATTTGCTCCTTTGTGTGTGGAATATTCAAATTGATATTTATGGTTTAGAAGTTCACATGTCGCGCTGTATCATCTGTAAACGCTGCTATTACCAATTCGACCCCGACACTGCGATCAATCTATTCAGTTCTTTCCTTTTTATTGTGCAAAGTCACTAAGAACTGTTTATATACCTAGTATATAACATGTGACATATACAGACCACATCTCTACTAATATTATAAAGCTGAAGAGTTCGTTGATTTGTTTGAACGCGTTAATCTCAGGAACTACTGGTTTGCATTGAAAAATTATTTTCGTATTTCGTTGGCTGGACCATTTATCGGGGAAGGCTTGAGGCTATATATAACATCCCTACGTCTACGACCCAATAGGACCGAATAAACAATAGAACTGTAGGATAAATGATTCAAAAAGGTTTGGACGAGTCAAAAAATGGGATGCGACCGAGGTCGTGGGTAGCAGCCAATGTATACAGATGTTTAAGAAAACTTAATTTGTTGCCCTAAAAACATAGGTCTAAAAAATAAAAAAACGAAGTCGGCTAGTTTTAATAAAAGCAGTGGTCACATCTGCTCCAAAGCTTCTTTAGTGTCTGAACTAATATATTTCGCATTTTAAACCGTTGTGTTTTGTTTGACTATGTTATGTGTAAACAACAGATCATACTTAACGTTATAGTAGTGAGTCTTTAATAATGACTCCACAGACATTTTTATGTTCCATATCAATTAGGCTGTTTTCCTTCGTTGACAGCAACATCGTAACTCCCGTACTCGCAGAGCAAATTGTTTGATTAGATGTAAGCCGAGCCGGGTACGCAATGTGAGTCTGTTTATGAGTACTGATATGCTCGTCACGCCTTCGTGTTATCAGGGCCGTGGGCGACGATGTGTGTGTGTGTTCTATAAGCGAATAAAGTATGTGTGAGTGCGTAGTAGCGCTTCCAGGAAAAACGGATGGATTTCTGTGAAGCGATTAAAATGTCGCGCGCGATTTCAGCAGTGAATGGTCGCGTCGTGAAAGAATCGCTGAAAATTGAAGTCGTTAAGGCACGTTATTTATAAGCGACGCTGATATAATATCTTATCGCGGTTTTGCATTCGTCCTCGTTTGTACTTACGCTTTGACATTTAGAATTAATTACGGCTGTTTTAACTTTCTCTATATTCTGAACAGTATATATTATATACGAATTCGTTAAGAGTCATTCGATAGGAATTTTGATAAATTAAAAAGTTTGAACGATTTAAAACACGACATATATCACTTAAATAATTTAACTAATTATATTTTGCGTTTTGTGTACGACTCGCGAAAACTACAGACAATACTATGTCATTTGTTGTTTTTGCATTTAAGTACTTTACACATATCAATAAAAACATTAAATTTTATGTATTAGCATTACGTAGAACTTCATATAAGGTTTATCAGTACTGTCACAGTAAAATTTTCATTTTTGAACCTATGTAGCTACGAGTTGTACAATAAGGGTGCCTGAAAGACAATGCCCTTAATATAATCTACACTATTATATAGTTGGTTAGGAAATTATTAGATTTTACGTAACCATGTTGTTTTCACAGTACACACTACACAACTAAAACAAAGATGACTGAAAAATTCTGCCCTGAATATAATCTACACTATATACCAACTGTTATATATAGTTGGTTAGAGAATTCCATCTTTGCAACAAAATCTTTAAGCGAAGTAGTGATTCGTGCCAAATGTAATGTCGTATTTATTGGTAGTTGGGATTATATCTGACATAATGCGCCTCGGCGTGTCTAATAAACAATACTTGGTTGAATGAAAGGTGACTTTCAGGAATTAAAAACCTTGCCAAAAACATGGATATATAAGGAATAAAGGGCCCATACGATAACCGAAACTTAATTATATTGAAAACTTTAATATTTTTCACATGCACTATGCAAATTAAAAATCAATAATAAATAAAAAAAATACACAATTTAACGTGTTAAACTTGAAATTACATTGCGCAAGAGTTATATCATGACGTGTAGGACTCGGTAGCCCAATCGGTTAGAGCAACTGGAGAGAACAAAATGGTAAAAAAAATTTAAAGTAGATTTACAAACGTGCTATATTATTTAAATAAAACACTTTACCTGTTTAAAACGCAAAATATTTCAGTTAATTTAACTTACTTATTTAAAAACTATTTTAACTGCGGCCCGACGTTTCGGATGCTTTGCAGCAGCCGTGTCACGGGGAAGCAACGTCGGGCCGCAATAAGTTTAACTAATATATTTCGCGTTCAATTCCTTTAAAGTGTTTTATATAAATGTTTACTACTCTTGTAAACTACAGACAATATTCAATTAACAAATTCGTGCTGTATTAAATGAGGATTTTTTTTTCTATGTGGCCAGTAATAAAAATAAAGGAAGACTTTGATTAGTATGAACTCTTTTTTACAACATAAGTTATTATGCAGTTTCAAGTTCCAATGACAGCTGATGGCATCGTGATCTAATATAAAAAACATAATAGCATCATTATGGTATACGTGCTTGTATGTTTTTGTCTTCGTTGACGTATATGGGATTCCGGAAAAGAACACCTGGTCTCACAAAACTGTGTGTCAGTCAGGAGTCAAGGGCACATGGTTTATGTGATCATTTGATGTTATCTAGAGTCATCTTTTTTTGGATCAAATCTTAACAGGTACATTTATCTATACTGATATTATAAAGCTGTAGAGTTTGTTTGTTTGAACGCGCTAATCTCAGGAACTACTAGCGCAAACTGAACAATTATTTATGTTTTGGTAAAAGCGAAAACGGTTAAAGACACCTAAAAAATATGTAGAAAAAATTTACTCTTTAAGTTATCTACAAAAAATTCAGCAACAGTATTTGGCTTTCTTAAGATTAACTTGCAAGAATGACGGGACACGACGTATGATACTTTTAAACGGAATTATTTAGTGAGAAAACGAAAGCATGGTCATGGTTCAAAACATTATCTTTAGAGACCTCCTTTCCTAAGTAAAGTTTGTAAAGTTAATCATATTAAATTGTGTCGGTTCTTCTGAGACAGTTAATTTGTTGTTTCAAAGAAATTTTCACCTCTCCGGTCTGTGTGGACGAAGCGTGCTTGGGTAATCTTGTTTCTCACTTAGCGCCTGATGTACTTGTCCTGTTAGTGCCCTCATATATTTGATTTGTTTTATTTATTCATCTCATTATGACAAGGTTCCTCACATCATGCTCTTGAACATGTCTCATAACCCTCGCTCGATAATTTTCGATACTCCTACCCCCCATTTAATATCCAGATTTCCAGAAGAAGTCTAGCGTGTTTCAGAAAAATTTGAATCATGTTGGACCCGGTGATCGAACCCACGACCCGTTGATTCTTAGCCATACATCGTTACCATTAGACCAACGAACCCGCCAAAATTTTGAGAAACTTGTAAGCTAGTGTTCAGAAATTAGGAATAGAATGTTGACGTTTTTAAAAGAGACTTTTTGTCTAGTATAGTCTGATTGATCTGCATCGTGAACTGTAAATAGTATGATTACCTCAGCGGCTTATTCAAGAGTTGGAGCGTGTCTTTGCATCATCACAGCTTACGACTGTCAAAGAACAGAAGGCACCGCGATAGTCTTGAAGCCGATCGAATTGCTAAATTCGTCGGTGACTGCGATGCGAGGGGGCTGCAGCGGGGCGGGGACTATTTTCGTCTGGCGGCCACGTTTGGAAAATGTGTGGTGACGTCACGGTCCTCCGCGGCGATGGCATCATCGACTGCGCGACGCGCACGGCCCGTCTTGCCAAAATATCGCGGTGAGCTCCGCGATCAAGTTTATTTTAGTGGGTTTTGATGGATTTCAGAAAATATACTCGTCACATCGCTTTAGTAATGACAAGCCATAGAAATACTCCAACCACACACCATTTCAACAAGGTGCTTCTGTTGCGCTGTCGACCGATTTTGGCTTTGGACATTCAGAAACCAAAAATCGAAGCTGAAACGCGATTAAAGTTCTCGGTTTTTATCTGTGGACGGATGGAATTTCCAATATACCTGACACCCATTTTATATCCAAATTTTCAGACGAAGTCCAACATGAGTAAAAAATATAAATTGTTTAAAAACATTTTGACCTGGAGGGGGGACCGAACACACGTTGATTATAAATCATATAATTGCTACCACTAGACCAAGGAGAGCCCGTCGTTATGTCGGTAAAAGCGTTTAACTTTACCTACGTGGCGAAGCTAAATTCTATTTCGTTACAATATTGTTACGACCTAGGAGCTAGGTATTTGTTGCATAATTTACTGTGGTTTACGTTTCATCACAGTTGTTATGTACTAAGCTAATTTCTGGTTTAATATTGACTTGATGTCTAATCACTGATCAAAGCGCCAGTTAGCTTCTTCACAACTTTCTAATTATAACTAGAAATGTATAGAAATTATCATTAATAATGATCTTTAAATTGTTGTTCTATTGACGTGTTAATTATGTTTAAAAGATCTTACTTCCATTTTCAAAAGGATTTTTAAATTAAGCAAATGATAAGTAAATACGGATTGTACCTAGTTTACGCGAGCGGTACGTTACATATTTAAATAAAACACGCGATAGAATAATTTTCAAATATGTTTTACATATATATCGCGTTTTAAACCGTTAGTGTTTTATTTAAAAAGATAAATTGCAATAAGCAAGTTGTTAAATGCAAGTGTAGTTATATTTTATGGCAGTATGCGTGGCCGTTGTTAGATTTTCACTGAAATTATAACGTTTTTTACTTGTTCAATAAAAGTGTGTACCCGAAGTACACATTACTGTTTACACACTATGTTGAAACGAGCCGTTGAAGTATATACCTGTTATCAGCGTAGTAGTGACAACGTTCGCCCGCTACCACGCACTCCGTTAGTGATCGCGCAGACTTTCCGTCGCTGCGTTTGTTTGAGAATTAGCGATAGAAAACGTGATGTTTTCACGACGGCATATCCTTGGTACAGGCTGTAGGGTCGAGATCGCGCTATCGTTCGTATTGTACAGTGTATCGCGAACTTCGGTGCCGCGTAGCAGCCCGCGGTAATTCATAACGTCGTTACGACAAACATGTCAAGATTATAAGTGACGTTTTGTTAACGCAGATGAACTTCTGTGCAGTGGAAAGTTGTTGATGGTAGACAGGTGAATAAAAGAGAATATCTGCTTATTGCAAGCGGAGATTGAGAGACTTCAAATTCGGTTTTAATGTAAACTTCAATTCTATACGTATCTCCTATCATCGTTAAACAATGGTACAGTTTTAACGTACATTTGATCTAGTAAGTACTTTTACGACGAACAATTAAATTATATGTGAAACCAAAAGAGTTAAGTTTTAGGTTTTATCCTTGAGCGAGTCATATATTAATATTTGTATAAACGCCTGTCTTTAAGTTCAACTTTGAGTGACCTTGATGGTCTAAGTGCCTAGTTTCTAATTAAAGATTCAAAGAAATTTAATTCAAATGGTCTTTGAAATCTACATTTGCTGGAACAAAGTTACTGAGAAACTTTCGTTTTAACTTTTAAATTTGAACATGATTTGAATACTTATTATTGTAAATCATTTTGTTATTTGCTTTGTTACAAGAATTCATTTTTGGTCTACAGTGCAATTTTATAGTCCCTAGTCCTAGGACTTGAATCGGCACCCACAGCGTTCCCTGCCCTAACCAATTAAGTTTAAATACTGTCTATACTTTACGCGAGTAGTACACATTTAAATAAAACACTTTAACGGTTTCCGGGTCTCCCCGTGACCACGGCTGCTGCAAAGCATCCGAAACGTCGGGCCGAAGTTAAAAATCATTTTCAAATAAGTTTAACTAATACATATATCGCGTTTTAAACCGTTAAAGTGTTTTCGTCCAATTAAGTTTGTTGAATTGGATGTCCAGTTATAAAATTGGATGTTTCTTATTTAAGTTTTGTACTAAACTTGTGAGTTCTATTTAAAATTTCGATACGATTCGAAGTATTTAGGATTTCACTTAAAAATGATGCTTATATTAATAAGTATTTGAGGTCATGTTGTCTTTTATTTAGCCTTTCACCTCGCAGCCACTCGCAACGGAACAGTAATTTTCGACATACTGCTATTTGTATGACCAACTCATCTTAACACCTCTATTTCGTCCGCTGAGTTCATATGAAACAAAGGAACGACGATTAACGTAAAGTAATTTTTTAATTCAATGTCAACACTTAAATTAACAACTCGGGTCGTTGAACACACTTTTATTTTATTCCGGCAATAACATCTAAACAATGAGATCGATAGTCTCTTGTCTTTTTATTTTAGACTGACGGCAGAGTGTGCTTCTTTTGAAATTATGCCAAGATTTCAAAAAAAAAAGACCATTGGAATTTTTCAAATGATAGATTTTTTTATGCATATAATACTTTTACATAGTAAAAATGTACGTGACACAGCGTACTTTATATTTTTTAAATTACGATAGATTACGATTGATTGAATATAAAATCTTTAAGACTATCAAATAATACAACACCACAGGACAGACGGCTTATCTATTGCGACAGATTATCTATGGGACGACGTCTATCGTGGTCGGGATTCTTAATAACTCCCATTTTATCGAACTGGACTCCAGGCTGATACTAGTAATCTTCACAGAAAATTGCAAATACCGTACAAACATTTCGCCCGTCTCAGGAATAAAAATCTGGGAGCTCGTGTTGATTTCACTAACCATAAAGTTGTTTATAATTTCTTCAACAGAGATACCCACGACGACTCTACCAATAGAATACACGTTAGCGCAAAGGTTGGAGGAAATTTATTTCGATCTATAAACATGTGGAAATTATAATGACATAAGTAATATTATATACTAGCTGATCGGGCAAACTTATGACATATTAAATATTTCGACCAAACTTTGATTAACGTAAGAATAGTCCTTGTGAGTTAATCTAAGACTATATTGTCGGGTACATTTTCTTAGATTATTTAAAGGAGAAAAATTCTCTTATACTGATATTTCGGGTATCTCAAATGGTTTTCGAATCGCACGTAATGAAAACCCTTTAAAGATGAATAATTTTGCCCGTTTTTTGCACATTTCCGGCTGTTTCTTCGCTCCTATTGGTCCCAGCTAAGCTAAGCTCCAACCAACACAAAAAGATATTTTCAATTAGAACTAATAGTTCCGGAGATTAGCGCGTTCAAACAGACAACCTCTTGAGCTGTATAATATTAGTATAGATTAAAAAGCTCTGCCTACTTAAAATTCATTCGTTTGCGCGCTCTTTGTATGCTATAAATTATGCGCCCAAGTTACTGCCCGGTGACCTGACAAATAAATAATATCATCGTGTTATTTTCTGCACCTTAAAATGATATCATAGTGATGAAATCGACGATGCGAATTGTTTTTAGAAAAATCATACATTCACAATATGTGCAGGCGATAAGTTGTGTATTGGTGCGACCTCGTAAAATCTAAATTACATACATAAAACTATTTACGCTATGTAGCCTGGTTTTATGGAAACTAGGGGAAAATAAATTATGAAACACTTTTAACGGTTTAAAACGCGGAATATACATTTTGTTTATGATAGAGGAGGATTTTTTTATGGATTCACTTTACGGTAAAATGGAATAAAAATGGACTGTCCCCTTTTTTGAATATGGATATTCAGGAATACAAAGACTACAACGGTGAGGTGGTGGTGACACCCCGTACGTTGCTACCATAACACTAACGTGCTTGTCCAAATTATTTATTATTAGTTACGACCTAAGGCTTCGGACTCTCTACAACTGCCGTTTTAAACGGTCAATTGTGTTTTATTTAACTCGCGTTACCTAATGACAATACAAGTTTTTTTAATAGGTTCTATGCTGCAATAACTTATGAACTTTTATATAAAATCCAAGGTTGTGACACCCACTTCTAGCCAAATATGTGCGCGAGAGTAGATGACCATTACCTAACATAATTATTTAAAACATTGGCTAAAATATGATTTAGCCTTATTAAGTAGTTTTGTTTATTATGCGCAAATGTTGAATTTTAATATTTTTCAAATGGAAAAAAATGCGAGAGGCAAATGTATCAATAGGCTGAAAATATTCGACGATGACGTGTAGGGCTCGGCAGCTCAATTTGTTAGAGCAACAGCACGGAACGCTGAAGACGCCAGTACAAGTCCTGCGCGAGTCGTAATTTTTTTCCATGTATAATCGATTTTTACTTTATAGATCATGTTCTCAACTTAACAGGAGATCGTTTTAAATGTTATCGAAATAAATGTTTTAAGGTCTGCACTATTTTAATTAAATGTCTTTAAATTACATGGAGTCCTTGAGAAAAATGTTTATTTTTTAAGGCTGTAAATGTTACAAAGGTAGGTTAAATAAAAATAACTTTTCCCACCAAAGTCAAAATTATAATTTTATGTGTAACATACAATTATAATTAATAATATATACGTATAAAGGACCAGCGGACACAAACGACAAAAATTCTTTCCATACATATTTTTTTGATTAACTTGACCCGTTTCCGCAGCGTCCGCAACGGACACCGTCAAATAGCAATAATTTTCTCCTTCTTTTCACATTTACCCTTCGTTTCTTCGCTCCTATCGATCCCAGTCTAAAACCTCCCTCTACTAGCACAAAAATGTATTTTTAATTTCAACCAGTACTTAAGATACACGCCTTCAAACAAACAAACAAACTCTTTTTATATTTCATATAAAACTTCACACACAATTCATTGTGCTCATAAAAGCACTATACAATGCGGCACAGGATGTCTTGATTTCATAAACCCGTTATTGATGTGAACATAATCGAATCAGTTAGATGGCTGACCTCCATCTATTGTAATTCGGTTATAGTTACGAGCTTAAATTGGACATCAATTGTTGAGTAAATTGTTTATTGTATTACAAATTCCTTGAAACATTACCCTCTTGAAATGAGCTAGCTGTTTCGAGTTGTGGGAGTTTTGAATACCATTTCTAGAATGTCAAAAGCGAAGATAGTTAGCAGCGCATTTTTTTATGATCAGGATAGACAAGCGTGTGATTTCCTTGAACCTTATGTTTTTTATTGTTATTTTGAAAGCACACATAACAGACAAAATTAAAAGAAATATTTGAATAGTTTTCTATCGATTTCAAAACATAAATCTTTTGCTTATCTACTGCTAAACAACTTGGCTTCATAACAGTTCGTAACGGAGTAGTAAAGATTTTGTCTTTATGTTAGGACTTCCTTTCCTGACGTATCTGGAACTAAACGCCCACACTCAGTTACGGTTCCCGCTGGACGTCCGTCCGTTGTGATTGATAATCGGCTGTCGGGGTGAGAAAAAGTGGGCCAGCGATAGAGTCACATCCAATTAATGTAAAAAAATCTTTACGTATGGGACATACAGTTTTGCGTATTTGATTTAAACAAAAGCTTATATTCCTTTTAAAATAAGTCATCCCTCTAGCTCCTACTACCATGAAATTGGAGGCTCTCCGTTCACACAGTCTCTAAGTAACATTCACGAGCATATCAAATGTTAGAGGCTATAATTATAGTTTAACGGCGATGATTCAGTACTATGTGTTATTAGATTAACCGAATCGAATTTTAACAATTACGTCTTATTAATCGTGAAATTGAATGTTCGCATTGGTGACTATACGGTTCCAATGTTCGGGTAGACGTCCTTCTTAGCTAATTCGATATTTAAATTTTTAAATAAATTCTAACAAGTACAAATGTAATAAAGAGACTAATTTTTATTTCTTGACACGACCCCGTTTCTGTCATATTTTTTCAAACTACCTTATGATATTAATACATTACTTTTTTCTGTGGTGCTCAAAGATCTATATCCGAATTCTTTCTTTTAAGATCGCAGGGCGATTTATCTTCTATTTAGTATCTGCTAAAATGTCATGCGCGACCCAGACAGACGCTCCAAAACTTGGTGGCTCTCTCTCGGATCTTGTGATTGTGAACAGCACGTTCAGTGGGCGACAAAAGGCCTTGATCTGAGTACCTGTTAGATTGTTAGCAATTACCTACACAGCTTTTATGCTTATTAAATACTTGTTAGTTGTTAATAATACCTTACTTAAACACTGACTGTGATTTTAGGGCTATTATTTATGGCTCTAGTCGTTCTTGTAACTGTAACAATGTGTTTGGACACCTCTATATTGTAATTACGTAGTAATTTGTTCAACAAATATTTATTAGCACCAACAAGACGATAAGGCCCGAGATTTTAAAAGCTTTTGAACAAAGGTCGATTATGATATTCGTATTCAAAGTTATAATCGACAAAATCCTTTGTATTCGATCAAACACAAAATCCCAGAGTTCACTGACCAATCCTAAAAAAATTGATTTCAAAAATTTTATCTTTAATTTAACAATAGTTTAACTTAAATCGATGTTAATATTTCTCCATGAAACCGTTTTTCGGAGTAATGATGCCCAAATGATGAATAGGGCCAGTACAAATTGTCATTTAATATACGTACACATTTACGAATAGCAAAATTTGTCGGGCTTTAATACGGGCTGGATATCGTCGTACGTCCTAAATGTGTGGCCGTGGGCGTGGATAAATTACTGTTGCGCTGCATTTACTCTCGTTCAACGTTTTGTTTGGCCAGAGGCAATTATTGTATTAAAGTGTTTGATATGTCATCGTTGGACATACAACTTTATTGCGTTTTATTATTTCAAATTGGAGCTTTATTTTTGTATGCCTATAATGAAAATTGGTTTTAAAGGGTCCTGGGATAATTCAAGCTTAGTTTCTTATTGTATTTACCCAACCTTTGAAATTGTAATTCAGGCACATACGACCTTTTCGAAGAAACGGCGCTCTTTAAAATGAATAAAAACGACGGATGAGATCACACATTAAGTTGTCGAATACTTGTGTGTCGCATGAATAATTTTATTGTTGGCCGGGGCGCGGGCATTTGGTCGTTGTTCCGTGGATGGAGGCAGCCGCTGCGGTGATGTAAGATCGGCTGGCTTCGACGGTGATGTCAGCGCACCTACGCCACACCTCCCCGCCCCCCTCGTCTCTCCTCTGCTGACCGCGCTACAGCCTTCCGCAACACGACATATGCGAATGTTAATAAGATTATTACAATGATAAAAACACTATCTCAAATCCTACGTCACATTTTTTTTTGTATAAAACCCACTGGGCTTGCGAGAGGAAACACTTGAAGTTTCAATGCGGTCTAAACGCTGAATAAGTGTTATATGTCGAATCAGATAATATCCGTATTCTTCTTGTCGTACAGGCAACTATTTCCTCTTTTATTCACCTGTGTACTTATTAAAGGGATCTCAGTGAAAATGATATCCACGACGTGTAAATGTAACAAATACAAACAGTCTAAATTTAGTTACTACGTAATTGTGGTGATAGTGTAAAAATACACAATGATTCGGTAGTACGCGGACTGTAACTGTGCAGCGGGTAACAATGGATTGCTTTTTGGATTGAGTGATATTGAATAAATCGAATCGGCAAAATGGAGGGTGCTATTCTAAGCACCCAGAGCAACAACAGATTTCGTACGCACCTGAAGAATGCAGCGACCGCTCTATGCGCTCGGACCCTGCCCAAGTCCAGATGCAGCGAGGCATCAGGTACAGCCAAGCACCACACGTACCCCCGGGTGACACCGCCGAAGAGGGCGCCGATTACCTGTCGCGTGGAGCCACTCATATGCGACTTGCAAGCGCCGATGAAATCGCAAGATTCGATTTCGTACGACGCCAATCTTATCTCTATAAAGAGTAACGGCGTTAACGTGCGCGGAAACTTGGCGAGGTAAGATTTCTTATTTAGATTTTTTTTTGACCTTCAAACGACCCATGTTATTGAAGGCTATTTTTTAATTTCTACACACATTTTCTTTTATGTATTTCAAAGTACTATTTGCATCTGTTATGAAATTGATGTCTTATTAAATACTAGGTGATCCAGCAAATATTGTTGTGTTGTTTGCTAGATTAATATTAATATGTCGATACAACTCTACCAAATAAATATGACTACCATATTCTTGCCACTTAATCTTGAACGAGAGATATATACTTGTTGCGGACATTTTATATTTTGGTTTTGTTGAACCGATTTCGCAGCACACTCAACGAAATCCATTCAGATTAACAATTTTTCACGTTTTCTATTTGTCGCGTGATGTTTTATAGCCTTCCTTGATAAATGGTTCAAAAATTTACTTCGCAATTCGATCCAGTGCTTTCTGAGATTAGCGCGATTAAATATTTAAAAATATATATATTCCTTACTTAATATAGCCCGTTTTAAACCGCTATATATGTTTACTGTGTAACACTTGCAAATTCTACGAACAATATACACAAATAATTATTATTTATATAAAAACATACAATATACGCAAGAAGTAAATTATTATATATAGATTTGTAACAAATCAAATTGATAGAGTTATATGTCTTCTCTCATTTCATTTATTAATTAATTAATCTTCTAAACTACTGTATAGTAGTTGTAGTACTTATGTCTATTTATCGATAGTAGTATTTTTGTGGTAACGTTTACCACATGTGCAAGAAACACATTAATTCGACCATGACATCACGTGTTTAAACGAACATGACCTCAGACATTTCGGAAAGATCTAAAAGGACCGTTACCCATACGGAAGTGGGGCACAGTCCACGTCTTTAACTCATGATGTATGGCCTCGTTGTCATACTATAGTGGTGTGTATTTCGATAGTAGAATGATAAAGATAATTGACTATAATTATATATCTGTCTTTAAATAAAACATTTTAACGGTTTAAAACGCGAAATATATTAGTTAAACTTGTTTATAAATCTCCCCGTGACAACGTCGGCAAAGCATCCAAAATGTCTGGCCATACTTAAAAATAATTTGTAAACAAGCTTAACTAATTTATTTTGCAGTTTTAAACCGTTAAAGTGTTTTATTGAAATGTGTACTACAACAAACAATATTAAATACTGTATGCAGTTCACGCGAGTAGTACACGTGTAAATCAAACAATTAACGGTTTGAAACACGAAATATATTAGAGAACTTCTTTTTTTTTTACTTAGGGCACGACGTTTCTGATGCTCTCGGCATTGGTCACGGAGAACGCGTTATAGACGTTTAAAAGTGTTGTTCCATAATGTAAATTAAAAAAAAATATATCATTATGGATGGGGTAATATGCTTAAATATGCTTGGGGTAGCTTGTGGAGGTGTTCGTTGCTATTGTTTCATTATTTACCTCTTTATCACCCAACGCATACAAATTTACAAAAAAAAATACGAAAATAAAAACTGGTGCTACAGGCGGTTTTATCTATTTAGCGTTTTTTTTACAGGCGACCCCATTTCATAGTTCATGTTGGACGTCGTTTAGTTATGCATAAAAGATTGTTTAATATAAATATAAACGGAAAACTTTATTCGATATATTTTATTGTGATACATTAAGATCAATAAATAAAAATTTATTACTTCCTCGTACTCTTATTAGTTGAAAATGTAATATACTAATTTTATTTTACCACTAGTTGCTTCAGCGACTTCGTCCGCGTAGAATAGTTGTTTTGGGCAACCAAATTTGGTTTTTGCAAACCTCTACATATTTATAAATATAAGCTGCCCACTACGTCGGTCGTGTCCCGTAGCTCGCGACCCGTCGTTCTTGCAAGTTAATTTTAAAGGATAGAGATATAGCGTCGCGGACATTTTTTTAGATTGATTAAAGAGGAATCATTCTTTCATACATATTTTTTGGGTGTGTTGAACCGTTTTCGCAGCGTACGCATCTGAAACCCACAGAGATGAAAATTTGTTTTGTTCACATTTCCCACTTTATCTTCGTTTATAGCCTTTCTCTATGAATGCTGTAACCAACGCACAAACATGTTTCAATTCGAACCCGTAGTTCCTGAGATTAGCGCGTTCAAACAAACAAACTCTTCAGTTTTATATATAGATATAGATAGAAGAGATATCGATTGATTCGCGTAGATGTCATATTGGACGTATCTAATTGATCTTAAATGAGGAGTAAATGCACTCGGTACCGCTTTTATAATGAGCATGACGTGTGGAAGAGAGACGCAAAATGTGTGTCTCCCTCGCACACCATGATGTCATGGTGTATTTTTGTAAATCCGCCCGACTGGCCTGGCTTGCGGACGCGGACATGCTTTTCAAACAATTCTCTTGTGTCTGTTTTTAAATATTTTTAGTTAACATACCTATTTTGTATTGATAAAAATTAAAATAAATTGTAATTAGTTATATTACCTTTCAAATATGTGCTTTTTTCACTTTCATTGTGTAAACAATGTACATTTGACATATTGTCTAAAACATAGCTGATAAAATATATAATTACATTATTAGATTTTTAGCTGCGCTAGCAAAATGTATGGCTAGCAATCGACAGGTCGTAGGTTTGATCTACACCGGGTCTGGATGGGTGGTAGCAACATCGAAATTCCGTCCGAGTCACCACTAAAACTAAACCACTAAAATCACATGAAAAAGCTACCAAGTTTAATCGGGTTTCGGGTTAAGTCCCTGAATTTCCGAATAGCCAAAGCAAAAAAAGGTCGAAAGCGCTTGTTGTTTAGAAGTTATATGCCTGGTGTATTTCTGTCCTCCTCATAAAATAAAACATAATTTAAAACGCCAGCTAAATACACCGTTCGCACGTCCAGGTATAATCAGTCAAAACAATTGGCACTTGTGTTTTTTTACTTAAATGGATGTAGCAATTAGAATGGGCCATCAATCGTGCGGTTGGTTGCAAAAAAGACAACAGTTGGTTGAACCCTGATTATATTACTGTCATACTGACCTCATCATTTATTTCTACATCGTTTGCGTCGGGCCGAACGTTAAACGGAATGTTTTTGTGCTTTGTAAAAGGTCGGGTCATTGATTCGCTTACACAAAATGTCTATTGATATATGTTTATACTAATTGATCATTATTTGTTTTTTATTTTGTTTTTTGTAGGTTTTAAAATTAGGAACGGACTCTACAAGAGGCTATATTTATAAGCGTTGCATTTTCTTTTTTTTTAACTTATAATATACTTGTATTAAAACACTCTTTATACTTGAATTATTCATTATTTTTCAATTTCGCTCTGTAATTTTGTTAATTCGAGGCCTTGTATTATAATTATTTTAAAATTTAAATTTTATCAACATAATTCGCCGATTACGTCATTGACCGATTGATAGAATCAAACAAAACCGTAATACTGTGAACGAAGTTCTTAGAATTCTAATAAATTACAATAGTATTAACAAAGACAGAAATCATGCATACTACTCACTTACCTCCCCTATAAAGATAAAATTTTGAAGCTAAAAAGCAGCGATATTTTAATGGTATACATATATTTTAACAGTTATATATAAGTAGCCGGCAAACGTTGTTTTGTTATTTGCAAGATTAATATAACTCTAAGAAAAAATGCACTAATTTTGAGCAAATTTGATTTTAATAAAAACGATTCTTTCGAGTTAATCTGATAGGCATATACTGTCGCGGACATTTTTATAGATCATTAAAAGAACAATTTTTCGTTCATACATATTTTTTAGTTTCTTTATCCGTAGCCTTCAAAGATGAATAATTTTTCGTTCCCGTTTCTACATTTTCCACTGATTCTTTGCTCCTATTGGCCGCAGCGTAATGTTATAAGCCTATAGCCTTTCCCGATAATTGGTCCACCCAACACAAAAGTGATTTTTCAAATCGAATCAGTAGTTCCTGAGATTAGCGCGTTCAAAAAAAACAAACAAACTCTTCAGCTTTATATATTGGTATAGATATATGAACACATATGTTTGTCTCCACGACCCATCGGTTATCGATCAGGTCAAAAGTTTGAACTACCTATCACTTGCTTACGCGTTGTACATTTGCCTCTTAATATTTGTCGGACACCACTCAAACTAGGAACTCGCTTCAATTAACGAGATATGAATATCTGGGAATGTGTTTTTACTAGCATGTGCTTGTATTGTGTTGTTATTTGTGCAAACGGTGCTTCGGCGAAATGTGTGTGTGACTTTGATGTTCCTGAATATTTTGGCAAGTTGGTGAATTGTTTTATAGGCCCTAAGTTAAATTTTATAGTAGGTAACCAAGTCTGTTAATAAAATTTATGTTTATTTAACATGCTGGGTTTATAAGTGCATGAAGCTTGTGAAATTTGTTTCTAGATAATATTAGGCTGCTAGAGGCAGAGTGGCCTAATAGTAAAAAAGATGATTTTCAATGAGAAAAATAAAAATGCGCAATTAACTTAGGCGAAAATGAATTTAAATTATTATATGCGTAAAAATTATTTTAATAATTTTCGGTCACTGTGCTCCTGTAGATTAAAATTTTTAACTATGAAAATATATATAAGTATAACTCTAGTCATAAAAAGTGTTGTTAGGCTACTCTGCCTCTAGCTTCCTCATTTATACGTTTATAACAAACCCAATAAAAAATACTATAGATTATTTGCGTCGCCAGTGTATCCTACGCATATAAAAGATTTCCCAATATAGATTAAAAAAATACCATAAACCTTGTTCCATATGAGTTTTCGCCTTAATTGATCGTATGTCCTTACAGTATTTAAATTTTCATTTTTAATATCTTTAGTAAGTAAACTATTAATGTTTTTTTTATTATATTTATATATTTATATTTAAACTTAACGTTACGTGTAACAATTAAATGCAAACACAACTTGATTTAAAAAGGAGTGCCTACATATTATGATATTTTTTTAGTCTGTTTATTAATTTATGTAATTGCGCATTTATCGCAGCCAATCTATGTTGAAAGTGCTACTTTGCCGTAACTCTCTCTCACATTACTCCTACTCTAACCCCCACTCCTAATTTCTCTCTCAGCCCCACTCCCACTCCTATACCTACCCAAAAAGCCAAAGAAGAAAGTTTCATTGTTCTAGCTTCAAAAACCACGAATTTCCATACAAACTTTCATCCCCATTTTAACCCTTTACAACCCCCTTTCTGCAATGAAAAGCCTTTGCGTACCAAATTTCATTCAAATCCGTTCAGTAGTTTTGGCGTGAAAGAGTAACAGACAGACAGACAGAGTTACTTTCGCATTTATAATATTAATAAAGATTTTTAGTTTAAACATTTTAATTATACGCCCTAAATATTATTACGTATTACTTTGATACGTACTACATATTATTGATAAACGTGGGTGCCCGGTCTGCGTAGGCGGAAACATCCGTATACAGCAATACAACAGTGGCCATAGTAGGACACTAGTATCGTTTTCACGTGGGAATACTATGGGATCGTTGAATGCTTTAAGAAACCCGATCTCGACAATGTTATGTCTGCGTACCTCTACATACACCGCTCAGAGACCTCCCATAAAGTTTACCAAGTTAGTCTGTTATGTAGCTTCGTTCATGACAAGTTTATCATCCTTATTAACCAGCTGTGCCAAGCAATGTTGAGACATCAATCTGTAAGGTAGCTATTTTATGATATACATCAACTTGCGGATATAAAATTTAATTACGTTTCTTATTATGATTGATGTTATGTATGTGTCAAGATGTTGCTCTTAAGTGATTTTAAATAGTGGTTGTGATTTGACTTTAATATTATAAGAATCAAACAAATTTTAACGGTTTGAAACTCGAAATACATTAGTTAATTTCATTAGGACCTGATTTTAGATTTTTTTAGTTTCTTTACGCTTACATGGTCACAGTGGAGCTTATATATTCCGAGTTTTGACCCGTTTAAAGTGTTATATTTACTTTTATATACTACAACAAATACACTAAGATTATTAGTCAATACGACTGTTATTATTTGCAGACCTCGTGTTTTTAAAATGTAGTCTTCAATTTGTCGTAGAGCCTCTACATTGGGGCTACGAACTTAATCCTTTATTTTCATCAGGTCTTATGTCACAAGCAGAGGCGGTTTCGATCTTAAGCTCTATCTTCTCTATAATAAGATTGCTGACATATATTGTGCTGAGGCAGAATTGTAGGTTATAATCCTTTATGCGTGCGTTGTGTATTAATGAAGTGTTCTCGTCGCAGGGAGGTGGCGAGCGCCTGGGAGTGCCGTATCGGCCCGCCCGACCAACCAGCCCCCGCCCACCGAGTCCAGAGCCTCTTCAACGACATAGAGCTGTATCCTACTAAGACTCAAGGTATAATAATAATATAGACCTTTATTTCGGATAGTATTACAATAACAATAGTTATGTTTTCATTAACCGTAAATCCGTTGGCCTTTTACCGGCATAGGCCTCCTCCAACTTCCACTCGGCTCTTATTATGGAAGACTGAAGGTAAACAACGTTAAAAAAATACCACCATTCACTTCATAAATGTAGCAATGTATGGGTAATAATTAAGGAGTCGTCGTTTTAATTGCTAAGCTTGTAATCAATTTTTTTTTAACATATTGGATGGACTCTGGATTATTAAATGGTAGGAATATCGAAGTTATGGCTGGGTTAAGAACCACCTACATGTGAAGAAGCCGTAAAGTTCGTGCTTCGGTTTCAATTTATTATACAAATTTTAAATGCGTCGATAGCGCATCTTGTCAAGATGTTATGCGATCGTCAAGCCCGTGTCTGTTATCCTCTATCATAAAATAAAATCTCTTGTACTTCGTGCTCAAAGATTTCATTTACAGTAAAAGTACTACTACTTCTATTCGCGGCATATTTGTGGAACATATACCCCGCGAATACAAAAACCGTGAATACGCAATGGCAATTTATATTGGTCTATATGGGATACGTTCCTAGGTGACAAAATAAACAAATAAGGTACCCGAGTCGATTATAGGTTTGTTATACTTTTTTAATAATAATAAAGCTAAAACAAACAAGTTATAGCACTTATTCATGAAGAGTGGCTATTTATCCTTACAACAGAAGCAAAAAATACAAAGACATTAAACGATAAATAGTATTTAAAAATTGTAGGTACATCTCACCACTTGAATTGAATAGTATACCTATAGTCGTTATTTTTTTAAGGACTTTAAGTATTTTATTACTGTATAACAAGATATACTGGAATTAAGAAAATCGCCTAATCAGAACTGGGAACTCAATAAATAATTAGTCAAAATCAACCGTCGTCGTTCAGCATATCATTGTTTTTCGGGCTGTTCGGCTGACGTGAGCGAGAAGAGGTTCTCGACGTTTCGCCATCACATGCGGACGGCATCATCAGGAGATGTTCTGACTCTTCGATTGCTCGAAGAATTATGACTCGTCACACATCTGAAAAGACTCGTTTGTTCGTTCAGATCATAAATAAACCTTCTAGAAACTTGAAATAACTATAGTTCGTAACAAATAAAATACATGAGGTGACTTTGTAAAAGCTAGTTTTTATATCAAATAAAACATTTTTAACGGTTCAAAACGCGACATATATTACATCGGATTGTAGTAACGCAGTGTTTATATCAACTAAAACATTTTCAACGGTTACATACCTAAAAGACCCTAAACTCGTGTATTAAACCGTTATGAGTAGGTATACTTTAGAATACAGTAGTTCATACTCGTCCCGTCATCCACGGCTGTAATTATCAGTTTACTCATCTGAGTTCTTGATACTTCCAACCCTAATGTGTTTCGACGAACAGTCATCGATAGAATGAAATAAGGGGGAACGTCACTGATGATTCAAGTGTACATAAGGTTACACAATCATTATCGATAAATGATTTTCGATAAACGTGATATTGCATATTGATTAACGCTAATGCTATTAAGATTGTAAGAAAGTATTAAGTGTTATAAGGCGTACTTTCAAACCGATGAGATAGATAGGAAATGTGGTATTTGATTTTTCAATTAGACCTTTGTTCCCTTGGTTCTATTCGCTTTTTGCTCTAGTAAAAAATAGGGCATAAATTATTTGCCCATGTCAAATTTAATGTAGCGTACCAAGACGTTTTACGAAACGAAGTATTTCGACCGTATTTGTGATTACCATAAAAACGGTTCCTGTGAGTTAATCTTAAAACAATAGATGTATACTGTCCCAGTCATTTTTTATTGTATAAAGAATATATTTTCCTACTTACTTTTTGGGTATCTTGAACCGTTTATGGCAGCACACGCAATGGAAACCGCCAAAAATTAATAGTTATCCCCGTTTTTTTCCACATTTCCTTTTGATTTTTCAAATCGAATAGTTCGCGTTTTATATTATTTACAATGTAACTTAAAGTTTATATCGTTCACAGAGTTACTCTGTGAGCGAAAATGAAAGTACACCATTACAACTGCAAATCAATCAAAATGAAGAACGGAAAAGAAAGTACAAGACAAATATTTCGTGAATCATTTTGTAAAGACACCTTTAAAATTTAGTAATTGTTACATTTATAGGAGGAATTTGCTACCAAGAAATTGAAGGTATTTAATTAAAGACAATAAAATAAATGTACAAAGCCAGAGTAATAAGTCGATAGGGCATCTTGTTTAGATAGATCATTCATCATCAATTTCAAAAAATACATAAATTATGTGTTACAATCTCAGATATAGACGGTGATTTTATCTCAAAGTGTACCATTGTATGAAAGTGCATATCAAACAATTTACGGGACTGGGGTTATATCACTGCCATAAATCTTGACGACGTATTCTTGATAACATCTTCCTTAGGTCCTTATTCTTCATGCGGTCTATTTTATTTACTTACCTATATCTATTATGTATAATATATAGGTTTATCTCAAGAAATAATGGTTTGTTTTGAAATAAAAAATTAATGAATTTATTTATATATTTATTGTTTATTTGGTATTCCTACAGCTACATAGTATACATGGGTTAAACATACTTAACACTAAACATTAGCCAAAAGGATTACACAATTAGAAAAAAATATTATGGTAAAGGGCACAAAAAAGAATATGGTGTAAAATACTTAAGCTGAATATAGAAGATTTACAAACATTGATTATTATCAATCTTATGACATATGATATGTACATACACATATAACATATTGTACATATATTCAACAGCCCATTATGATAAAGAACATTAAATCAAGAAAAAAAAAACATTACGAGGACTAAATTTAAACAACAAAAGTCTACTAATCTACTAATTAAGGTGCCAGGGAATTATCGAAATGTAAATTTTTAATTTATCGAGGACTGCTTTAGCTCATAAAACATAAGGCTGCGAGTGGTTGTCTATAGGAGTGATGAAGCAGTGGCAAATGTGTAAAAACTTGCAAAGTCTTTAGAAATCAATGGTAAAAGAACATTTGCTAGGTCCTTTAGTGTTTTTCAACTAAAAGATTCTAATTAAGTAAGCATCAGCTGTGGTAGGAGATGCTAAAAAAATCAAGTTTCAAATATATTTCGCGTTATGTTTAATGCTTAAGTCACTCGTCAACTATTTAAAAAAAAGGTTTCTATATGTACCTTCTAAGCACGAATCTGCAAAGGTAGATTTGACTTTAGTGTCTAGTACATAAATAATAATAATTTAACTAATTTTCATATTTATATTGCTATACAATGGACATCATAACACGTTATCATTGGCTATTTGTTATAGATAAGACTATGCAACGAAAAACAAAATATTTTTCCTTGTTTTCGATTCCCCATTTTTAGAGCAAGAGCGATTGTTTGAATTATCAACATAGATTAAAAATAATTTAAACAGTTATCACATAATATTGTACTGTGTGTATAGTCACTAGACAAAATGTATAAAAGCTGCGTCAATATTCTTAAGTAACTTTTATAAATAGACACAAGACGTAATATTGTAACGTTGTTATTTCTATGATACTTAACATCCGTGTGAGATAATATGTGAATATTATCTTTAAATTTTTCTTCGACTTTTTCAATACTTTTCGAATGCAACTCTGCGTGAACAATTTTTGAAATTCACCTTAAGTAGAGTCCCCAAACTTTTTTTGTGTCGTAGACCCCTTGCCAAAAACACTTATTTACCTGATATTCATTTCCTGTAAATTTCTTACTGTAGTGAAGTTTAGTATTAAAAACTTAAAGTAAAAACATACGTTAATTTAAACATTTATCAATTGAATTTAAATTGAAAACTACTCAAAATAAAATTTTGTATCTGTTATTAAACATATATATATATTTTTTCTTCATAGCTACTTTTATGAATAATGTATAGGTATGTTTTGATATTATAAGATAGTATGTTGTAAGTAAATATGTAGGTACATACTATCAATTTATGTGTTTAGATCCACTATCGTGGATAAGTTTATAGTAAAATTTACATTATAAACTTTTTATAGATTTGAAACGTTACCAATTTTTATTACGTAAGAGCGGACAAACGTGACGTGATTTTAATTAGAAACTGTTACAATGACGACAAAATAATATAATTGACCTTAACGTTATCATAATTAGAAAGTGAAAAACCATGTTTATAAAAAAATATTATTGCGCTATACAAAAGAAAATTTTTAGTCTAATTCTTATCATGTTCCGCGGTAGTACCCTATCGGGATTCGATTTTCCATCGGCGTGGTGTCATTTAAATATTCGGAATTTTTCTCAGAAAATTTCAAACACTTATGAGATAGTTAAAAATTTCTTACACCCGAATTTAAAAGGAATTGTCATCACTTCGTATAACAGAGCACGTTAACTCAACGGTTCTCACAACTAATGTAGTGGCGGTTCTTGTTGAAGTCAACAATATTTGTTGGTGAATATTATAATGAATGTCATACGTGCTGCAGACATTTTTGTGTCTGCTTCTCGATTTAATTTTAGGCTAAGAAGGAAACGAACCACTTATTTATCCTTGGAATTTAACTCAAGAGTTTTGAACAATAGCAGCGGAGGCTGTCATGACGCATATATGATAGAATATTTATCCTTCTAGCATTTCGTTGCTCTAATTATAAAGCTTCAGTTGAACGACGTGACCTTAGTCAAGAGCGTGTTATTGATTAACTAATAATGTTGTTGGCAGTTTTTGAAATGCTCGTGTGCGCAAGGCAGTGTGCTCGACGGAAATCTCTGATCCTCACCTTCGGGGAGTTCTGCGTCTTTGCAGCTGAATTGAGGAGGTGTTCTAGGCAGACTAGATCGTGAGTATCTTTTGATTATGTATAGAGTGAGTTTAAGTAGAACAAACCTAAGGTATTTTTTAAGATGGGTCCATATATAAAAAGGATATGCATATACATTTGATTACCTCTCCATCTGTACTAGATGATTAGTGACCAAATTGGAAATACAATATCTGTTTTATGGTTAAATTAATAATTTTAAATTGAATAAACGCGACCTTACTTGTTACGACGTCTTCTGACCACTTACGATTTGTTTCGAATCCTTTAGCTTTGGTCACAGGCGACAGTCCCCCAATAGTACGTACAAATTATTTACAAAGACGTCCATGGAAATCGAACTTTAAACCCCCTGTGGGTTAGGCAAAATCCTAGTAACATTGATACCGTATGTAGTTCACACGAGTAGTATCGGCTCAAAACGCGATATATATTAGTTAAGCGTCGGCTCATATTATAAATAATTTTCAAACCAGTTTAACTAAAATATATCGCACTTTAAGCCGTTAAGTGTTTTATTTAAACATTGATACCGTTAAACTAAAACAAAACGTAATAAGATAAAATTCGTAAGATTCAAGAACACATAACGATAATACGTATAGGTATCTAATGACTCATGAGGTAGTTCACGAAACGTAGCAAAGACGTAAACGTTTTCACCGTAAATGGGCAGCGATTCGGAGATATGCCAAATTACGTATTTCGTATCTTAGAGCTCTAGAGATGAATTTTACTATCGCATCCGATACCAACATAATATATTATCAGCCTTCATTAGCATCTCACATGCAAACGCATTTTCATTTTAGGAGACTGTAAACATGTAAGCGCAAGTACAATGTTTCTTAAGTCAGATTGTATCTAAATTATAATCGTAACAAGTACTAGTCGAACCGGATAATGGTCGATTTATTACAACAATAAACAAAGTATAATGGCGTAATTACTGCCCTCTATCCGCGTACAAAACGTATCGGTTTAATTCTGTCGATGACGTTCTGTGCACGGCCGGTCTTGAACCTGCGTGCCGCGTGCGCCCGCGCCGGAGCGGTCTCTGCCGTGCGTGCGTTGACCCCTGAATGTCGCATAAAATATTGGTCATGCACTGAATCACGATTGCAACAACTGCGCATGCGCAGAATATCCTAGAACGAGCGACGATGCTAAGACCAATTCTAATGGCATTCTAATTTACAGGACGTCGAATAAACCAGAGTCTCCCGTTTGGAGTGTAGACAAAGAGCTGAGGGACAAGGATGGCGCCTGTAAGCATGTTAACGGTAAGTTAGATCTCTATTAAAATCTTGATGCAACACAAACACATAATTTCGACGAGTCATGAAGAAAGGCACTTATGAATTATCATAGTTAGTAGTAGTTAAACTTATTTGAAAGTCTCCCCGTGACCACGGCTGGTGCAAAGCATCCGAAACGTCGGGCCCAAGTTAAAAATCATTTTCAAATAAGTTTAACTAATATATCGCGTTTTAAACCGTTAAAGTGTTTTATTTAAATGTGTACTACTCGCGTAAACTATAGACAGTATTTACATATGTACACATCTAACGTGACAATCGAAAATATACATAATTGCGTTTAACTTTTATCGACGTCCACTCTAATGCTAGTAGTCACCATTTGCTGATTCACAGTATCAAGGTAAATAGAGTCTAATGTACGTAATCATCTATTGAATTGAACACAATTATTCCAACTTTTACCTGGCTGATGTCATACGTTTGAAAAGACAGGCGTTGAGTCCATTGTTTCTCTATAGACTTTTTTGTTTGACATTTCGCAACTATGTTTTTCGCGCAAAATTACATATTTAAACTGTAATGCATTGTTATTATTTAATACCAACCTACCACAACCTGTCAAACGTTCTTTTGCCATATCGATAATAAATTGAAAAAAAAAAACAGTCGACCCATGCAGGTCTCGAACCGGCAGGGTCAGTTCGAGTTCCGTGCTGTTGCTCTACCAATTGAGCTACCGAGTCCTAGTTCAAGTCCTGCATGAGTCGATTTTTTTTTAAATTTATTCTCTATTTTTAAATTATACAGTGCCATCATGTGCAATAACCACTAGAACGATTCTTGTGGGTTAATCTTAAAAGATACACATATACTGTCTCGGAAAATTTTCAACGACAAAGAAGGTTCATTCGTTCATACACACTGTTTGGTGTTTGAACCGCAATGGAAACATTCAAAGATGAATAATTTCCCCCCTTTTTACACGTATTTTCACCTTGTTTGTTGCAGCCTCATGTTTTATAGCCTTTCTCAATAACTTTTCTATCTAACGCATAAAGATTTTTCAATTCGAACCAGTACTTCCTGAGATTAGCACGTTCCAACAAACAAACTAACTCTTCAGTTTTATAATACTAGTGTAGATGATGATATTATTTTCGATGTTTCGCGCAAAACAAGCGGTCGAAAATAGAAGCGATATAAACCGTTTTATTTTACTTTTTATGTCTGTGTTATACAGAGGCACTTCATAAAATTTAGTTCAGATTGCGGAAGGTCGATCGGAGACAGCGTGCACCCAAACGAGTCTTGAATAGTGACTAAGTTTCCGCACGGTACCAATCCAGAAATACACAGGGCATCCTCTCATCTCACTGATATATTTAACAGACTATACAAGGAATTTCACCTTGTTTGGAAACATAGAATGAAATAATACATTTTAAACGAAAACTATTTCTTAAAAAATATAACTAGCCTTTTGAAATACATTGAACATTGTCGAAACGATAAGCACGTGAAGCCAAGTAGATACTATAATTTAAATAAAACAATTTTGACGGTTTCAAACGCGAAATGTATTTAACAATTAAACTTATTTACAAACTTCACGGGGAGACTAAAGATGGAGGCTCTCTAGCATCACAGTAAAAACTGCTACGCTAGCGCCATCTGTTCGCTCGTAGTTGGTATATGGCGAAACTGAGCTGACTTGCTGAAATGACTAACGCTGTCCTCGCGTATACAGTGAGATAGTTCTTAGATAACATCGATTTAAACAATACACTATACGATTTATACCGTTGAAACCTACATTGCTAAGACACATGTTCATTACAATGTTCATTCATAATGCAAGACGCTTCGAATCAGGTAGTTTGGCTCTTTCATTGCGCGTGAGGTCCTGGGTTCGAACTTCGGAGGTGTATAATAGTTTTGATCGGGCACGTTACTTAGCTGAGTGTAGAAGAGAGGTACAAATGTGTTCCTTGCTTATATATACGTAATAAACATCTGACCAGTCTATAGATAACAATAGCATATTTTAATTTTAGCAAAATCAATATAGCCTCGTGTTTCGATCACTATCTAAAATAAAGCAATAACTCTTTGTTCATAATGTGCCCGCTGAATCCATATATTATAAGACTGACGTAATCCCTATTACAATACTATCTTGTTTACACTGATATACTGCGTTACAGACATTGAGTTGTAGTATATAATTATATACTTAGAATAATCTCTTGAAAACTCTATTTTTCACATGTTATTGCACATGATGGCATTATATAAATTAAAATTCGATAATATTTTTGAGACATGTTGGACGTCTTTCGACGGTCTGACTTGAGTGAGACTGAGCAATGTACTAGATAAAATAAAACGCTCGTAACGATTTAAAATTAGTTAATGTATATTTAAGTAATTTCGCCCCCTTAAAAGTATTACGATAAGCTGACCGCTAAAAGCATTTTAAAATTAAATAATACAGTTTTAACGATTTAAAACGTGAATTATATTAATATATATATTTATACATACGAACTATGTTTACTACGCAAACTAAAGACAAGCTTATTGTACTGAATATTTATTTAATTCAAAGAAAAAAAATAACGTTTTGTTGTTGTCGTATAAATCAGACTTGGCTTCTTTCATTTTGTATTTTAGTACCTATAAAACCTCTACTCCTTCTAGCCTTAGCTTAACATATTAAAAATTGCGACATACCTTATGTACATGAAAATAACACCATAAAAACTTTCATATACAACAACTTTAACGATTTAAAACGCGATATATATTGGTAAGGTTAACCAATTTGAAAAAATATATTAACTACGGCCCGAAGTTTCGGATACTTTCCATGTTTTAAACCCTTAAAGTGTTTTATTTAATTGTGTACTACTCGCGTAAACTATAGGCAGTATATAGTAAATACTGCTAGATAAATACAAAGTAGTACTTGTTTAATTAGAGCAAAGGTAACTTTTCCCTACTTAAAAATAATAAATAATATTGACATACACCAGCGGAAGAGTGGAAAGCGTGAAGCTTGCGTCACCAAGCGTGCATCTTTGTTTATTATTATCTTTAAAACGTCAAACGTTCATAAAAAATGTATATTGTATGCAAGTATATGTAATATTTGATTACACATAAATCCTTTGACGTTAGTAAGCGATTAGGTTTTGGGTCGGATGTCCTCCTGTTTTTGCGAGTCTGACGACCTCATTCATATTATACAGTGTACAAAGGGCATTGTTTTAATATAATTAGTGATTAGAGACCGAGTGTCCACAGGGCATTCTAATATAGTTATTATTTTTATTTGAAAATAAATAAATATCAAGTTACTGCGCACGTTATCAACAAACTAGCTGTGTCAGCAACTTCGTCCGGTTAGAATAATTATTAATGTCTCTCTCTAATCAACACAAAAATAATTTTTAAATTCGGACCAGTAGTTTACGAAATTAGCGCGCTCGTAAAACCAAACAAACTCTTCAGCCTTATATAGTATATATTTTCTTGATCCATGCACGCACCTAGCGCAATATATGTTGAAAATACATTAATAACGACTTTTAATGGAATTATACTGATTTCTTCATTACGAAAATGAATAGAGTCGAGGGCCTTATCTCAAGCAATAACTGACTTTAATTATATTTTTCAACGAGCTCTTGGTCTCTATCGTAGTACGTGTAAATCGCAACTACCTCGCAACGTACTAATTATTATTTGACCTTTGTAACCTTGTATAAATTGAAAATCTATTTATTAAAAAACAAACAATGACACGTGCAGGACTCGAAGCCACAACTATGGCTTACTATAGCATGGACGCTGTTTTCGTGAGCTCATATTCACAAATAGACTTTTGATGTATTGCAAACTTTAATATTTTTCACACGTTATTGCACTTGATGGCACTATACCTATAAAAATTAAAAATTAAAAATTCAACAGTACTGTGGATTCTGTCCTTTCCGTGTCGTATTTTTTAAAATGTATAATTTAGATATTGGTATAATTTTAAGTCGTAGTAAGTCGTTTTGGTCTAGTCTAGTTTTATAAGCAACTAGCGTTCTTAAGCCAAGATTTTCTTAACCAGAATCAGTATTCTGGTTAAGAAAATCTTGACTTCGTCTAGAGAATCTATAGATCATCGAAATTCCGTTCGGGTCACGAACCACAGTCTACACATAGATTAGTTGCGAAGTGTACTTTTGCGTTGCGGTTTCCTGATGGCCTTCCCGAGTCTCCAGAACCCCACAGCGTATCATAATTAAATACTTGTAAAGGGCTGTGGTATTTTTAACTTCTAACAAGTGAACCAAGCTTGTATACCCACCACTAGTCATATTTTTCATTGTAAATTTTGTGACACACCATATTACGCATCACAACCATGGTCTAGTTCCTTATTAGTGCAAGTCATTTTTAAATCGATTCCGGTCTAACATTCCATCCACAACACTAACTCAATCACAAACACAGGATGTAGGAAGTAATGATGTAATTATATAAATATGGTGAAAACTTAGCGGAAAAAGCACGCTTTTATGTGGACCGGTTTGGCTTATTACCATTTTTAACTGACTTCAAAAAAAGCTGATTCTTAATTTGTTCACGCATAACTTCGTTTGCTTATTACCCGATTTCGATTTTCGGTACATAATAGTAATAGCAAGTCTATGTTTAAACAAATGCAATATCAAATTACCTACTAAAAGTACACACAGTATTATGAAATATTTGTAAAATTACTACTTATTATTAACAATAACATCTCAATCTTACTACTTTTTACTTACTACGTTACTTAAATACTATCTGTAGTTTACGCGATCTATACTAAAAAGTTTGTTTGTTTGAACGCGCTAATCTCAGGAACTACCGGTTCGAATTGAAAAAATCTTTTTGTGTTGGTTAGAGGGGTCGCACTGTGAGGAATAATAGGAGAAACAGCGGGAAATGTGAATATTTTTTCATCTATGTGGGTTTCCGAGGCG